TCATTGTCAGTTGGCTAACATTATTATTTTCGTCCTCTACCGAATTTCGTTTATTCCCATTTTGGTTGTCTGTTAAATTTTCTTGTTGGTATCTTCTGGCGCTCGGACCGGGTACTTTTCTAATTGAAGTGTGAACAATCTTCCTAACTTGTTCATTGGGCCTGTTCCCGTCTGAGTTTGAAACTGCACTTGGAGGAGCGAAGGGTCTAGTGTTCGAAATTGAAAAGCCTGTTTCTGCTGAACGCTTGACAAAGAGAATACAAGCAATTTCTGATTTCTAAAAATTATTTTAAAAATTTAAAGAGGATTACAAGGATTTCTGATAGAATTTTTAGGGTATGAGAGTAAAGCAATTGGGCCATAGCTATTTCTCTCCTTTAGCTAGTGCAAAAGGTTATTCGGCGGCTGGGAATGAACCAGCATCTTCAGAAGACCGAGCTTATGTTTTAGCCATTACACCACGTCGCCTACTGCATAGCCTTAGGAATTGAATAGCTATATGCTTTACATGAGTGATTTTTGATTATCCTAGCACTTAATTTTAATGAGCGCTTAACTCATCGTATATGTATCAGGATATGGTCGGGTACTCCTCCTTAAAACAAAATTTAAGAAATTATTTAATTACCACAAAAAGGCAGATAATCAGGCATAGAACGAATAAAAATATACAAAGAATAACATGGCCAAGAAGATGATCGTTCTGGGGAAGGGTAAATAATGAGGAAATAATGGAAGCAATAATTAATGAAATAATTAGTATCCAAGAAATTCTGAAAAATTTTAATTAAAATAAAATGATGACCCAAAAAATTACCTAAAAATAATATGGGGAATAATTAATAGCCAAAGTTGTCTGCGTATTCCATAACAAATTAAGCCTATCGAAAACATGTGTAAAATGATCCAAACAACCCAAAATACAGTTAAATTACATGTAGTATATTTTAGCCATTTTGAAAAACTAAATAAAGTTTAATTGTAAAATTTTACAATTTGTAAAAAAACCTTTAGTTACAATTGAACTAAAGGTTGTAATCATTATTTTGGATTTGTAATTTGTTTTTTTCAAGTTTTATAGTTTTCAAGTTTTAAGTTTCCAAGTTTCAAGTTTAAGTTTTCAAGTTTTAAGTTTCCAAGTTTTAAAATTAAACTTAGTTCAGGTTTATTTTAAGTTTATTTTAATTGTAAGATTACAAACTTGAAAACTTTTTTTAAATTAAATTTTTAAAAAGTTTTAGGTTTTCAAGTTTTTAAGTTTTCAAGTTTTAAGTTTTCAAGTTTTAAGATTAAACTTAATTAAGGTTTATTTCAGGTTTATTTTAAGATTACAAACTTGAAAACCTTTTTAGAATTAAATTATTAAATGTTTTAAGTTTTCCAAGTTTTAAGATTAAAGTTTTAAGATTAAACTTAATTCAAGTTTATTTTTATTTTTAAGTTTACAAAATTGAAACTTTATTTTAATTAAATTATTCAACTTTTAAAAAGACTAAGCTTAAACTTACCTAATTCAAATTTAATTATTATTGTAAAATTACAATCTTACAAACTTTAATTTTAAAAATAATCAATTAATTAAAAATACCTATTCGTCTTTGTTTCCATATTTTTATCTTCTTGGTCATCCATTTTTCCAGTTTCTTCACTTCCATTAATTACAGTTCTATTTTCAGGGGATTCATCATTATTTGGAGGTGCTTCGGTTAATGGTGATTTTTGACCAATTATAGCCATAACATCAGGGGCAGAAGATTGGGGCAAGCCACTAGGGCCATTCTCCTCAATTAATTGACGTTTCCTCCTTCTTTTGGCCATTGGCCTGTCTGCTTCTGATGGTGCTTCTGGTGGGGTGTTAGTGTTGTTATTGGAGTCTGTTGAAGGTGGAGGAGGAGGGGGACCTACTGAGGCTGGCGGGGGTTGGGGAGGGGAAGGAGGGGAATCTGAAGGTGGAGTAGGGGAATCTAAAGGTGGAGGAGGGGAATGAGATTGAATAAAATGAGTATCATTAGGATGATGATTTAAGCAATATTTATTATTAAAATCAGGCCCAATAGCTACCAAAATGAAGCAAATTAAAAATAATTCGACCATTCCAAAACTTAGGGTAAAAGCTTTAGAATGGCAGCAACAAGTACGGTAACGACGATGGTTGGGATTGAAGGGTGTTGAATTTGGTGATTGAATATTTGGACCAACCCCGTTGTTTTGGCCATTACGGGCAAATATATTATTCCTTCTTATCCACATTTTTTGTAATTTTTTTAAATGAATTCTGAATTTATTAAATTAAATTTGAGAAAAATTATAGAGAAAAATAAGTGAGAAAATTAATAAAAAAAATATAAAATTAAGTTAAAAAATTTTCTGAGAATGTTTAAAATCAAAATTCAATTAAATTAGAATTTGTGGGATATAGAGGACAGATGAAATAAGCCAATAGAATTTGTATTAAGCGGGGGAAAATTCCGGAAATAAAACTTATTTATTATAAAAATAAAAAAGGAAATAAAAATAGAGTTTATTAAGTTAGCCAATTAAAAAAAGGTTTAATTAAAGAAAAAAGGATTGTGAGCTTGAGAAGGATTGTAAAACCTGAAAATAGAATTTCAAGCTTGAAAGAAAGATTTTAAGACTTGAAAATAACGTTTGTAAGCTTAGATATGGATTTCAGTAATAAAAGAAAATCCCACCTTAGGTGTTGCAAACTGTTGGCCAAAATTTTTTTATGCTCTTCGACCGTGTATTTAATCAGAGGGTGGGCACTTCGATAATTCTTGATTATTCTTATTCCCTATTTAGCTATCTATCATTTAAGCCTTATTTGAGCATATTATCTTTAATTTGAGTAAAGAAATGCCAAAAAACGCGTGCTCAATTACTTTTGGTTCAAACTGTAAAACTTGACAAAACGTTTGTAAAATTAAGAAAGTTTTTAAAACTTAAAAAAAATAATGAAAAACTTTAAAATGAGATTGTAAACTTGAAATTAAATTTGTAAACTTGAGAAATATTATACCTTAAATTAAAATACCCTCTAAAAATCTATTCCAATTTTAAACTTAATTTTCTTCAATATGGACGTAAAACAATTTTATGAAAATTCCTTTGCCTTTAGCTTTACCCAATACACGCAATCTACACAATTGACATTTTTAATGTTTTATTTAAATTTAGAAATAAATGTATAGAATACAAAAAATTGAATAAAAGAAATTGTCTTAGAAAACCATAGAAACGAAAAAATAAAATATATAATTTTTGAGAAGCCTGATATTTTAATTATATAAAGCTGTTCCCTTAAATAAATTTTAAAATAGAAAAGAGTGAAAGTTTATTAATTATAGACTAATTAATTTATTGATAATGATGAACCTTGAAGTTTAATAGTTAAATACCGGAAATGTTTAATTAAGTGTATTTTTTAGGTAAGAGGTAGTCCAAAATGTTGTATCTAGAAGAAGAATCATGCCCGTCTATTAACCTAGTATAACTCATTCGAAAGAGTTCAAAAAGTGGATTTCAAGCGTGGGGACATTCTAAAAAGCCTTGCAGAAGGATAGAGCTTCAGAAATAATTAATTCGAGTATTCATTTATTTCGAAGAAGGGTTACTCGATGAATTAAAATCCGATTTGATGATCAAAACCAGTCAGAAGAAAAGGGACTATGGAAGGATATAAAATATCCTTGATATTAAATATATGAACTTGGACTGTTTGCCCGTCCTTATAGAATTTACAAATAGTTTCAGCTTTCTTAAAAATTTCCAAAAATATCGGTGAAAATATGCCTCGATTTTTTTAAATTATTTTCCATAAAATTTCAATAACGTATTTATTGGGCTTTTTTAATTTTCTCTAATTTTTCTTCTCCAATAATTGTGGAATTTCCAATATATTCTATGATCGATGGACAAAAATTTCTTTCATTTCTCCTTCAAAAATTAAAATTTTCTTCATTTAAAATCCAGAAAAGTGTTCTTTTGGTAATTTTTAGATTTTTGCCCTTTCTCTCCTGTTTTAAATCAGTTGTTGTCCAATGATCAGTATTTAAAACTCTCTTGTCGTTGTTAATATATTACATAGGTATCTCCATAAAATAAAACAATGAACGTGGTTTCAAAAATTCTTTTTGTCAATTTTTACTCTCTCGTTTACTTTTTACGTTAAAAATTATTGACTTGGCAGAAAGCTAACTTATCGAATTTTGAGGGAGAGAGGGATGAGCTATATCCTCGCAAGCGTCATTCGAAAGGGTTGCTTATTACCAAGCGGATCAACATCCAAAGGATCATCTTTTAAATTATCAACATTATATGTATGAGCTTTAAAAAGACTTTAATATTGTCCGGATCGAGATCAAAGTTGAATCGGAATTGAATCATTTCCGATTTTCGACAGTTCCGATTTTCGACATTTCCGATTTCCGGCACCTTCATCATTTCCGATTTACCTCTTATCGAGATGTAAGTCTAACAGAAATCTTATTTATCTACTCGATTTTTAAGCCATCGATTCTTGTAAGCCTACCCAGTTCAGCCATTTTTATACTTACAAATTTGAGATCATTCTAAATTTTTTTTGAAAATCTGAATTAGTAAATGTAATGTCTGTAAGACTCATTAAAAACCTCTCAACAGCTCCGGAGCTGGAGTCAAGGTTTGAAAAGGTCGGAGCCGGGGCTAACAAATGCCCAAAACACAGCAATGCTTCTAAGCAATTTTTGGATATTTTTACCTATCTAGTCATATCTCCTTTGAGGTAATCTTTTGGGTTTTACTCACAAATCCTAACCTCTATAGTGATCGGATCGAATGTTTTTCCTCCTTCTTTTTTAAATTCTCTGCTTTACACGCTTTAAATATTTTTTTTTCGGTTATCCTCTATTCCTACCTACCCATCGCATGTGAATGCTAGTGAATTTAATGTTAGCTAAGTGAACTCACAACTTTTTCTTTCACTTCATATTAGTAAAAACAGCAGTAAAAAATAACAAAAAAAATTTATCAACAAGCAAACAAGGATGAGTTTAGATTCCCAAACCAACCCTTTTACCCCTCCAATAACTTCAAATTCGTTAAATACACATGGGACATCTACAGGCGGTGTTTTCCCTAAGAGATCGGCAGGAGTTCCAATGATATCAGCACAATCGGTTGATGAAACACATTTTTATATTATTGAGGGTTTGTTTCTATAATTATGAATTTTTAATTGAAAAATCTCGGATTAGAAGCTTGGAATTGTAAATTAATATTGTAAAGCTTAAAATTAGGGATCGGACCTGGAAAGGGATCCCGAACGTAAATCTTAGCTATTGATATCGGGATTTTTCGGGATATTGATCTCGAGTCTCGTACATCCTTTTATTTCGATCTCTATTTAAAACACATAATATCACTCATACTTATTTAGTCTTCCTCTTCACGTTCAACCCAGAGGTTGAAGGCCACAGGCTGTCAATAGGTGGGTAAAAGACATATTAAACTAGGAAATTAACCAAAAATTTCAAAAAAATCTGCTTCTCTTTTAATTAAATTAGAGTTCCACAAACGCTCAACAGCCGAAGAACTTATAGAGAAAATTCTTGATACCCGCGCTGAGATTGACAACAATTTTGCAAATTGTTCCAAAGATGATTTTGAGCTCTTCGACACAATGGGGACATTGGATGGGCGGACTTATAGGGAGAGGAAGATGGGTAAATTAAATGAGACTATCCCTAAAAACCTCCAAAAAATTATTTTTCAGACCCAACAGAATACCCAGTCATTGTAAAAACACTGTGGCCTAGAGGCCCTTTAAATGCGCAAGACAACGACCCATCAATCCCCAGAAATCGGTTCGTTCTCAAAAGCAAGAAGAGGCTCTCCTCGGACCAGTCAAGCTTACTATTAGCGACAGCTTCAACAATCGACACATTCCTAACCAAATTTTTATCTCAACCCAAGGACCGAGAGTATGCAGACCTTTGTGTTTTGCCCGAATTAACAGAGCAAACATTGCTGGATAATCTCAGAGATCGCTTTAAAAATGGTGCTCAAATTGAATTTTATTTTTAATTTATTTTTAAATTTTTAGGCAAAATCTACACTTATATCGGCCCTATTTTAGTTGCAGTCAACCCCTTCAATTTTTTACCAATTTATAATCCAAAATATTCTCGCCTTTATTGCCAGAATCGACGCCTGGGAGCATTACCTCCACATGGTATTTTATTCAAATATTCTGATTTGTAAATTGGTTTTATTCTGAATAAATTCTGATTTTATTTTAATAGTCAAAGTTAATATTCTGATTAATGTGTGTGTAATTCTGATTTGTATTTTACTGGTTTTCTGGTCTTTTCTGGTTTTTTTTCTGATTTTTTTTCTGATTTTTGTTTCTGATTTTTTTCTGATAGTCTTCATGTTTTATTCTGAATTTTATTCTGATTTTTTTTTTCTGATTTTCTTCTGATATTTTTCTGGTTTTCTCCTGATTTTCTTCTTGTTTTGTTCTGAGTTTTGTTCTGATTTTTTCTGATTTTTTTTCTGATATTTTTCTGGTTTTCTTCTGATTTTTTCTTAATTTTATACTGATTTATCCGATTTTTTCTGATTTTCTGGAAATTCTGATTTCAATTACAACCTTAACTAACCCTCATATATACTATCTACAATCTTAAGTTTGTAAACAATAATATCAGACATAGTAAATTAAGTATCATATTTCTGACTTGTCTAATTATTCGTGTTAATTCACTTATTTTCTTGTTTACTATTGTTTGGTTAAACAAAAAGTTGCTGAACAAATAAAGAAAGATGAAGCGCGGATTTTATTCGGAGATTATATTTGTCATTTCTTACATTTCATTTAATTATTAATAAAAAAATTTTTCAGTTTTTGCAATTGCGGATGTTACTTATCACAATTTGATCAGAAATAAGGAAAACCAGGTTTCCAAAAAATTTAATTTGTTCCTAGCCCAAGCAGAATTCCCGTATTTACTCAAGGATTACCCTCCCTATGACCTCTCTCTATTAATTACCCACTTTAGTATATGTTGAGAAAACAATAACCACTAGGGATGTCACGGATTGAGAAAAAGTCCTTGTTTCGCGTTTCGATCGAAAAACAGTCCGGACTTCAGGTTTTAGGCAACCCATGACATCCTTGATTACCACCTTAAAAATAAAAAATTTCCGCGCAGTTTTAAAGTAGGTTATATATTATAAATTTTCCTGGTCAAATAGAAAGTTTTCTCGGGACAAGTTTATAACCATTTTATAGGTAATTAATAGGGCTACAATAATACACAAAAATAAAGAAGGTCGAAGAAAAAAATTTTTGAGTAAGACTTGAAAAACCGCGAAAAAATTTTTTTCCCTAAGTAAATTTCCGCCACTGTAGTTACCCTCCCCCTTTCACTGTCAATTAATTATTTTTTAATTGCTGCTGAACGGTATTATTTATTTCAGGTAGTAGTAATCTCTGGAGAATCAGGCTCAGGCAAGACCGAATCTACCAACTTTTTGCTTCACCACTTAACAGCATTAAGCCAGAAAGGAACCCAAGGGCATACAATTGAACAACAAATATTGTCAGCTGGCCCTGTTTTGGAAGCCTTTGGGAATGCCCTAACTGTTCAGAATAATAATAGCAGTCGTTTTGGGAAGTTTATTCGAGTAAATTACCGCGAGAACGGGATGGTGTGTGGGGCAAATGTGGAAATTTATTTGCTAGAAAAATCAAGAATAATTTCCCAGGCAGCGGGGGAACGGTTAAAAATTGTCCTTAATTTTAGTTAAAAATTAAATTTTAGTAATTACCACGTTTTCTATTACCTTTTGGAGGGAATGACTGATTCTGAGAGAAAAGACCATTTACTCCTAAATGCAAAAGATTATTACTATCTCAATCAAAACAGCTTTTTTGCCTGTGAATCCTTAAATGAAAAACATGAATTCGAACGGTTAAAACACTCAATGACAGCTGTGGGGTTTTCAACTCAATCCCAACAGAAGATTTTTGGAACAATTTCGGCTGTGTTATTGCTTGGAAATATTGAATATAAAAAATTGGTAGTTAATTACCGTATTTATTCTAATAGAATGGCAGCCATTCTATTTTTCAATACCACAAAAAATTGTCATTCAATTGGAGGTGCCATTCAAATGGAGGCTGCCATTCTATTTTTCATAGGTCAAAAATTGAGATTGGGATTGTTGAGATTGAGATGGGTGATTGGGAAAATTGGCAATTCGACCAACTTTTTTTTGGAAAATTCGATCTTTTAGAATTTTAATAGTGAATTTTCCTCTACGTATCACTATAAGATTCAAAAGTTTTTTGTCTCGGGACTAAGAGTCAAATTTTGATTAAGATAGGTGCAATACAATCAAAATTTCCTGCACAGTTGGGTCCTGATTGCTTATCAAATCGTGGAATTTTGGTGAAATATAGTGGGATCAAGTGACATTTGGATGGATATTGGGTTTTGGAGGGTTATCGAGAGTTTGAGGAGGATGTTGGGTGATTTGGCGAGATATAGGGATCCAGATTTGTTAGCTTTGAGGGATTTGAGGAGGATTACTTTCAAGCATTTAAATTGACTTCTACTTCAAAAATAGCAGTCATGGCCATACTAAAAGGAATATTAATCTAGGTACATAATTAAGGAAATAATTCATCCAAAATTATTCACATCTCCCTCAATCTTTCCTGATCAATCTTGATCATACGCTTATCATACGCATCACCAAAAAATTTGTCTATGAACGAAAAATTGTCTTGAGAATTGTTAATTACTAGTCTTGAGACTCAGAGTCAAGTTTTGGTCTCGGGTCCTGGGGTCAAGTCTTTGGGGTTGAAAAATTTTTGGCTCTATTACACAATATACGTCCAATCAACTATTATGCGTCCAATCAACTTTTATACGTCCAATTAAAGTTTATACGTCCAATGAAAAGATTATGCGTCCAATAAAAATTTATGCGTCCAATGAAAAGTTTATGCGTCCATTCAAATTTTATATGTCCAAACACATTTTTATTAGTGACCGGGCCGGATCCGGCCGGATTTTTCAAGAGTCCGGATACCAAATCCGGGTTTTTTCGCGATCACCGAGTTTTTCCCCAACCGGATTAATTCAGAAAAATCCGGCTGGATCCGGTCCGGCTCCATTGCCAAATCCGGATCCGAATCCATTTTAAACCGGATTTGAGATTGATCCGGTGACGGGGACGGTTGTTCATGTGACGGCTACAGTTGTTTCTATTAACCCCTTTTGAGCAAGGCATTATAATAAATAAAAATTATTTTGATTTTTTCTGAATTTATTTTTTCACTGGACATATAAAAATTTATTTGGACGCATAAACTTTTATTGGACGTATAAAAATTTGATTGGACGCATAAATTTTCATTGGACGTATAAACTTTGATTGGACTTATAAAAGTTGATTGGACGCATAATAGTTGATTGGACGTATATTGTGTAATAGAGCCAAATTTTTGGTCTCGGACATCTCTACTAAATATCACACCATACTTATTTTATTTTAATCCCAGATATCTTCGTCAAATGTTTTTATCCCTCATTATCCTCTCAAATCCCTTGATATCCCTATCAAACACCACTTTTTTGCCCTAGACATGCTCAAAAATATCGGAACTATCATACTAAAAAGGGATATTAAACTAGTTAATTAAGGGAATAAAGAAATAAGAGTTAGGTAGTTAATAGTTAGAAAGTGTCATTCTATTAGAGGTGCCATTCAAATAGAGGCTGCCATTCTATTTTTCATTCATTCAAAAATGTGTCATTCTATTGGAGGTGCCATTCAAATGGAGGTGCCATTCAATTAGAATAAATACGGTATATGTCTTTAAGTATAAGCTTGAATTATTAAAGCTAAGTTGGAATTTACAAACTTAAACTTTCAAGCTTGAACTCGATTTAATTATTAAGCTTATTAACTTATGTTTACAAATTTTAATTAAATTTTAATTAATAAACTTGAGTAAACTTGAATTTTTAAGTTTACAAACTTAAGTTGGAAACTTGAACTGAATAATAATAAAATAAACTTAGGCTAAATAAACTTGGACTTAATAAACTTGAATTTATTTATTAAAGTTTATAAACTTAAGTTTACGAACTTGAAATTAATATATAATTTAAATAAACTTGAAATAAATAAACTTGGATTTTTAAGCTTACAAACTTAGTTAAAAAGTTGGATTAATTTAAGTTTATAAACTTAAGTTTACGAACTTGAAATAAATATTAATTAAATAAACTTGTAATTAATAAACTTGGATTTTTAAGTTTACAGACTTGAAAGTAACATTTAAACAAAATTTAATATTTCCAGCGCCCAGGGTTTCACAGTGACGAGAGTGCCTTTATTGAGAACGAGGAACTTGTATCTATTGTTTCAGGCATGCTATGCATTTGTGCTCAACAATTAACTCAGGTGAACATTCAAGTCTACAAACTTAAATTTGTTTTTAGGCCTTAACAATGCGCCGTACAGTATTAAAACACGATGTAGTAGTCAATCGTTATAGTTTAGCAGAGGCTACCCAAACTAGGGATGCTTTAGCCAAGTGTCTCTACAATGCTTTATTCCATTGGATTGTTTTGAGGATTAACCATTCTCTCTTTCGGAAGGAATCTGCTACGGCGAACAAAGCAAATGGACTTTACATTGGAATTTTGGATATTTTTGGGTTTGAGGATGTTGGGGGGAATTGTAATTCATTCGAGCAATTATGCATTAACTATGCTAATGAAAGGCTTCAAGCCTATTTTAACCAACACATTTTCCAATTTGAACAGGAAATTTATATGAAAGTGAATTTTTAAATCTTACTTTTAACTTCAAAAATTCCCCAATTTAAAGGAGAATATTCGCTGGACACCTATACAATATACAGACAACACGGAATGTGTTGAAATGTTTTCTAGCAAGCCTTATGGACTTCTTAGACTTGTGGATGAGGTAAAATTAGGTGATATACCAATGCTCTATTAGAAGCACATAGAAGCCCATACAAGCTTGCCCAAGGGGGCCATCGGGAGAAAGCTCCTCTCTAATAGAAGCTCATATCCAATACAAGCCAGTCAACGAATATATTAAAATAGAATACCAGGGCTTATTACTAGAGCCGTTCCGATAATTTAAAAATAATTTTCAAAAATTTTAGGAGAGCAATATAAACAATGGTACTGATCAGTCAATGCTTGAAAAATTAAATACCTTTTTGCGAACAAATGAGTATTACGAAGTCCCCCATAAAAGAGAAGCTGCATTTATTATTGCCCATTATGCCGGGAAAGTCAAATATCAAATTTATGGTTTTCGAGAGAAAAACAAGGATTTAATGCGGCATGATGTAATGAACGTTCTTAAAGGAAGTAAAAGCGCTTTTGTTAGGGAATTGGTTGGGGAAGATCCTGTAGCTGTTTTTAGATGGAGGTAAAAATAAACTTGGATTTCAAGGCTTAAAAATATATTCCTTAGTTTGTTGCGCTGTACGGTGCGAGCAATGTTCGCATTTCGACAGGCTGGAAGGACAAAATTAAGAGCAGGTATTATTCAAAAACTTGAGTTTCTAGTTTTCAAGTTTTAAACACTCTTTCAAATACCCTCTTAAATAATTACCCACCCACCTCCCCCCCCCCCAGCGAATGTTGAAATATATAAAGGAGAACATTCGCTGGACACCTTGAAAAATTATACCCTCCCCACAAATACCCTCCCCAATACCCCATCCGCCCGATGGCCCCCCAAAACTCGAATGACTCGAATGAAAGCCTCCACCACCTATTACCCCTCTAGCAAAAAGTAGAAACAATAATTAACAAGAATAATTATTTGAGCCTATTTTCACACTCTTAAATTTTCAGGCAGTGTTGACAGACTAGAATTGACAACTGCCCAAACCCCTTCAATGGCCCGTCGTTCCTCCGACTCTCATCTAAATGCCTTTCTACGTGGCGAACTACCAGCTAGCATCGTTCCCGATTTCTGCGATATTTCTGTATTCAAAACCATCAAGGAAAGGGCTCGAAAGACTCCAACAAAATCCCACAGCCTACGCTTATCCTACCTAAAAACCCTACAAGCTTTGAAAGGCGCAGTAGGCCAAAAGGCTATTCCAAACAAGCCCAGCTCTGTCAGCCGCCAATTTGGTGCATCCCTCTCTAGATTGATGAAAACTTTGGGGCAGGCTACCCCCTACTTTATTCGGTGCATAAAATCAAATAATGAGAAAGTCCCCAATCACTTTGATGATAATATCATACTTCGTCAATTACGGTATACTGGAATGCTGGAGACCGTACGTATTCGCCGTGCTGGTTATTCTGTTCGGATTGAATATGAAGTGAGGGGGGATTAATTTTTATATTTAATTTTTGTTTCCAGTCCTTTGTCAACCAATATCGCATACTGTTGCCTAAGGGTCTGGCATCAACAAAAAGTGATATCCAAGAATTTATGCGTTGTATACCCATAATAGACTCTGAGGAGAATATACAATATGGAAATACAAAAATATTTATGAGGGACCCAGAAAAGTTATTACTTGATGATCATCTACATAGAATTATAATGGAAAAAATTTTAACCTTGCAAAGATGGATTAGAGCTCAATTGGAGCATAAACGCTACAAAAAGTTTAGAGCAGGCGTGATTAAATTACAGGTAGAATAATGGTGTACTTAAGTTTTTAGATTCAGCCTTAAGTTTTTAAGCTTAGTCTTAAATTTGGAAACTTAAGTTTGTGGACTTAAGTTGGTAGTCTTAAGCTTAAGTTTTATATTTCCCTCAAGTTTGGAAACTTAAGTTCGTGAACTTAAGTTTGTTATAGTCTTAATTTTGTCACTTAAGTTTGTAGTCTTAAGTTCGTAATCTTAAATTTTTGTAGTCTTAAGTTTGCACTCTTAAGTTTGGAAACTTAAGTTTTAAAATTAAGTTTATAGTCTTAATTCTGTCACTTACGCTTGTAACCTTAAGTTTGCAGCTTAAGTTTGTAAGCTTAAGTTTGCGCTCTTAAATTTCTATTTCAAGTCTCATCCTTTACAAAATTTAGGCTCTAACTCGAGGTGTTTTGGCTCGAATTAAAATGCAACGGAAACATGCTGCTGTTATTTGTATCCAATCTTGGTGGAGGAAAATTGTTGCACAACGAAAGTATAGAATAATAAGGCATACTGTATTAGGAATACAATCACTAGCCAGAGGAAATGCTCAAAGAAAATGGTAAGGCTACTAGGACTCCTTAATGTGTAAATTCGCTCTTAATTTTTTCAAGTTTGGAAGAGCGCCGAGCTTCAAAAGAAAACAAGTCAAGTTCCCCTCGCCCTATGATCACCCGTATTACCAAAACAACGTTGCCAAAATTGGATATTAATGATCCTGAAAGTTTGGCAGCCTTTGCTTCTCCTGATTCTTTTGATTCAAGAGAGTTGGACGATGAACTTCTCCTTTCTATAGGGGAGGAAGAAGAATCCGATGAAGATGAGGAAGAGGAGGAGGAAGACGGGGAGAGGTTGGAAGAAGAAATGTTTGAGCTTGATGATGAGAAGTTGGCAAAGCACAAAAGAGAGCATCCCGAACTTGCACTAGATGCAGACTTCATTTTGGAAGATGCCCGTCTTAAACTGATCCAATCCCATTCTTACGAGGCCAAAAGAAAAATGATGCAAAGGAGGCAATCTTTAGCCGCTACTTCTGCTAGAAAGCATAAAATGCTGCGGCGGGCAGCTAGTACAGAAAGCGACCAAATCCAAGATTCGTCGTGTAAAGCTAAAGTAGTAATATTTGTTTGAATTTCCCCCAAGATTATCCAATTTTAAGATTCCAAGTTCAATCTCAAAAGTTGGTCCAAAAGCAAAAAACAGCTTTTTAAAAGCCACAAAGCAAATTAAAGCTCTTCTCAAAAAAGCTGGAAGGCAGGGGGCTGTTGATGTTGGGGGAGAAGGAGGGCATTTTGAATTTGATGCAATACCTTCTGCTTCTACAAGAAGGCAATAAAAAAAATTTTTTTTCTTTCAAAAAAATTTTTAGTTCGTCCAAAGAATGTGATAAACTTCGTTTCCACCAATTCAAGCCTAGTCGGGTTTGTAAAACCGACAAATGTGCCACATGCAATCGGCAAATGACAGGCATATTGATGGTTCAAGGCCTTCGTTGCACTGGCTGCCGATTAATATTTCACAAAGATTGTGCCAACTTTGCAACTAAAATACCTTGCACAACCCCTCTAACTTCGCCTAACCCAGTTTATAAAATGAGTGAGGCTGGTAGAAGGCCTTGGGAGAGAATGTGAGTTATCTGGGATATCCTAAGCTCTGAGGGTTATTCAGGTGGTACCCTTCTGTTTTAAGGTTTCCAAAAAATCCTTTAGTTTCCAAAAAAGTTTGGCACTTACACGATTCCTGGAAACTAAGGTTTCTCTCCGACCAGTCGAGGAGAACACTTTTGAGAATGAGGATGTCGAGGAATAAACTGTTTGGAATTAATCGAGGATCTGGGTGCCGATTAATATTTCACAAGGATTGTGCCAACTTTGCAACTAAAATACCTTCACAACTCCTCTAACTTCGCCTAACCAACCCTACTAGCCCAGAACCTGATAAGCCTGGTTAAACTCTTTCGGATTTTTCCCAAAATTTTACTGACTTAAAATTTTAAGGAGCTTCAAATCCCCTCGACTTAGCCTTGCTTCAACCTACCATGGACCTCTGTTTGGAGCTGGATTCACAGCTATACCCAGCTTCAACTTGACTAAAACAAAGCAACAAGTAGTCCACTTATATTTTTAAATTTAATTTTCAAATTAATAGACTGACTCCACCGCCCTTCTAATAGAAAGTATTGACGATTTGAGAGAATTCAGTGTGTTTATATTCAAAAAACAGTCTCATCTTGGACAACAAAATAAGCGAGAGACTGTAGTTGATGCAATATTTAAAAGGGCATTGAGGGAGTTTCATATGGAACTAATTGGGATGGAAGCTACATTACAGGCAAAATTTCGAAAAATTAGAAGAAAATTTTAAAAAATAAATCAAAAAATATTATTTCCAGAGAGGAAGCACAACATTAAAATATCACGATTTAATACGTACCTTTGAGGGATTGTTAACCAAAATTTGTAATGAAGAAAAGCTTACGTTTCCTACGACCTTGGGTAAATTTATGAAATATTGCTAAAATAATTTTAAAAATTAAAGGAGTTAATGCCTTTCGAGGCTTCCTCAATGAATTTATGGAGCAGAGAAAGCGAAGAAGTTCATCTAAAAAGAGTTCTATAATAAAGGCAATATTACAATTATAAAAATTAAGTTTGTATTTTTTGTATTTTTAGACGGTTAAAAAGAAACGAAGACGTTCTGATATAACGGCAAGTTTATTAATTTAGAACTATAAAGTTTATTAAAATAAATTTTTATTTAGTTTCCGGAAAGTTTATTTAAATTATTTCTAGAATTATTTATAGTTATTTTTCCGGAAACATCTCTATTTTTTCTTGAAACCTTAATAATATTCCGGAAAAGTATTTTAATTTTATTAAATTCCGGAAAGTTTATTTAAATTATTTTCAGAATTAATTATAGTTATTTTTTCCGGAAACATCTCTATTTTTCCGGAAACGTATTTTAATTTTATTAAATTTCCGGAAAGTTTATTTAAATTATTTCTAGAATTATTTATAGTTATACTTTTCAGGAAACATCTCTATTTTTCTTGAAACTTTAATAATATTCCGGAAAAGTATTTTAATTTTATTTAGTTTTCGGAATGTTTATTTAAATTATTACCCGAATTAATTATAGTTATTTTTTCCGGAAATACATAGAAATATATATTCAGAAGTATTTTAATTTCTTTTATTTTCAAGTTCAATCTTAACTTTATTTTTATTCAGATACATAATGGTCACCAATTTAGTCTAGATTATGTTCATATTCCCACATATTGCGAGATTTGTAATGTTTTTATGTGGCATGCTGAAAGGGTTGATATTCTTCATTATTTATTTTTTAAATTATCATTTCTGTAGATATTTGTTTGTTTTGCCTGTCGCCTTTCCTGCCACAAAAAGTGCCATTCACGTGTTAATTATGTCTGCCCTAAGGCTAATAATGACCAACCGGTCTGTTAATATTTCTAATTTATCCCCATATTTTCCCTTAAATTTAAGACCTGTTCCAAATTTTTCGGCACAGATTTGGCCAATTTATTGGCAGATGATGAAGTCCCTGCTTTACTAAATAAATTACTTAATTGTGTTGAAGTTAAAGCCTTGTTTGTTGAAGGAATTTATAGAAAGAGTGGACAGATGGCTGTTTTTAAAGGGATAAGGAAAAAGATTGAGACAATTAAAGGTAAATAGAACAGAGAATATTTTAGAGGTATAGCCTTACTAATATTCCGGTTATTTCCGGAAAGTTTATTTAATTAGGTATATAAAGTTTATAGTTATACTTACGGGAATATTATTTATTTTTCCGGAAAATCTATAATATCCGGAAGGTTTGCTTAAATAATTTTCTGAGTTATTTTTCCGGAAAGATTTTATTTATATTTCCGGAAAGTTTGCTTTGATACTTTTCGAGCTATTTTTCCGGAAAGTTTTGTTTTTAATATCCGGAAGGCTTGTTTAAATAATTTTCTGTTTATTTTTCCGGAAAGATTTTATTTATATTTCCGGAAAGTTTGCTTTGATACTTTTCCGAGTTATTTTTCCGGAAAGTTTTGTTTCCGGAAGGTCTGCTTAAATAATTTTCTGAGTTATTTTTCCGGACAGATTTTTATTTATTTCCGGAAAGATTATAATTTTTATTAAATTCCGGAATAGTATTAACATAACGTTCCAGAATATAATTTCCGGAACGTTTGATATTGATAGAGAATAATGTATCCTTTCCGGAGAGTTATATTCTTTTCTTTTTATTATCCGAAAAGTTTGCTTAAATAATTTTTTGAGTTATTTTTCCGGAAAGATTTTTATTTATTCCCGGAAAGATTATAATTTTTATTTGATTCCGGAATATTATTAATATAACGTTCAAAAAATTTCCGGAATGTCTAATATTTTTACAAAATTATCCTTTTCGGAAAATTATATTTATTCTTTACTTTAATATTCAGAACCGGAAGCTATCAACTTTGACGACATTCCTATTCATGTACTTACAAGTCTAATAAAAGCATTTTTCCGTGAATTATCAGAACCTCTAATTATACCTGATTTATACGAGAATTTTGTAAATATATCGGGTAACTTGAATATTTTCTTTTAAATATTTTTTAAAATATTTTTAAGAAATTAAAGAAACAAATGAAAGGGTAAGGTGTTTACGTGCCATGATGGATATGTTACCCAAAGGAAATAAATGTGTATTGGACAGGCTTATGTACCATTTGGGTAGAATATCGAAAAAAATTTTTGTTTAAATTTTTTAAAATATTAAATTTAGCAAGAGTAGCACATCAAGAATCTGTAAATAAAATGTCTGCTTCTAATTTAGCTGTAAAAATATTTATTATTAAAAAAATTAACTAAAATTTTTTTAATGAAATAAAGGTAATATTTGCGCCATGTATAGTTCGAAGGAATACTACGGTACATGCACAAGAACAACTTATGGACGTTCAAAAACAAGTGTGTTTTTTCTAAAATTTACATAAAATAAAAATAAGGAATTTTAAAACAAAAAATTTTTTCAAGGCCATATGCGTTCAAACACTAATAGAGGATAAACTCCACCACCTACAAGAAACACTATCTCAAATTGTTGAGCTGGAAGGGGCTACAGAAAAGGTATAGTTTAATTTGTAAAGATAAATTTGAAATAATTTTCCGGAAGTGTTATTTAAGAGTTGTATTTCTAGCTATAATTATAAGGAATAATTATTGTAGTTAACTTTATAAGCTCCGGAAAGACAACTTGTTATTCTATTTCTATAGTTCCGGAATTTACATGGGAAAAAAATTTCCTTTCGGTTACTATATAGATTCCGGAAAGCATGGTTTTTTCTTTAAAAATATATTTCTTTTATTATCTAGGTTTATATAATTTCCGGAAAGAAAGTTCGGTTATTATTATATTTATAGTTCCGGTTATATAATTATATATGTTCCGGAAATTATAGTTATATTTCTTTTCCGGAAAGTTCATTTAATTAAGTTATATATTTTCCGGAAAGAAAATTAAATCATATTTATTGTTCCGGTTATATATGGGTTCCGGAAAGTATAGTTATATTTCTTTTCCGCAAAGTTTATTTAATTAAAACTTTATTATTTTTCTACTTAAATATATTAGGTCACCGAAAACTTGAGACGTATTGAAGAACATAGACGAGCATCTACCGGAACAATGATACCCACATTGTCTAGTACAGATTCTACAACTAACGAAAATAAGGATACTTTAATAACCCCAAAAATATCCACAACAACAAAAATAATTTCTACAAATTTAAATAATAACGAGGAAGAAAAGAAGAATAATTTAACAATTAAAGAAAAAGAAAAAAATATTGAAACAGCTAAACAATTATTTGAAGAACAATTGGACTTTTTGGATAAAGAAAAGGCTAAATTAATACAAGAATTGCCCCCATTAGCGCCTGTTGCGTCATCAGAAGATTTAAGTTCTGATGATGTTGATAATTCTGGGGGTGTTAAAAATGAAGCTAAAAACACTAAAGAATTGGTTAATATTTAAATTTTTTTAAAAAAAATTTTCAAAAAATAAAAAAAATTTTCTTTCCAGCAAAACAAGCAAGAATCTCTACGTTCACAAAACAGTATTGAAGAATATGCCCTAGATCTATCAGTACCTCCTGTAGTAGCATTACTACACCATGCTTGTAAATCAAGACCTAGTAAGGGTAAAGGAATGAGGAGACCGAGTATTAATTTTATTAGAAAATGGAGAAATGAAATTGTAAATAATGCTCAGATAAATTACAATTTGTAATTATAAATTGTAATAATTTCCTGTTATTAATATAGTAATAATTCCGGAATTAATAATTCCGGAAAATACAAACTTTTATTTTAATGAAATAAAATTACAAATTGTAATTACACTTTCCGGAAAATTATTGTTCTAATATTTCCGGAAAATAAATTTGTAATATAACTTTCCGGAAAATTATTAAATTCCGGAAAATAAATTTTTATTACATTTTCCGGAAAAAATTATTATTTCCGGAAAAACAATTGTAAATACAATTTAAGGAAACATTATTATTTCCGGAAAATAAATTTGTAATTGAACATTCCGGAAAATCAATTGTAGTACAATTTTCCGGAAAATTATAAAATTCCGGAAAATAAACTTGTATTACAATTTTCCGGAAAAAATTATATTTCCGGAAGAACAATTTGTAAATACAATTTCCGGAAACATTATTATTTCCGGAATTTGTTTTACTAATAAACTTGACAGAACTATATTTTCCGGAAAAAGTTTAATTCACCCATAATTTAAATTTAATAATTTCCGGAATTATTCATAATCTCTGCATGCTCATATTATTACTACATTATGTATTCAAACAATTTTTGAATTTTTTCTATTTGCCAATAATAAAAATTTTTGCCAAATAATTTTATTTGTTAAAAAACAAACAAATTAACAGCCCCACCATTTTTATTTTATTAATAATCAATAAAATAAACTAGAAATTCGCTATCATATAGAGCAATCAATCTCTTCACTGATCAATCAAATTGAGGAAAGGCGAAGAAAAAATAGTTGTTGTTTGGGTAATTTTTTGGAGGTTATTTAACTTGTATTTTTCTTTCTTCTATTTTTTTTTAAAAATAAATTTTTATTTTTCCCTTTTAGAAAAAAAATTTTTTAGAAAAAAATCATGAAAACCCCTCCCTAATAAATGTGCCAACCCCAACACCCTTCCGTTTCTTCCACCCCAACAAATTCTACCAGTACAAGTTTTGTAAATTCCATCCAAACTTGGCATTTAAATTCTGCAGCGTTTACAGTTGTAGCTACCTTCATATTTGTTCAGTTCAGAGCACTCCTGCGCTCTTTTCTAACGAGAAATGCTCAGAGAATGGTTAGGGCATCCATAAGTTCGTTAAGAGGAAAGTTATCTGAAGGTGTAGAAAGAGGATCTGATAGGAGGAAAAGTAGCAATAAAAAGGAGGAAAATGGTGAAGAGAAGGAATATGTGGATAAAGGGGTTGGTTAACTTTTAAAAATTATTTTTAATGTAAGGCCGTGGAGGCATTGGAGAGCTCTCAAGGTCAAGACCCAACCGATCTCTTCTATCCTCTGGGATGGGTGGCCAACTAACATATTTAGCAATCTAGAACTACATTTAAAACTACTTCGCTTACAACTCCCCATTAACCTCTTTGAGAAGATTCGGGTTACGGTAGAATGAGAGAATGATTACCTACCCTAACATACATCTGTCCTTCTCCTACTTATGTAATTATTTGGAATCTTTTCGAAAAAAATTTTGGGAGAAAGAAAGTTTAAAAAAAAGGTGGGATCAGATCTGGATATGGCAATAGAAGAACATGACAACATTTTACAGCAATTTCCCGTTGAACTGCCCTATCACCCAATTAAATTAACTGAACATGAGATGCTTAAACGTTCCCAACTTTTTTATGAACAAATGAAATCAAGGAGAAGTGTTCGTTGTTTCAGCAGTAAACCTGTGTCTATTAAACTTGTGCAGAATTTGATAAAAACTGCAGGTTAGTTGGAAAAGATTTTCGTTTTCTTATGGTGAGTGGGTGTGTTTGGAGGGTAACCCCAACCTACCGCGAGGCCAACCTACCGCTGAGCTATATCCGGGACGCCTTGGTATGGTTCGATGCGCCTTGACGAGCTGAATCTAAACATACCAGGGCGTCCCGGTAGGTTGGACTGCTCCCGTGTCTTGAAGCACTCACTACTATAAGACACCCTTTAAACAGTCGATTATCACCATAATTTCCAGGAACATCCCCTAGCGGGGCTAACATGCAGCCTTGGACTTTCTGCATAGTTCAAAGCCCCAAAATCAAGAGGGCAATAAGAGAAGTTGTGGAAGAACAGGAACAACTAAACTATACACGTAGAATGGGTGCTCAATGGGTTTTGGATGTTTCCCATTTGAACGTAAATTGGAATAAGCCTTACTTGACTGAAGCGCCGTACTTAATTGTTGTGATGAAACTTGTTTGTTTTCTAAATTTTTAAAGGGAATAAAACAAGATTTTCAGCCCTATTATCTGGATGAACAAGGAGAAAGAAAACCGACTCACTACAGTGAACAAAGCACGTCTATAGCTGTGGGCATTTTGGTTGCTGCGATTCAGGTAAGATGTTTAGAAATTTGGACGTTTTCTAGTCATTAGTAGGGCTATTTCCCGCCCCCCCCCCCCGTGACGCTGCCTCCCCGAAAATTGTTCCCCGTGCCAACCCTAGGCTTTAAAGATTTTCAGAAATTTTTCAGAATATTTTCAGAATTTTTTTTAGAAATTTTCAAAATTTTTTCAGAAAATTTCGGAATTTTTTTGGGACTTAAAATTTTTCAGAATTTATTTTTCTTAATAAATTTGAAATTTAAGAATGCCGGTCTAGTTACTGTTGTCTCCACTCCTTTAAATGCAGGGTCTGCTATACGTGAAATTCTGCAAAGGCCGATAAATGAAAAAGTGAGCGTTCTACTCCCTTTGGGATATCCTGCTGAAGGCGTACTCGTTCCGGATATACGGAAAAGAAATATTGAGGATATTATGCGTATTTATTAATACTTTCAGAACATGTAGTTATTTTAGACACAAAGATATATTTAATTTAATTTTGAATTTTTTACACATTTCTGCCTACACATTTCTGCCTACACACAACAATAGACATTTATAATACAAAAAAAATACATATAGAAATTTTAAAAAATATACAATATACCTATAATACAAATGATATGGGTCTGGTCTTCGGAACCAATCCATAGACCGAGTTCTATCGAGTTTCTGACAACCCTACCATGGTTGCCGGTCTATGGGGAATCTTCAGATATTCGGATCCATCCAACAACAGATTGAAACAATAATTACCCCCAAATAAATGCCCTAAAACACGTTCAAATTTCAAACCTCGTATAATTACCCTCCCTTATTTTACCCTCCCGGATATAGGTATACATATAATTTTAATACAAAAAGGGTAGGTCGGGTGCTTGGTTTTGGTTTATGGTCGAGTTTAAGACAACCCTACTATGGTCTTCAGATATTCGGATCCAATATCAGAATAGAAATTTTCGGATATATGGTCTTTCCTAGGATATATGGTCCTTCCTAGTATATCCAGATCCGCCAACCTTAAACCCAAACAATCCCTCTACTACATATGAAAAATAATCAAGATTTCTTATCATCCTTACTCGATATATTTTTTTCTTTTTTGTTAACAACCCTCGAATCATTAGAAGATGCTGCAGAAGAAGAAGCTGATATTGAAGCAGATTTATTTATTTTTATTGTCCTTCTTTTTCCCTTAGCAGCGGCTTCCTGTGGACTGTCCTTTTTACGGAACAAATTTGCTGCTTTAACTTTATCGTTAATGGAGAGGGACGAAATGTTTTCGGTTGATAGGCGCTTCTTGTAACGATTTTGTCTTCCATTTTCGTTATCACTTGAAGGCTCGCTATTAGTTACTATTCTGCCTTCGTCCATTTGTATTATTGTATTTCTGTTGGAATCTACTTCAGTTTCCTCGTATAATGGTGGAGGGAAGTTGAAATCTTTAAATTTTATTCTTTAATAATCAGGTGGTTTAATGGAATAGATCTTTAAAAATAGACCTGAACCTCCTTAAAGAATTCATAAGGATTTTGAAGGAAAGAACCTGAGTTGCAGGGACTCCCCTTTGACTATGAGTCTAATGGCTCCAGATGACTATGATTCCTAAGTTAGTCTAAGCTGGGGCTCTAGAAGTAATCCTAAGTAAGGTTTCCCTTAACGGTGATCCAGCTATGACCCTCATGAACTTCAACAAGTATATCTTGAGATAGGTATCCTTAAGTATTTATGACGAGGAATTGCTCGGAAACACTATCTACTGATGTGAAAAGACCCTTCCATATAAGCAACTAATTAAGAAAACCCCTCCAAGAATTAAAAAATAAAAACAGCTAATTTCACCTGTCTTAATTTCCGAAGCAGGAATGTTTGGAACATCGTTAGAAGGTAACATTTCAACACCCCTTACTCTACTCCCTACAGAGGGAACCAATTTACGTTGGGTAAGATGAACGTGTTGGTGTTGTTGGTTTTTAATATTGGAATAGACAGGTAACTGAATTTCGGTAAACGATGAAATTATTCGCTCTTCTGATGTTCCTTTAGCTGAAACTAAAAGCCTCCTAGCTGCGTCTGCTACTCCGGGAAGTATATTTCCATTTGCAAGTTTTCGATGGCCTGCTAGCTGAAGCTGTTTTTGATTATTCATCTGCATTAATTTTGCATTGTTTATTGCTGCATGGGTAACGACAGAACGCAATGCTGGAGACATTTGGCGATCTTCTAGTCGATAATATTGAAAGTTGACATGCTGGTGTAATAAGGAAGAATACATATTTAATTTTCCGGAAAGTTTTCTAGTAAACTTAAGTTTTGTTTTATTCTTTCCGGAAACTTTACTAGTTTACTTAAGTTATTTTTTCCGGAAAGTTTTTAGTGAACTTAAGTTTTGTTTAATTTTTCCGGAAACTTGAGTTTGCAAAATACTTTGTTTAAGTTTCCGGAAACTTAAGTTTGCAAAATACTTTGTTTAAGTTTCCGGAAACTCAAGTTTAGAGAATACTTTGTTTAAGTTTCCGGAAACAATTTAATATTAAGGTGAAATTATTATTCCGGAAACTATTTCATTTTCATGAAACGATATAATTTTCCGGAGCGGATATAGTCTTCCGGAAATTCTATTTTCTCAACTAGCTACTTTATTTATTTCCGGAAACAACAATTAATTTTCTATAAATATTATTTAATGTTCCGAAAATTTTATTTTGTACTAAAATTACGTTAGTATTGTCATTTCCAGCGTTTAGTTTTATATTCTCCTCCCGATCACCAGCATCCTCCCCTCCACCATCTCCAACACCTCTTGTATATATCTTCCTCCCTCCACCAGGTCTGTAACTGTTTGGAGAACTATTACCAGCTATCGAGGTTGGAGGGCGTATTCCAAAAGAGTTTCTAGGGTTCTGCCCACCACCTCCTCCAACAGTCTCATCGGTGACTAGTCTATCGTGGCTGTGAAGTAAATAACTTGTTGCTTCTAATCCAAGTTCTTTGGCCATTGTGATAATTTTGCGGCCTATTGACTTTAAAATTTTTTTACAATTTTTAATCCTTGAAAATTTTTTTACTTTCCAATTGGCAATAGCTTGTTTTCGCTGTTTAGCTCTCGTCTTTTTAGTTTGCCTAATAACCATTAGCCCTCGTGTCTCTCTCCCAGGGTCATTCATTCTAATAGAATAATCAAGCTGTACTGTTGCCAATGTTCGTTTATCCACACTTCTCTCCAAAACCATTACAATTTGGGCGTACTTGAAATTTTTGAGTTAAAAAGAAGTTATCCGGAAAAGATTGGGGTAATATAATTATTTCCGGAAAAATAGGAGTATCTTCTGGGAGTATAAAAATGATTTCCGGAAATAATAAATATTTTCCGGAATTTATAAATGTTTTCCGGGGTTTATAAATGTTTTCTGGGAGTATAAAAATGTTTTCCGGAAAATAATAAATATTTTCCGGAAAAGAAAATAAAATGTTTTCCGGAATTTTAATTTAGCTTTCCGGAAGTTTTATTTACCTTTCCGTAAAAATATTTTGTATTCCGGTAAAATTATATTTTCTTTCCGGAAAAAATGTATTCCGGAAACATACATTTTCCGGAAACTTAAATTAATGTTCCGGAAACTATATAAATTCTCTTAAGTTCAGGAAAAAATATATTCAATTATATTAGTCTTCCGGAACTTTAAAATTATTTAAATAATTCCAACTTGCTGTCTCCAAGCCATTTCTGCTTGGCTTATAATATTAGTATAGGTTGTCCCCATCATTGCAATAAGGATGTTGGTCATCATCTTTAGATTTTTTAATTAAAATTAATTTAAAATTAATTCCTCACTATAGGCATAATAAACATCATAAGAACAAAAAGTGTTTTGGCAAGAGGTTCATAATTTGTGCAGCCGAATTCTTCATACTTTTAATTTAATTTAAAAATTTTTTTAATTTATTTTAATTAGAAATTACATCCATTCCATTCATACAAATTCTAAAAAGAGTCATGAACGTATCCAGAGCCGAGGCGTAATTAGTAACTTTGTGGTTCGCTTCACAATAATTAGTATCATTTTTATCAAGTCCCTTGATAAAATTTATTTTTATATTTACATATAAAATAAAGTCGGACCTCACTCTAAGATATCTCAATACTTAGATAACTTCAATTCAAGCATAATTTTTAAAGGGGTAAGGAAGAGAAAGATCCAGCAGGCTAGCATTTAAAACGCTCACTAGACGGGGGTTTAGGATCTATTAAAAGAGACGGTGAAAGCAGCGCCCCGGTAGCCCACTCGGAAAAGCACCTGTACTTGGTGAGCGAAAGCTCCTAGCATAACTACTATGAGGTCGCAGGATCGAAGCCTGTCCGGAATTAAACTTTTCCCTCTCTTTTACTGAATGTTCTATCTCAAACGCTTAGGTGCGGTGTGTCGTGAGTATAGAAAGAGTTTGCAAAAGTTTAGCCATCGGGCAGAATTCGAACCTGCGACCTCCCGCTTATATGCAGGAGCTCTACCTCTGAGCTACCGGGGCATCGACTAATGCTTTCTCTTTTTCCTTTTTAGATCGTTTATCCCCCGCCTAAGCGTTTTAAATGCTGCTAGGTGAATCATCCTTACAGTATCTAACTCTAGATAGGGGTCGCAAGATCGAAGGGGGTCGCATCTATATCCTTTCCCAAAAAGAAATTTTTAATTGCCCAAGAATTTATTTAAATGTGAGGTCAGACTATATTTTCATAATAAAACATTAATTAAATACCCTTTTTGCATCTATATCCTTTCCCAAAAAGAAAAATGCCTGCGAGAAGGATATCAGAAATATAGAAGAAATGATGGAGAATCGAAACTGTATTTTAAAATTTTCAAAAAATATTTAATTAATTACCATATCTCCAGCAATCATGCTATAAATCATTTGGACAAAGGGCCCAGTCAGTTTAGCACTACGGGCAAAAAATAACAAAAAAATCCAGGAGCCTTGATTTTTTTTAATTTTTAAAATTTAATTTAGTCGAAAACCGGGCAATGCAAAAGACAATAAAGCTTCTTCCAAGAGAGGCATTCTTAAAATTCTTAATACAGCACAGGCGAGAAGGCACAAATTTGCAAATAAATAAACTATTTTGGAGGGGGCATTCATCTGGATTTTTATTTAATTTCCAAAATTTAAGCTAATTTACCAAATTTCTTAAGTAGTCATAAATGCTTTGGGTGCGTAGTTCACTCAATTGTTGGCCTAATACGAACCATAAACAGCTTATGATTGTTAATATTTCGAAGACTGTTCGGAGCTGTTATAAATTAAAAAATTAATTTTAGTAAAATATTGTCGAATCTCGATATAGAATTAAGATATCCTTGGTAATAGGATACTCCTCAAGATGCCTGAGTGGACGACTAAAGATGATTCAGGCTTAGTCGATTTATGATACGACCGGTGTTGGGTCTGAGCGTTTTATAGATTCGAAAAGGCTCGACCTTTTTCATATCCTGTCTCTTAATCCGACTTTGAGCATCATAGCCAGCTTCCAGAGTCGCATCTACCAATATATCGGGTATCGTTATAAAATCTAATTTACCCATCCCAGAATTTAATTTATCTTATACCGCTATCCAACATTTATTTAATTAAAAACTACCCAATCTGGCCATATAGGCTTTATTAAATACAATCTGTCAGTTTCTACAGGGCGTAAATACACAACAAAGCAAATACAAATAAGATGGAATACCAATAAAGCTAAACGCTGGAATAATTTACGCTGAAAATATTTTTTATTTAATTAAATATTTAATTAAATTACTTCAGCAAAAGCCTTCCATTTGTCTGCTAATAAACGCTGAATTACTTCACTTCCGATAATTTCCAAGTGGTCTGGAGTGTTTCCGTTTATTACTGTCATTAATGCAGAGTCATAGTCTATAAAATGTATTTTTGTATTTTCTGGTTTGTATTTTGTGTTTTTTGTGTTTTCTATGTGTTTTATAAGTTCTGATTTTAATTCTGATATTATTATTATGAATTCTGTTTAGAAATTCTGATTTTGGAATTCTGATTTTGTAATTCTGATTTTGGAATTCTGATTTAGAAATTCTGATTTTGAAATTCTGATATAAGAATTCTGATATAGGAATTCTGAATTTAGAATTCTGATTTATAAATTCAGATTTTTAATTCTGGTTTATAGAGGAATTCTGATTTAAAATTCTGATATATAAATTCTGATTTAGCAATTCTGATTTAGAAATTCTGATCTAGTAATTCTTATTTTGAATTCTGATTTTGGAATTCTGATTTAATAATTCTGATTTAGAAATTCTGGTTTATAAATTCTGATTTGGAAATTCTGATTTTGGAATTCTGATATAAGAATTATGATTTAGAAATTCTGATTCTCAAATTCTGATTTATAAATTCTGATTTTGGAATTCTGATATAGGAATTCTGATTTAAAAATTCTGATTTTGGAATTCTGAATAAAAATTCTGATTTATAAATTCTGATTTTAGAATTTTATTTAATAATTCTGAATTCTGGTTTGTATTTTCCATTAAATCTATTCGTATTTTTATTTAATTCTGATTTTTATTCTCTATTTCAACTTAAAAAACACACTTGTTGATCCATCCGGTCTAATTGTATCTAAAGCATCCAGAGGGTAAGCACTGCAAGTCATGTCAGAAAATCGCCAAAACTCGACCTTCATTAATTCCAACATTTCATAAAATATTTGTCGTCTTCCAAGTTTTGTAGCGAGCGTTAAAGGGGTATAACTTGCATGATTTACAATGTTAGTATGTGCAGGCTTATGCCAATGCCTGACAGCGTAGCTATACATTGCCTAGAATTTTTGAATTATTTTTAAATTGAATGTTTTTGCTTACATTTTTGTTCTTAATAACACACATGTGTAACTAGAAATAATTTAAAAGATTAAAAAAAAAATTTTTGATAGAAGGGTAAATTACCACAGTGTTTCCAAACATATCCTGAAGGTCTGGGTTAGCACCATACTGAATCTAAAAATTAAATTATTTTTCTTCCAGTTGAGAAGCCTTCTAATGACCCTCTGACCCTCTGAATGATCCTATAGAAAAATACTGGAAGATCGTTCAATTAGAGAGTATCCTTGACAGACCCTCTTAGTTGAATGCTCCCCTCCATTAGAGTGACCTTCCTATAGGGGATTGATAGATACCGAAAGGCCGTGCAATTGGAGAGACACTACATAACCATTCAAATCCTATCTACCCTCAAAAATACCAGAATTCCCCTTCTAAATCAGCTTTATTACCAAAAGATCATAAATATCCTTGTTCTCAAAACAAGCAGCAAAAGCCAAGGGATATTCCCCATAATAAGCATATCCCTGATAATCCATAGTTTTTATGTCTTTTTCCTCCCAATCTTCAGGCATGAAAAAATCCCCTGTAGCCCTAGCATTTACAGAAGCACCACTTTCCAATAATAATTGTACTGTGTCATAGTCATCATGGACTATAGAAAGATGGAGACAGCTTTGGCCTTTAAATATTTTGTATTTTGTTTTTATTAATAAAATTCTGATTTGTGTTTTATTTAATTATTAATTTGTATTTTAAATAATATTTCTGATTTTTGTGTTTTGTTTATTATTAATAATAATTCTGGTTTTGTGTTTTATGTGTTTGTATGTTTAAAAATAATTCTGATTTTTTGTTACTAAAAATTCTGGTTTTGTATTTTATTGTCTTGTATTAATAAAACACATAATTCTGATTTTGTATTTTTATACTTTAAATTAATTCTGGTTTTGTATTTTTCTATTTTATTAATAAAACACATAATTCTGATTCTGTGTTTTTGTTTTAATGAAAATTTTGGTTTTGAGTTTTTCCCATTCTGTATTAATAAAAAATAATTCTGATTTGTGTTTTCTTGTATTTTTTCTGATTTCAAATAATTCTGATTCTTGTATTTTTCTATTTGTAATATTAAGACATTTAATTAATTGTGTTTTTTTCGTATTTTTTACAATTAAGAATAATTCAGGTTTTGTATTTGCCCCCCATTTGTATTTTCAAACCCTAAAAACAAACCAAACATATCCTCTCCCAAATAAATATCTTTAGCTAATCCCGGATATTTATTTACAAGTATTCTAGCAATTTCTTGACATACAGGCTCTTCTCTATTTAATAATAAATGTATTAATGTTTCGCCTTCTACTCCTCTTTTATTTAAACGCCATTGTGCTTCGTGTTCTCGAAAGGCAGATTTTGCTTCGTTAAAGTCTTCCTTCTCGTCGGATATCCCAAATTCTATATTTACCGATTTCTTCCATCTTACATAATCGGCAAATTTTATTAATTGGGGGGATTGGCCGTCGTTGTACAAACTTAATTTTTAAAAATTATTTTGTCGTAAAAAATTTTTTTGTCGTAAATTTTGGCGTAAAATTTTGGCGTAAAAATTATTTTTTTGGCGTAATGATTATTTTTGGCGTAAAATAAATTTTTAATAAAATTTCGATAATCTAGCATTATTTTAAAAAATCTTTTATCAACCTGGACTCGATTTTCTCTTGAGCAAAACTAAGCACTCCCTCTTCGCCTTCCTTCTCATACACACTAATCAACTCTCCACCTTTATTAAATTTAATTTAAAAATTAAAAAATTTTTTGAAGTTACCCGTTCTAATCCCAACCCATTTATAAATTGAATTCTTTTCCCTTTCCCTGTAAACATTAGACCATCGCTCATCTGGATCGAAAGTAGCACCTGTGCCGACTGAATCTTGGCCGTCATTGTTGAATAAACAGGACAAGAGAGCGCGCATTTTCATTTTGAAATTTAATTTTTTAGTAAAAGAATATGGGAGGATCTTTAATTTTAAAAATCAGAATTTTTTTCAGCGTTATCAGAATTTTTTTAGAATTTTTTCAGAATTTTTTTCAGAATTTTTTCTGAATTTTTTCTGAATTTTCAGAATTTTCCAAGTTTTCAGAATTTTTTCAGAATTTTTTTCAGAATTTTTTCTGAATTTCAGAATTTTTCAATTTTTTTCAGAACTTTTTTCAGAATTTTTTTCAGAATTTTTCTGAATTTTCCAAGTTTTCAGATATTTCACAAAATTTCAAAAAATTAAAAATACGAAGCCATTCCATTTTTAATTTTTTCACTCTCACACGAAAAAATGCTGTCATTTATTTGTCAGTTTTTATGTTTTATTAACCGCCTACACAGGTAAAATACTAATGAGGTTATTAAGCCTTTTAATTCGCTTAAAGCGGGAAGGGATAGGCGTTAAGCTAGGTTGTGTTTTTTAAAGATACCTCATAAACTATTGGGCAGTTTTCGGATAAATTATATATCATTCGATAGAGAATTGAATTCTCTATTAAATAAAATTTAAAATAATTTTTTCTATAAATTAGTAAAAAAGTTGAAGCCTAAAAACTAACGTTTTCACACATTTTAACCCATTTTTCGACCATTTTTCGACCATAACTTTTTTATAAATTAAGTTAAAATTACAATTCTAGGCTTATTTTGTAGGCAATTTAATTCTCTATCGAATGGTATCAAAACTATCTCAAAAGGTTAATCTAGAATTTCAGCCCATAGGGTTAACTGGTGTCTACTTAGAGACCGATTTACAGTAGGTAAAATGAGGAGGAAATTAAAAACATTTTTGAAAGGGAAGGAAAATTATTCTGGTAAATAAAAATACAAAAAAAACAAAGAAATTTTTAACGAAAAAGTCTCGGCAAAATCTTTTAAAAATTTTTATTGACTTTAAAATGCAAAAAGAAATGCGCAGGTAAAACAAAAGTGGCGTTTTTAGAGCTTAATAGGTTTCTGGCTGTCAAATAAACCTGAAATAAATTGCTCGGAAATAATGAGAAAGAAATAAATGGCATGGAAAGGCGGTTAAACACCTTGGAAACAAGAAAGGCAATAAAATTTAATTGAGTTTGGTTTTAATATTTTTGTTTGTTGGGTGGATAGGCAAGTTTGTATTTTACTGTAAATTAAATTCTGATTTGTATTTGTGTTTTTTCTTAAAATTCTGATTTGAAATTCTGATTTAAAATTCTGATTTTTGTATTTTTGTATTTTATCAAGTAAATTCTTGAAATTCTGATTCTTGTGTTTTTGTATTTTATCAAATAAATTCTGATTTGAAATTCTGATTTTTGTGTTTTTGTATTTTATCAAGCAATTCTGATTTGAAATTCTGATTTTTGTATTTTTATATTTTATCAAGTAAATTCTGATTTAAAATTCTGATTTTTAAATTCTGAAATCTTTTTTTGTGCTTTTGTTTTGTATTTTACCTTAATTCTGATTTAATTATGTATTTTCTTTTTTAATTTTTTGTGTTTTTGTTTGTATTTTATTAAAAAACTTTTATTTTACCCAAACCACTTAAAATGGCAATATTTTCTGTTTTCTGTCTTTCTAAAATCCTCTACATTAATTTAACGTCATTTAGCATAAAAATAAAAGCCTTTCCAAACGTGACGTTCCCCTAACATCCATTTTTAGTCTTTTGATCTTCTTCTTTCCTCTTTAAGGATTTTCAACGCTTGTTTATTACGTAGTAAAGCTTAGTATATGACGGAGAAGGAGGTGGATTTATTACTAAAATAAATATTATTTTTATTTGGAATTATAGAAACTAAGAGGAAATTGAGGAAATAACACGAAAAAAAAATTAGAAAAAAAGAAAACAACAAAATAGAAGAAAATTGAAAGGGAATCCGTCATTTTATTCAAATTGCGCAATCTGATTCTTATCCCTATTTAAATATTAAAATTTTAATAAATATAAATTTATATTTCTAGACAGTGTATTTCACTTCCTTCTTGATATTTTTTAATAAAAAATTTTTTTAATTTATTCTTAAAATTAATTTTGATTAATTTTAATTAAATTGGTAAATCTTGGTTCAGACGAATTACCCTCACTTAATAATTCATAACTCGAAAATGGCTGAATCTTTTAAAATTCTTTTAGCTCATTCGATAGAGAATTGAATGCTCTACAAAATTCTAGAAATAAACCTATTTTCGATTGAAATAAAAAATAGTTAGATGCAAAAAACTTGACTATAATTAATTTTATTTTTACGGACTAGAGTTAGTTTTTCCTTTATAACTTTTTTCTAAATTTTAAATTAATTTTTATTTTTGACTTATTTTGTAGATAATTTAATTCCTTTTCGAATATTATAAAAATCTTTCCATAAGGTTAAGTAAATCTTGAGATATGACTTTTTAAGTGAGTACCCGCAAGAAGCTTAAACCGATAAATAACCCAAGTTCTCTTCACTTTTTTTCCAGAATTTTTTTTAGAATTTTTTTTCAATATTTTTTCTGCTTAATATTAATTAATAAATTATTATAAAAATTTTTTTTAGCATTATAAAATAAATTTAAAAATATTTTAATTTAAATTAATTTTTATTTGTTCCTGTTTTTCACTTTTTAGCAGCCATTTCCGACAAATAAAAAAAAAATAAAAAAAAATCGAAACAAAATTCTGCGTCATTCCTACGTAAAAATAAAAATAGACATTACCAGAAAACTTTTAAATAAAGCTAGAAAGCTAATTCTGATTTATTAATTGCTGTAAATAAATGACGTTTTACACCTCCATATAAAAATAAATTATAAGCTGTTCTTTGATGAGCTTTTTTTAAAATGTTACAAAAATAGAAAGTAACTTGGAAGGTGTTTTCAAAAAATTTATTTAGAGTGATATGGTCGAGAAAATTAATTTTTTGTTTAATTTGGCAACAAAAACAACTAAAAAACATGTTAGGCCTTAAGAAGAGCCGAACCACACCCTACAAAGATACCAAGGCTGAAGCACTACCGACTGAGCCACAAGCGTTGCTATAAGTCGCGCAATAAAATCACTTGATAGTCTTTCTAATAGCTTCTAGAATTGCTAGGTTACTGTAGAATGAGAGAAATGAGGGATATTCATTTAATAAAAAATTGTAAAAAAATTTTCTAAAAAATTTTTCAGAATTTTTTAGAAATTTTCTTTAGTTTTTAATTCTTTAATAATTCCATTTAGGTCTATTTACCCATTTTTCCTATTAATTTTACCTGTAGATCAACATCCCAAGTCTATAGACATTATGTGGGTGTAGGATTTCCCCACAAATTAAAATAAGATAAGTAAATAAATGACCAATTGGTTTATTTAAAATTTTTATTTTCTCTTTCATTTTTACAAATCAGAAAATTAATTTGTTTTCGTCCAAACTTTCTCCTTCCGTTTTCTGTGTGTGTTCCCCTTCCAATCACCCCCCGTTATATTAAACTTGTACACCTCTTCCCCATTTTCTAGTTATTCAACGTCATCTTTCCGCTGTCAATAGCTGTTTGATCGATTTCTTGTTTCTATGCTATTTTTATTTTTAGCAATAAAAATTGAAAGAAAATTGAGTAAATAGGAGAAGGTGGGTGTCAGATTTACTAGAAAGGAGTGTGTGGGTTGTCAATAAGTTTTGCTCTGCTTTTTGGTTTAAAATTTTTGATAGGGAGTTGGAAAACTCATTTTTAATTTTATTTTGTCTTGTTTATTTTATTTATTTTACTATATTTGATTTAATTTTTAAATTATGCTCCAAAAGGTGTGAGTATTACCAAGCTAAGGGTGTTGGCCAATCTTTTCCTCATAACTCAATATTAACTCAACCTTTTAGAAAGCTTTATATACCATTCGATTGAGGATAAAATTTGCTATAAGATGAATGTTAAACTAAAAAATTATCTAAGAATGTTGATCAAAAATATAGACAGAAATCTACCTAAAGGTATATAAAAAAATCTACCTAAAGTCACTTTTTTCCTTGTAACTCAATAAAAAATTACCCATATGATAAGCTTTATATGCCATTCGATAGAGAATTGAATTATCTATAGGATAAAATTTAAATTTTAAAAATTGCTAAAAAAGAAAAAAAGTTATGACCAAAATAGTAGACTAATCTCCTGTCAACTGATCCCTTGTTAGACGCCTAATAGTTTATTCTTATTTTTGCTATAAATTAAAATATATTGCCATAAATTAAAATATAATGTATTAATTAAAATATATTTATTAATCTTTAGACTACATTAAAAATTATTTTTTTTAATTTCTAAATTTTTTTCCCAATTTTTATTTATTTTTTTAAATAAATATCGGCAATAACTATAATATTCCTACTATTTTTTGCACACCTTTAATCATTATATCTCCATATCATTTACTCATTTAATCAAAACAATTATATAAATTATCTTTATATTAATTGGAAGGCCACCTGTCACCTTTCTTTTTATTCAATAAACGTCTAATCAGTACCAGGCGCGCTCTGATCGAATAAAATTGCAAAAGGTGAAGGCCATATAAACAACTACCTTCTTTGGAAATCATTAAAGGTGGGGGTGTAGATGAACGGTTATTCTCCTATAGAAGATGAAATGAGCACTAGCAACCCTTTACTTTATAAAATACAAAAAGAATAAAATTACAAACAATTTATTATGCTACGGTTACATAAAAATCGCGCGCGACACGCGACAGTCGCTAGGCGACATGTCGCCGGCGACAGTCGCTAGTGGCGTGGTTACATAAAATCGGCGTCTTCCGCAAAAGCGACTGTCGCAAAGCGACAAACGCTGATTTTATGTAACCACGCCACTAGCGACTGTCGCGCGCGTCTTGTCGCCTAGCGATTGTCGCGTGTCGCGCGCGATTTTTATGTAACCGTAGCATTACTTTATTTGTTTTTATTATTAAGAGGTCGCGCAGGGTGCAACTTAGGTTGAGTTTTAGGGGCATAACTCAAGAACTAATAAACATTTTGAAGAGCTTGATATGTCATTCGATAGAGAATTAAATTTTCTACAAGATAAAAAAGAAATTATAATTTTATTTCAAAAATTAAGAAAGTTATGGTTTAAAAACATGATGTAAGATGGGCTTCTTTCCGTAGTTTTTCAGTCATAACTTTTTTTCTTAAAAACATATTTAATCTACTTTTGGCTTATTTTGTAGCAAATTTAATTCTCTATCGAATGACATAAGAAGATTTTCAAAATGTTTATAAGTTCTTGAGTTATGTCGTCAAAACTCATCCAATGTCTGTCTGTTCATAACGTTCCTCTTCTCCTCCCACCCAATTTTATTTATTAGCTTTTGTGTGTTCTTCTTGAGAGTATTTACATTCTCATCTTATTCTCCGTTTTACCTTTCTTTTCAATCGCTGCGTCATCACGATTGATCGGCTTTTTGCATTTTGCTTTGTGTTCATCGCTGCGCAGGTCCCCTTCCAACCCCCCTTGTTCCTTTCGCTCTACTCCCTCGGCTGGACCCGCAAAGTGACCTCACTCCCTCTCTTCGCTCCCATTATTTATTACATCTTCTTGCGCACAAAACACTTCATCTTTTTTACAATTTGAAAGTATTTTCTTTTTAAAATAAATTTTAGACCAAACCATTAATTTTTCGTATAATGGGGAGTAAACGTCTCTCCTCCTCCTTTTGATCATTCCTGCCTACCTTTATTTTTTCTGATTTATTTGTCAATTAAACTAGGCAACTGCTAGTACTTTTTAGAGTATTTATTAAATCTTTTCTCAAAGCTTTAACGATAAATTTACTTAAAACAACAAAAATACCCAAATATCTACCTTGTCTTTTTGGTCATTTTTTTTGGTATAATTTGGCCCATAAAACAAAAGTAGAGGTTAGAATAATTTATTTATTTATCTATCACACATTTTTCACCTTTTTTTACCTTTTCTTTTAATTTCCTAATTTACAGCCAGTTAATAATAAATTTAAACGTTACTAAATTCAATCGACTTTAATTTTGGTTTAATCGGTCTTTTATTTTCCTAATAATTTATTTGCAGTAAAATTGTATTCAGTTAATGTCTAAAATATTTTTCTTTTATTTTTAATCAAAAAATGTATTTTTAAATAATATTTTGAATTTTTAAAATAGTTTAAAGGAACAGTTAGCAAAATAGGAATGTGGGGACTTGGTTCAGGCTAAATTTCATAACTCTGGAACTAATAAATTTTTGAAGAAGTTTTATATATCATTCGATAGAGAATTAAATTTACTATAAAATACGGTCTAAATTATAATTTTAGATCGCCAAAGAAAAAAGTTATAGGCAAAAAATGATCTAAAATTGTTGATTTTCAATTATTTCCCATGATTTTCACTGCTTTTTTAAAATTTTTCTACTTAAACCTAAATCCTTGATTTCTAATATTATTTTATTATTGTAGATAATTCAATTCTCTGTCGAATGATACCAAAATTATTTTCTAAGGTTGATCCCTTCGGTAGTTATAGCTGCTGGCGCTGCCTACGTCTTGGCGCCTGTCTCTCTATTTGATTGGTTCCGTTTAAATTTCATATCTCTGGATCAGATAAACTTTTTAGGGATCTTTATATATCATTCGATAGAGAATTCAATTCTCTATTAAATGTTACCAAAACTATTTATTAAAATTTATCCGTTCGGTAGTTACAGCTGCTGGCGCTGCCTACCTCGTGGTGGCTGTCTCTCTATATTTGATTGGTTCAGTTTAAAATTAATAACACTAATTCTGATAAACTTCTTAAAAAACTCTGTATACCATTCGATAGAGAATTTAATTCTCTATCGAATGGTACCAAAACAATTTTTTAAAGGCTATCCGTTCATTAGTTATAGCTGCTGGCGCTGCCTTTGTCATGGTGTTTCTTTTCTCCCTTCTTTCTCTCTCAAACTTTTCAGAATTAAAAAAAATACAAAAATAATTAAAAATAGCAAAAAAGCCTTCCGGAAGTTTATTCTTGTTTTCAAAAAAATAATTCTCTGATAATGATTCATACTTTGTTTTAAAAATATTAAATGATTCATAACAATAAAATAGGGCATGTATTTGCATGTTGTTTTATGATTTTCTATTTTTATTTTTAAAAATTTTTATTTGTCATATTTGCATAAGATTATTATAAATAAATGTTTTGTGATAATATTTTTTGATTTACTTCTTTTCATTATTTTATTTTTACATCATTGTTATAAATATACACACACTACAATTATAATAATTAAAGCACGATTTAATTTTTTATTTACTGATGAAATATTTTAAATGTCATCATTCTTAATTTCAGAATTTTTCTGATTGCTCCAATTATTGTTCTGATATTTTTCTGATTTATTCTGGTTGATGTTCTGATTATGTTCTGATATTATTGTTTATTCTGTTTATTATTCTGATATTTTTCTGGCTTATTCTGATTTGTATTCTAGTTTATTCTGATTTTTTCTGATTGTTCTGATTATTGTTCTGATATTTTTATGGTTTATTCTGATTTTATTTTTGATTTTTCTGATTTTTCTGATTGTTCTGACTATTGTTCTGATTATTGTTCTGGTTTATTCTGATCTTATTTCTGATTTTTTTGATTTTTCTGATTATTGTTCTGACATTTTTTCTGATTTTGTTTCTGGTTTATTCTGACTGAATTGTATTCTGTTCTGATATATTTTTGATTTTTCTGACTAATTCTGATTTCAGCTCTGATTATTTTGAATTCTGATTTCCGGGCTTTCTGATTTATTCTGATTTCGGTTCCTAATTTTTTTTTATTTTTCTGATTTATTCTGATCCCGTAAACCTGTTCTCCCTTCTTCCCTTTTTCTGATTTGAACGTTGATCGACTTCCTTTCTCTCCAACTCTCTCTCTATCCCCCCCCCCTTCTCTGATTCATCTCCCTCCAATGACAATGTGTCGTTCTTCACCGGCTGTTTCTAGCTAATATATATTTTTTGATACATTTATAGCTTCCGCTCTCTTTTAAAAAGTTTTTTTGATCATTTTCTGCCACTCATGGGACACAACAATACATAGAAGGGAGGAAAAGTAACAGCCGCCCCTTCTCTCTTTTTTTATCTTTTTTAACATTTAAAAAAGCTGTGAGAGACAGATAGCTTTTTCAATACTTTTCTCTGTCAATTTCCGCTTTTCCTTTTTTTTATATTTCAACACACCTTATATAGAGGTTTCTAACATTTGGCCCTCACTTCGAGTTTATATGTAGTGATTTTAAGGTTATTAATAACCTTCACCCTGTGTCCCTTTCACTCTATATGTTTGGAAGTATGTTCCAGGGGTGTTCTGAGGCTGTCTTTAAAAAAAGAAAGACGAAAATGCGAAAGCAAAAGACCAAAAAAGCGAAATTCGGCAAAAGACGAAAGACGAAACTGGCACATCCCTGTTATGTCCCATTTACTCTATATCTAATGTAAGTATGTTCCTTTCACCCCACTTCTATCTGGTAGCTTACTTGATTCCGCGAAATTCGGCAAAAGACGAAAGGCGAAACTGGAACATCCCTATTATGTTCCCTTCCCTCTAGAGCTAATTTAAGTATGTTCCTTTCACCCTACTATCTTGAAGCTTACCTGATTCCAGCCGTTGTAACTTATGAACGCGTGAGGCTTTGGAGCCGATTTTGGTGTCGATCGATAGAGAATTAAATTCTCTATTTAATAATGTTTAACTTGAAAAAATTTTATTTTGAAGCAAAAAAGTTATGGCCAAAAAACTGATGCTATGTTCCTTTCGCATTACATACTATGTTCCCTTCACATTACCTATGTTTTTTTCGCCCAATAATTCGAATACGTCTCGATCCCTTATTTTGTATCAATCCTATATTCCTACCAACCTTATGTTCTCCCTAAAATCTCCATTAATCTCTAGAAACTTTGCCAATTGATTCACTTCTTCTATGACTTAAATTAAAATTGAAAATTATTGTTTGGGTGGTTAAGCACAACCACCACCACCTACTCTGTCAAACATTAAAAAAGCCTTTCTTCTCTCTCTCCCAAACCAATTGACTGACATACTGCTTATCATTTTGCGGGTGGAAAGAAGGGTTTAAAAAGTATTTAGTATAATAAATTGTTCGTTTTTGTTGCTATTAGATCGATGAACATTTTTATGTTTCTAAGAGGTTAAAGTGTTGAAAAATTGAAAAAAAAAATTTTTCTCAAGTAAATCTTAAATAATCACATTTTATAATTTTTCACTGTCTTTGTCACCCTTTTTTAACTTTTCTCGATTTTTTTCTAATCGTTTTTTCTATTTTTAAATTTTTTAATTGATTTTATTTACAACTGAACACGTTGCTGAGTTGAAGCTTAGTTGCTTCCAGGCTTTATAACTCGTGAATGCATGAAGCTTTGGAGCTGATTTTGGTGTCATTCGATAGAGAATTAAATTCTCTATCTTATAAGTTTTAACTTGAAAAAATTTTATTCTGAAACAAAAAAGTTATGGTCGAAAAACAAGTTACTACTTGAGTACCGGAATCAAACGTACTTGTTTCTAGGCTTTATAACTCTTGAAAGCATGAAGCTTTGGAGCTGATTTTGGTAACTTCGATAGAAAATTAAATTCTCTATCTGATAAAATTTAATTTGAAAAAATTTTTATTTGAAACAAAAAAGTTATGGCCAAAAAATCGACTATTTTTTGACAGAAACCTTGATTTTTGTCCATTTTTTGACTCTTACCTTTTTATAATTTTAAATAAAAATTTTGTTTTTGATTAAATTTTTTAGCTTATTTAATCCACTATCCAAAAACATTAAAAAAAGTTAGGCTAAAATTTATTTTTAAAGAAAATTTCTTTTATGATGACATTTGATCCCTTAACTTTTCTAAATCTCCAAATTGTATTTTAAAGTATCTATTTAATTTTTATTTGTTTTTATTTATTTTTTAATTATTTGTATTTCTAAAATCAACAACATAAATTTGTTTTTATATTTTTATCTTCCAAAAACAATTTTTAAAATTGCCACTTTCAATAAAAACACCTTTATGGCGCCCTTGCGATTATTACAGTAATCCTCTTTATTTACTCTCTCATATCCACTTGTTTTTTTCTGATTTCATTTTTTAACTACCTAGTATAGCTCATTTTACCAGCCTCTCCATTTTTTTATTATGGCGCCATTAAAAAACATTAAAAACGTGCGAAGGTGCGTAGAGCGTGCCCTTTCTACAATAGGATTTAATTGTGAAGGTGATGCACATGGATATATTTTTGCTTAAAACTTTAATTTATTTTTCGTTTTGTATTTTTATTCTGATTTTCTGAGGAGGAAAATTCTGTAAAAATTCTGATAAAAAATTCTGATAAAAAATTTTATTATAGTGTGAAAGGAACATTGGGTCATAGGGTGAAGGGAACATACCTATAGTGTGAAGAGAACATAGGCTTTTGATTTCTTGTGATTTTAGAGGTGTCAGCTTCGAACCCTACTGAGGATAAGGGAATACTGGATGTATAAGAATATTGGTTTCTCAATCCTTTGCCGTGTGCCGGCTTTTTGGTTTAGTGGGAAAGCTTAGTTTCGTGAGACTTCATAGGTGCCAGGTTCGAACCCTCCCGTGGAAAACTATTTTTAAATTGCTTCAAAAAATTTTTTCTTTTAGAAAAATCTTTAAAATACTCCAATAAACTCTAAAAAATTTTTCAGTTTTAATATTCTCGAGTTTCGAGAAGAGTAAAAAAATTTTGTGCCAAATTAGACAACCTCAAAATTATTTTTATATAATTTCAACACCTTTATAAAATTCTTTATTAAAGAAAGAAGCTTAAATAAAATTATTTAATTAAATTATTTTTCCATCTTCTTGCCTTTATTTCCCTATTTAATGGCTTCAGCAAAGAAGCGCGTAGAGCTGGCATTGGCCAAACAACAAATGAGGGGTAGTGGGACAGTTCAAATAAACACTACTGTAGATGACCCTCGTAAAAGCATTGAAGAGTTAATTAATGCTGGTTAGAAGCTGATATATTTGGAATAATTTTAAAGAAATTTTTTAGGTTTAAAAACGCATAATGAACGGGGCAGTAAACACTTTAACAAGAAAAATAAGGTTTGATGATTTTTTGGTAGCAAGGAACCACGGGGTGGAGAAGACATGGGTAAAAGGAACATGGGTTAAAGGGTGAAGGGAACATGGGGATATAGGCTGGGAGGAACACTAGTATAGTGTGAACGGCACATATGTAGGTTCATAATGTGAAGGGAGCCTCGGAAGAGGTTATAGTATGAAGGGAACATAGGATTATAGTCCGAAGGGAACATTGGGTTATAGTCCGAAGGGAACATTGGGTCATAATATGAAGAGAATATAGGATTATAGTCTGTAGGGAACATTGGGTTTTAGTTCGAAGGGAACATGGGGTCAAATGTGAAGAGAATATAGATATGGTGTGAGGAGACCATTCTTTAACCATCCCTCTAATAAAAAAATTTTTTAGTTGCCAAACTCATTTTGGCGTCCTCCAACAAAAACGCGTTGTTCTTCTGTAAGTCCCTCTCCCTTTATTTTTTATTCTTCCAAAATTTAAAGGGCCATTCGCGCGACTCTTCTGATGATGGGTTTGGCTCGTCTGCAGGGCGCCATACCCTCAGCCCTTCCTCCATTTCCTCTTTTGGTTTTCATCAAGGAGGAGGAGGGAATGTCCCAATGGCTCTAACAGACCCAATGACTGGTCAGAATTATTCCGCTTCTTGTTCTGCTATAATACATCAAAGACAAGCTAGTGCCCCAGCTTTAATTAATTATGAACAATATGAGCCACAACAACACTTTACCCAACAAAGTGTTAATGATGTTTCCCAACAACAACATTCTTCTACCCCGCAACAAATGCCCACATCCCACCATCATTTACATCATCAGCAACAACATATGGCCAATTCCAAGTAAGAGACCCACCAAACTTTTTAAAAAGCCTAGTGACCAAAATGGGCTTATCCGGAAACGGATCCGGATCCCAAATTTATTACTAGAGCCGAGATCCCGAATTTATAATTAGAGTCGGCTCCGGATTCCGGATCATAACATTGGCATAGTGTGAACGGCACATATGTTCATAGTGTGAAGGGAACATGGGGTTATAGTGTGAAGGGAACATAGGGTTCTCCGGATTCCGGATTATAAGTAGGCGTAACCGGATCCGGATTTTTATTTTAACAGGAATAGAGCTGGAGTCTGATCCGGATTTCCGGATTAACTCTGTCCGGAAAGAATCCGAATTTCGCTAAAAACCGGATTTGGGTCGACGGATCCAATCTGGCGCCGATCGCCATAAAACCCCCCTAAAAAATTTTTTTATTTAAAACAGAAATAGTCGTTCTGCCCTTCCCCCACTTGCTCAACCCTATCAACATGCTTATAGTCGTTCACTTAATGCAATGGCAGCAACTTCCCCTCCTGGAGCACAGCAACAACAAAACTATCAAAGACAGCATGGTTCTACTGCCAATAGCCATATGTTTTTAAATGCTATGGCAGAATTGCCCCCAGTTGCCCACCAAAGAGCGGCCAAATCTTGTGATTTTGATATGCTGGCAGGAAATAACAATAATAATCAAATAATGTCCCCAACACAAATTAATCCTTACCAACAGCAACAACAACAATCTGAATATTTTGGGCAACAACAGAATGTTGCTGCTCCAATTAATGAGTATGTTCAGTTTGTTTATTGGTTGTTGGTTAGGTTATTTGTCCCAGAGTCGAAGAGAACATAGCTATAGGACGAAGGGAACATGGTTATTGTGTGAAGGAACATGGTTATAGTGTGAAGGGGACATGGTTATAGTGTGAAGGGAACATGGTCATGGGGTGTAGTGAATGGCTATATGTATTGTGAAGGGAACATGGACATGAGATAAAGAGAACCTAGATATGGACCAGCTATATGGTCAGGAGAACATAGCCCTAGAGTAAACGTGGAACATAAAAGAGGAACATATAGGTTGAGGGAACACAAGATCAAGCTACTATCTAGAATACCCCTTATTCTTGTCCCTTTCTAACCAAAAAATTCTTCAATTTTCCAGTCCTAACAAATTCCCTACATCAGCAGCAGTGTATTGGTCTACCACTCGCGGAAAGAGCCAAAGTCTAGATCCTTTAGCCTTCGAATCAGCTGCTGCAGTAGCCGCGGGTACAGGAGGTTTTCACCAGTCTTCAAACAATTCTACAGCCCATTTCTCTTCAAATCCTTCCACAGCTATTGCCTCTCCCCCTACCAACGACAATAATAATCCTTCCTCTACCTCTCAACAACAAATTATTGAAAATTCTTTTATTGGACGTTCTCATCAATCCCCACAAAGTGCTACTACTATACTTTTGGTAAATTTAAAAAAAATTTTGGAGTAGAGGGTGAGCCAGTTTCGCCTTTCGCTTTCGTTGTTTTGTCTTTTTCGGAATTTCGCCTTTTTTCGATTTCGTCTTTCGCCTTCTAAAAGCACCTTCGGCACACTTCTGATAATAACCCTTTTAACCCTCTATTACCTTTTTAAAGGATGATGACGGCCTTGGACCCTTACCCGAAGGTTGGGAGAAGGCATACACTCCAAACGGAGACCCTTACTTTATCGACCATATCCACAAAGAAACTACTTGGTACGACCCTCGATTGCCCAAAGAAGTACAACAACAAATAGTAATAAGTCGGCATACCCACAAATCAGAGCAACAACAACACCAAGATAATGCAAACTTTCAACATTCCTATAGCCAGTCGGCTGGGGCAGCAATGGGGACAAACAAAATGGCTTCTAATAACAATAGAGTAAGTCTGGGAATTTTTAAAGATTTCAATAACCCTCAAATTAGCAAAATTTCCATGGAGGCTCCTCTTCCGTTGGACCTACACCTAATACAATTACAAATTCTGTATTGGCTGGGGGACTGGATAGAGTACAACAACTTAAGCAAGAGAAGCAATGTATGCAGGAGAGACGTGAACAAATTATTAGACAGGTAGATTTTTTAAGTTTATAATTAGTAAACTTAAGCTTGAACTTGAAAACTTAAGTTTGAACTCAAAAAAGTTGGTAATAATTAACTTAAGTTTATAATTAGTAAACTTAAGTTTGAACTTAAAAAAGTTGGTAATATTTAATATAAGTTTGTAATTAGTAAACTTAAGTTTGAACTTGAACAAGTTGGTAATATTTCATTTAAGTTTGTAATAAGTTAGCAACTTGTTCAAGTTGTAAATTACTTGTATTTCTCCACTAACTTTAAGTTTGAACTTAAAAGGTTGCTAATATTTAATCTAAGTTTATAATTAAGTTAGCAACTTTTTTAAGTTTGTAAATTAGATATTTCCCTATTACAGACTAATTCCATTTAAAAATTCATAACTATTCGAATCTTTGAGATAAAAATTTGATTTTTTTAACATTTTGGACAGAGTTAAATGGTTTCATGGACAGAGTTAAATGGACAGAGTTAAATGGTTTAGAAATATCTCCTCATAAGTGCTTTGCCTTATATCTAGGGAAAAATAACCTGAAAAGAGAGTATAACATTCATGGATTAAAAATACAAGAAACAGAATGCATTCGCGATCTTGGAGTTTTAATTGATTCTAAAATATCTTTTAATAACCATATAAATATGGTTATAAAAAATGCATATCTAAAAAGTTTCCAAATAACAAGAATCATTAAGTCTAGAGACTTAAATCTTCTTGTTAATATTTATAAAACTTATATAAGACCCCAGCTAGAATATGCAACTGAAGTGTGGAATCCACACATGAAATATCAAATAGATAAAATCGAAAGAATTCAAAAACTATTCACTAAGAATATTTACAAAAAATGTGGATTAATCAAGGTCCCATATGAAGAAAGATTAAATACTTGCAAACTTGAAAAGTTAATAGATAGAAGAAAGATTGCCGATCTTTCCACTGCTTTTAAAATTATAAAAGGGTTTACATCTCTTAATTCCCAAAATTATTTTAATTTTTCAAATAGATCACTTCGCAGGCCTCTACTTCTAAGGATTAAAAAACACACGAACAGAACAAAAAATAATTTTTTTCATAGGGTGGTAAATAAATGGAATAATCTTCCAAATGAATCATTTAAAATAAATGATCCCAAAAAATTTAGAAGTTTTATTAAATTATCACAATCTAAATAAAATTTTTGGAAAAATTAACCTTGAGCGTTATTGTGTTTTTTTTTTATGTGTAATATTAAATTCATTTATTTTTATTGTTCATTTTTAAAGTTATTTTTATTTTTGATGTTGTTTCCTACATATATATTTTTTTTTGACATTAATTTATTTTTTATGTTTTTTTTTGCACCACATTAATGTATTTTAAAATACCTGTGGTTTGCTGATAAATAAATAAATAAACATTTTATACCTCTAAATCTCCTCTTTCATACAAATAATATTAAAATTAACCTTATTAGAAATTATCTTAATTAAATTAATATCCCTAGGGTCTGTTGGATCCCTCATTTCTTGGCCGCCCACCCCACGATTCTTCAGCTGCCAATTCTATGGATACTTACGGCAATCAAGCTGGAAGCGACTGTCATTCATCTCAACACAACCAGTCATTATTCCTTCAAAGAGCAAATGCCGCTCCTTTACAACAGGTGAGGAGCGCCTTTAATATTTCCTTACTCATTTTACCTTTTTTTTATTTCCTCACTCATTTTACCTTTTTTTATAAAAACAGGAAATTATGATGGAGGTGGATTCCACATCATTTCCCCAGCAACAGCAGCAATCCGTTGTTATTGGCTATATGGATCCGTTATTCCAGGTAGAATAAAAATACTGTAGTATCTCTCATGTCCTAAGCTTTTTCGTTTTATAACACGTAGATTACCACATATTCTAGTCTTCGAGTTATCTCGGGAGATAAGTGCGAAGAGTTAGAGAAAGGTGGGATAGATAGGAAGGTTTAGGATATAAAGGTGTGGGACAGAGTTTGGTCGGAATTGTTCGGATTTCCGACTTAGTATTTCCTACTACATTGTCACTTCCGACAGACCCTGGTGTAGGCGACAGACTCTGGATATAAAGAGAATATAGTAAAGATTATCGACTAACTAAACGCTTTTTAAGGGACTCAATGCAGCCGATCTTAACCCTCAAGAGTTCGACAAGTATTTAATTATCAATGAGAGTCGTTCTCCAACAACCACTACTGCCCCGCAAAACATGGCTACACAATAAAGTGACAAAAAATAAAGAAAAGTTGTGATTTGTGAATAATTATAAGCCATTTTTCATTTTTTTCGTTTAACTTGCCCGATTCGTCTGCCTTAATTCTTTAAGAGGAGTATATATTTTAAAATTAATCTTTGATTTTTCTGTCCACAGCTATTTATAGGCGACATTTCCTAATGCCGCTACTAATGATAATTGACTGTCCATTATATAGAGGTTCGATTGACTGTCGCTTATATGTAGATCCAAATAAGTCCATTATATAGAGGTTCGATTAACTGTCCATTATATAGAGGTTCGATTAACTGTCTATTATATAGGGATCCAAATGACTGTACATATATAGAGGTTAAATTGACCGTCCATTATATGGAGGTTCAAAGATTAATTTTAAAGCTCCTCTGTTTTAAATGCCTTGCCTAAATATTTTACAAAAAATTGTTCTCTCAAAAAAATTTAACTTAAAAATTTTCCATACTCACACACCTCCCCCCTATTTTTTAAACGCACGGTTCCTTTCGATTCAATTATTAAATATATTATTTTTTATTTAAATAAAATTATTTTTTACTGTTAAATGGTCTTAAGATTTGATCAAGCCGGACATAATTTAAAACGTTTATTAGTCGAGAATTTAAAGTGAAGGTGAAAGGAACGCCGAGTAGCTTGGTTAGTAGACTGTTCTACTGGGCGTTAACTGAGCTGTCAGGGGCCACGCGTACTTGCAGCAAAAACAATTAGTAAAAATGCCGGGAGGTCACTGTTTGCGGAGCTGTAAAAGAAAGAAATTTGGCTTCTTGGCCAAGTTTCAGAATTTTCGTCTGCGCCGATGGGAAAGGAAGCGATTCTTTGAAAAAGGGAAGTGGTTACTAACTCTAGCCGAGCGCTAACGGTGCAAAATCTGATTAGACTTTCAATTACCCTTCCGTTAAAATTTACTATAAAAGCTTTGTTTATCGCTTCATTTTTCCTTCCAAACGCCACAAATCTTCAATCACTTCAACTCTACGTCAACATCATCTAAACAAACAACAAAGACAACGCTTCCATGCTCTTCTGCCTCCTTCATCCAATGGACCACAATACCGGACCTTTGGCAAGGAAGTCGACAACGCTTTGTGCTCTGCTGCTGGTATCCATCGCCGCGCTTCTAGTGCTTGCAGTTCCTGGACAGGCTGACATTGAAAAAGTCGGAGTTGCCAATCACACCTTGGAGAAGGATGGAAAGAGTGTGACGCTCAACGGAGTCAGTAAGCAGGCCGGAGTGGACTTAACTTATGCCGAGTACGTGAAGCGCTTTTCTACTGTCTGCAAGTTCTCCATCACTCCCAAGCACATGTAAGTTGACCTTTTCTCAAGATTTGAGAAAATAATGTTTATTGTTTTTCAGTGAGCTTCTATACAAAGGCGAATGGTGCACTGTGGAACTCATTACCAACGTAACAAATATGATCAAATTCACGACTGGATACAAGAAAGATGGCTGTGAACTGGATAAATGCGCCCGTAAGGAAGCTAGCTTTGAGGATGGCTTTTCAAATCTGTAAGTTTGAGTTAAATGTCGATTAGAGAAGAAAAATCCGTTTCAGCCTGCCATTCGCCTACAGCAGAAACAACAGTGACATTAGATACTTCACAAAGGATCTGTTCTATGATGTAAACAACATGTGTGCTGATAAAGACCTGTGCGGGGGACGCTGCATGATTCAGACCTTTCTGGAAGTCTCATGGAGCAAATGCAATAATTTTGTTTATGCTCACACCCATTTAAGTAAGATGGCGATTATTTTTACTTTAAAATATTTATTTTAGTTGGTGAAGTTAAACCGGGCGAGAAAGGTGAAGTTAAACCGGGCGTACTGAAGACGGAATTCAATCTGGAGATAAATGATAAGAGCTTCAAGATGATATTTGACGATGGATCAATTAAGGAGTTTAACAACGAAATCATTAAATGCGTTCCACGAAACGAAGCTTTTGTCAAACCAAAAACATGGAGCATAAAAAATGAAGACGAAGATCTGAAGGATAAACATCTGCTCGTCTTCCATCTACTTCCACAAACGGCTTCAATAAGATACAAAGATGGCAAGCACAAAGGAAAACTTGGGGAAGGCCGACCAAAATGTAGTCTCTTCATTCACTTTGTAAGCTTTTCCAATTTTTCCAAAAATTCGATTAATTTTTATCTTTCAGGATAGGCCAGACTACGAATTTCTTCAGGTCGACCCTCAAACAACGACTACCAGCACAACTACAACAACACCCAAAACAGAACCAGTTACCACTCCACCAGAAGCTACTAGTAGCCAAACAACTCCACCAGAGCAAAAGACTACGCAAAAAGTTCAAGAAGCAGCGCCCACCGAAGGAGGAAGTAATGCCTGGATTTGGATTATTGTGATTTTTGTGGTGATTGCTGTGATTGGCGTCGCTGTCGGATTCTACTTCTACAGAATAAATAAAAAAATGAAAGAAGAGGACGAGAAAGAGAGGTAATAGAGAAAGAGTGAAGTAAAATAAATAATCTTTACTGTATTTTCAGCACCAAGATTGCGAAAAAATCCAGCAATGAGGTTAAGAAGGACAAAACTCAGCCCCCGAAAGACTCAGCTCCGAAGGAGGAATCGACTTCAAAGGACCCGGAGCAGAAGAAGGACTCGGCTTCGAAGAAGGACCCGGCACCGGATAAGTCAGACGCTGCAAGGAGCAAACAGGCAGGTACGACATCGAATATTCCAACGGATATGATGTCTGAGGCTTAAGGGACGGATCAGTAAATTGTGGAGATGAAGAAGGTTGCGGCTAAGAATAAACATTAGAAGTTGAGAAGATATATTGGAGATATATAGAGAATATAAATTTTAAATAATCTGTAAATCATTCATTCTCTAATTTATTTTCCCATATCCAATATTCTCCAAATCTCTCAACATGTATTTCTCTCTATAATGGCTATATTCCTATATATTTCCCTATATCCCCTATATTCCCTACATTCACCTATACCCATATATTCGCATATTAGGCTATATTTGCAGGTAGAGTTGTATTCCCTGCTATTTCTCATTATATATTGTATTGTATGTATAATATGTATTTTTCTGTATATATGTTTGTATTACTGTAATTGTTGTATTTGTATTGTTTTGTAATAAACAATTTTTATTAGGAGGTTGACGATATTTGTATTGTAATTGTTGTAATTAGAGACGGAGCGGGTCCCGTTTCCCCCCGAAACCCGTTTCCCGGTTTTCGGGTCCCTTTTCCCGGTTTTTTTGAAGCAACCGGAATGAAACCGGGAACGGGAATTCCCGGTTTTCCCGGACCGGGTCCCTCCCGGTCAACTTTCAGAACCCGTTTCCCGGAACCCGGACCCGGTTTTTCAAAATTCCGATCTCTAGTTGTAATAGATGTTTTTGTTTTTCAATTGTGAAGATTTTGGAAACTATTTTTGATATTTTTGAAGTTTTTTCGATTTAAGATTTTCGAAAATCTTTTTTAGTTTCAACTTTGTTGCTGTTTAAAATTAATTTTAAATTTTCTTCTCTTTATTTTAAATAGAGTTTGCCGTTATCGGGCGGTATTATACTGGTTTTTTTGATACCGACACCGAAAGACAAATCCCGATACCGAGGCCGGTATCAGGATTAGTGTTTTTTAACACCCATAAGAATTGATTTCTCATTTTTTATTTGGCAAAATTAGCCCGTCTAAAATTCTCAAAATTTTCGCCTGCGGTACTCAAAAAATTTTGAGAGAACAGCCCAGGAATTGGAGAAAATCTCCCCTAATGAGGGAGATTTTTAAAAAAAGACCCCAATGATTTTTCCACGCGCCTTCGACTCTGTATCTAAGAAAGGGTTGTGTACTTTTAATGTTTTTGATTATTTTTGTTCCTTATTTAGTTCTCTATCTTGCTGCCTCGAGCTGTACAAGCAACGTGAAAGCCTTTAGCTTTCTCTTCTAGCCGAGCGCTAACGGTGCAAAATCTGATTAGACTTTCAATTAGCCTTCAGCTAAAATTTACTATAAAAGCTTTGTTTATCGTTTCATTTTTCCTTCCAAACGCCACAAAATCTTCAATCACTTCAACTCTACGTCAACATCATCTAAACAAACAACAAAGACAACGCTTCATGCTCTTCTGCCTCCTTCATCCAATGGACCACAACACCGGACCTTTGGCAAGGAAGCCGACAACGCTTTGTGCTCTGCTGCTGGTGTCCATCACCGCGCTCCTAGTGCTTGCAGTTCCTGGACAGGCCAACGTTGAGGAAGTCGGAGTTGCCAATCACACCTTGGAGAAAGATGGAAAGAGTGTGACGCTCAAAGGAGTCAGTAAGCAGGCCGGAGTGGACTTAACTTATGCCGAGTACAAGAAGCTTTTCCCTAATGTCTGCAATTTCTTCATCAACAAGACACAAATGTAAGTTGATTTTTTCTGAAGATTTGAGGAAATAATGTTTTTAATCTTTTAGTGAGCTTCTATACGAAGGCGAATGGTGCATTGTGGAACTGATCACAAAATCGCCAATGAAGATGATCAAATTCACGACTGGATACTTGAAAGATGACTGTAAGCTGGGTGAATGCATCAATAATGCTGCCGTATATCAGGATGGCTTTTCAAATCTGTAAGTTTTAACACACGTCGGTTAGAAAAGTATTATCTAACATCTCATTTTAGCATGCCGTTCGCCTACAGCAAAAACAACAAAGATATCGAAAAGTACGTTAACAATTCGTTCCATGATGATAAGGCTGCCAATTGCGATAGAGATAGGTGTGTGGGGGGCAAGTGCATGAAGGATACATTTCTTGAAGTCTCATGGAGCAAATGTAATGGCAATGTATATGCTCACACCCATTTAAGTAAGACGATGATTATTTTTACTTTAAAATAAATATTCATTTTAGTTGGTGAAGTGAAGGAAGGCAATGATCAAATTGAAGAAAGAAAAGGTGGTGACAAGACGACTTTCAATCTGGAGATATATAATAGTACCAGCTTCAAAATGGAGTTTAGCCCTTTGATTGAGAGTTTTTTTGAAACAAAAGAGATTCTTTGCGCACCAACAGATAATGCCATTGTCCAACCAACTACATGGAAAATCAAAAATGGAGACGGAGACCTGAAAGATAAACATCTGCTCGTCTTCCATCTACTTCCGAAAACGGCTACACGAATGTACAACAAAAAAGGTTTCACAAAATTTGGGAAGGAAAAACCGAACTGCAACCTCTTCATTCACTTTGTAATCTTTTCCAATTTTTCCAAAATTCAGCTAAATTTTTCTTTCAGGATAGGAAAATCTACGAGTTTCTTGAGGTCGACCCTCGAACAACGACTACCAGCACTACTACAACAGCTACAACGACCACAACAAACCCGGATACCGCCTCAACAAAAGCTACCGGAACAACCTCAACGTCAGGAACGCAGCAAGAGACTACAACAAAAGCAGCAACGACTACAACAGCGGCCACCAAAGAAAGATGGATTTGGATAATTGGGATTGTTGTGGTGTTTAGTGTTTGCGTGTTGATTGGGATTGGCGCCTATCATGGGTACACCATCTATGAAGACCAGCAAAAAATAAAACAAGAAGCCGAAAAACAAGAAGCAGAAGACCAACTACAGAGGTAACAGACAGAAAGAGAGAGTTGGATAAAAATATTTTTTTATTTTTCAGGACCTATTGGCTCAATGCTGGAGACGACGCCGCAATTGAAGATCAAAACAATAAACGCGTTATCTCAGATATGCCTTCGTTGGAAGACCAATTCGTCAATGAGATTTATGACAGGATGAAGAAGGAGGGTTTGGAGAACGCGGCAAAAAACAAAAAAATGCTCTTCGAATTGTATCTACCGGCATTGAAGGATAAAGGTTTCGAAATTGTTGGCACCTTCAATGAGTGGAAAAAGAAGGTGAGACTATAGAAAATTAAAAATTAAAGAAAAAAAATTATTTTTTCAGAGTGGGCTGATCCAGGGAAAAGGCGAGACATGGAAGGAATTCAACGCTAAAGTACAAAAGACAATTGCGAAAAGGAAAGAGAAGGGTGAAGCCATCGAAGAGTGCATTGAAATCCACAGTTTCTTAGAGGCAGAAAAGGTGAAGAAGGGGAAGAAGGACAAGACCCCGAAGGACTCAGCTTCGAAGGCGGACGCTTCAAAGAGCAAACAGTCTAGCACGGCATCGAATATGGAGTCGGAGGCTAAAAAGAGGGGCGGCGTTGCTGTTTGAATTGTATGTGAAGATGAAGGTTGCTGCGAGGAATAAACACTAGAAGTTGAGAAGATATAAATGAGAGATATATAAAAATTTGTAAATCCTTCATTCTGATTATTTCCCATATCCAATATTCTCTCCGATTCTCTCAACAAAAATTGTATCTCTCTCTTGGCTATATGCCAATCTATATATAATCAAAAATATATGTATTTCCCTATATTCACCTATATATATTTCCCTATATCCCCTATACCTATATATTCACATATTAGGCTATATGCCCATCTATATATGTATAATCTATATTCCCTATATACATATATCTATATATATTATTTGCAGGTTGAGTTGTATTCCCTGCTATTTCTCATTATATATTGTATTGTATAATATGTATTTTTCTGTATATATGTTTGTATTATTGTAATTGTTGTATTCGTATTGTTCTGTAATAAACACAATTTTTATGAGGATGTTGACGATATTTAAAAGTTTTTGCAATAAAAATAGCATAAAATTAGGGTTAGAACTCTTCGGATATCCTTATCTGGAACAAAATTTTTTTATTAAAGTAGGGAGATTATCTTGTGACGAAGTGTGTCTAGGGAATGAAAAGTAGCTTTTTAAATGTACGGAAAAATTTTAGCGTTTAAAAAGCTCGGGCAAAAAAAGCGACTCATGCAATTGCGATTTTATGAAGGTATTTTGGGCAGCCTCTTTTTGAGATTTCGTTATTTTAGGTAAAAATGGAAGTGCAAAATTAATTTTTACAAATAGTAAACGTAATTCCGGAAAAGAAAAATTAATTTTTACAAATTGTAAAAGTAATTCCGCTAAATTTTTCCGTGGGTTTAAAAAAGCTACTTTTCCTTTGTTTTTTTTAATTCTGATTTGTTGGCAATTTATCTGCATCTTCCTTATTTTAAATTCTGATTTATCCATAAAGATATTTTATACACATTATTACACTAAAATAAGCATTATGTAAATAGTATCACATTTTTTGATTTTGTTTATTTTTTAATTAATTTTGCATAAAAGGCAGCAAAAATGGCTGGAACAAGCTTAAAGATAAGTCAATTATGTACTTTATTAAGCTTCAATTAATTTACCAAAGAAAGGCTGCAGGCTACGCAAAGCCATGCGGCAACATGAACTACCGATAAAAGATCTGAAATTGATTGAAAATAATTTTCTGATAGAATTTATTCTGATTTTATTTTTTGTTCTGATTTTTCTGATGCGTTATGAATTCTGATTTTTTATAATTCTGATTTTTCTAAATCATGTTTTTCCTATTTCTCTGATAATATGTATTATACTTCTGAAAACCAGCTTTTCTAACGCTAGGTTTTTTCGTGCGTTTAAAAAGCCACTTTTCCTATCTGATATTTTTCTGTTTTTTTCCATTATATTCTTATTTTCTGGTAATTTTGTATGTATGTTCACTTAAAAATTGTATTACGCACCTTTCCGAAAAGGCATATGGCAAGTATTTGTGTAAAATGGGGGAGATAAATGATGTGAAATTGCAAATGTTGTAATGGCTTCTGCTTTTTCTTGATTTTTATACAAACCAGCATCAGCTAGAAAGTGATTAGGCAAATGTCCATTAGCCATTGCTTCATCCAACGAATGTGAAAGTCGTTGGCATGCTTCTATACTGGTTGGTATACAACTGGAGAATAATACAAAAAATTTATGAATGAGCTTTTTTGACACGAGGTTTTTCCGTGCGTTTAGAAAACTACTTTTCTTCGCTATTTTTCTTGTTGCTAATTTCATATATTACATAGCTATTTCTAAAGCATTATTCAGCGAAATATAATTCCGTTATTCCCCATACAGATGTTTCTTAGAAAATTTTTAACGGCTAAACGCCAATCGTCAGTTGAACAGTTCAATTTTTTGGACCAGCTTTTTAAACGCATTTTTCCATGTGTTTAAATGGCATAATTTTTAATAACGATTTTTTTAATTACCAAGAATCTGGAAATGCAGGCTTTGGTGCCTTTTGATGCATATGCCATTTAGAAGTTCGCCATATCGAATAATCCTCAGTCCCATTAACTCCACAACATTTAAACTAAAGTTAGGTTTAAAAATGAGGTTAATCTCCCTTTAAATTTCTACCTCTTTTTGAAGACTATCCCAAGCAAAGGTAATTTCCGGCATATCAGAAGACCCATAAAGCTCTTTCAAGGACGTAAGCATTTTAAGATGGAGAGGTGTTTGATCAAGTTTTTGACGGAATACAAAGCCCATAAGGCCTCCAATAATTAGGGAGAAGCAAAGAATGGCCGAGGCTGTCGAGAACTTAAGAGAGAAAGTATTTTTTGACATTAGATTTAGTTACCGAATAGATAAGACATCTTAATTCCCGATGAACAGCATATACAGCAATACCACTATTTGCTAGGGACATTAAGGAAATGACCATCATTATCTTCAAAATATTTGATGGAATTTTCTAAATTTATCTTTAATTACCCTGCAGACGTCGACGTATAAACTTGGCGCTAACAATTCATAATACTTTAAAAAAATTTAATTTTTAAATATTCTTTAGATAATTAAGAGCTAAGTATTTTCTTAAGGGAACAATATAGTTAAACTAAAGCAAGACTTCTCAAAATTAGCATTGGAAATATAAAAAAAATAATTTTATAAATGAGCTTTTTAAACGCTAAATTTTTCCGTGCGTTTAAAAAGCTACTTTTGCTATATCGCTATTTTTCTTAGCACTATTCGCTTTTTTTAAGCTGGCAAGGATCTGTTAATGCTACGGAGAGTTTCAATGGACTACCTAAAACTAGGGTTTGTCGGTTTTTGGAAAGGCTGAGGAACTGAACTAATAAGCCTCATTCTTGAGATTACAGACATCTCAAGGGGTATGGGCTCAAAAATTTTTTCAAGAAAAAGCTACTTACTTGTGACCTATTAACATAAAGCCAAGCACCATAACTAAAAGTAATAATTGCAATTATTGCAGCAAAAAAATTAGTTAATAAAAAGCAATATTTAGTTGATAATCCGTAGAATCCATACGCTGACCACCGCCAAAGGGAAGCTGCTGAAGGGGGATTATTCATTAAAGTTAATAGAGTTTATTTGGAGTTTTAATAATAAAAATAAGGAGCATTTTTAATTAATAATTTAATTAATCTGAAAGTAATCGCGGGGTGTGAATTAGGGTATTTTTTAATTTGGGCGTTTTAACAAAAAAAATTTTTGAGAAATTTTTTTTTAATTTTCTGGAAAATTTTTTTAATTTTTTTTTGAAAATTAATTAGAAGGTTAATTTTTTTGAAGGAAATTCTTTGAAAAAAAAATTTTTATGAAAATTTTTTTAATTTCTTAAAAAAATACAGTAGTGTATTAGACATGGGTTATTACATTATTGTAGGTCTAGAGGATATTTGGGACAATTTAAACTGTTCTAACCAGAATAAAAAAATATTTTTTGATTAATAGTAGGGTTATTTTGCTTGTTTTTACTCCAATCGAATTTATTAATTTTTCTATTTTTTAATTTATATATTTTCTCCCAAAACGTGTTTATATATTAGGTGTTAATTCTCGCGCAGAAATGATTGCGCAAAAAAATTTACGAGAACTCTTTGCAGGAAAAATACAAAAGAGAGGGAAAAGTGTGTCAATCTCTCCATTCAATTTTGACTTTCCAACCTTTTTTCACTTTTAATATTTTTTCTGAGTGTTCACACTTGCAGGGGAAATTGAGGGAAATGAGAGGGGGCAACTTGAGGTAGAAAAAAAATTTTTTGGTGTTTTTAGTGTATTTGCGGTGTTTGAGTGTCTTGTAAATTAATAAAATAAAAAATACAAAAAAAAACACAACAAAAACACATATCAGAAAAAAATATCAGAAATTTTCTCAGGCCTTTTGCCGACGTAAAGGGGAAAGAGTTGTTGGAGATAGGACCAAATCAGGTTGAACGTGCAGGCTCTGGACCCTCTGGGACTGACATGAGCATGAATGAGAGTGACTAGGAAAAGGTGAGTTGTAAAATGAGGTTTATTGTAGTTAAAAATAGAATTTTAAAAGAATATTAAGGAGTGAATAAAATTAAAAAGGAAATTGAATTTATATTTATTTTTAAAAAAGTTATTGTCAAAAATTTCGCGCATTTTTTATTTTATCGAATTTTTGGGTTGATTTTCATCTTGAAAAAATTTTATATGACTCGTTTTAATGACCTTGGTTCAAGGTTTTTGGATAAGATTAGGACGGATTGAGAAGGGATTTGGAGGTAAGGATTGAAGGAAGAGTGAAAAGGAAGAGTGGATGACATTGGAGGAAAGTGAATGAGAGAATTAGTGAAAGGAATTTTCTAGAGGAATTCTTTCCCTTTGACCAATAAAAAAAAGAAAAATTTGGGGTGATCAACTTTGAGGGAGCAAGCCAACCTACCGCCGAGGCTATAACTTCTTTCAGAATTGTCGAATCCGGGACGCCTTGGTATGATTCGATACGCCTTGAACGAAGTTATAGCCTCGGAGGTAGATTGGGCTCGCGGTATGTTGGGGAGTACCCCAGCTTAGGGAGGGTTAAAATTGAGTTAAATTCCATCGAAGATTTTTTTAATTATTGAAAAAAATTAATAAATGGAAAAAAATGCGCAAACCAAAATCGATCTACTAAACATAAACACTTTTACGCCTATTTAGTGGACGCGGGTAGCGGAACTTTTTTTTATTATTGCTCTTATATGTATTTATTTATTTTACATCTCCGTTCAAGGCCCTTCTGATTGCGCAAATAATTTAAAAAGTGGGAAGATGAGAAGGAAAAAAGACGTGAAAATGAGCAAACATGGAAAGAATAAAAATAAAATCAGAATTTGTAAAAAAATAAAAATCAGAATTTGTATTTTATAATTATTAAATCAGAATTTGTAAATTGTAAATAAAATCAGAATTTGTAAAAAATAAAAATCAGAATTGTAAATAGAAATCAGAATTAATTAAATCAGAATTTGTAATTTTTAAATAAAATCAGAATTTGTAAAAAATAAAAATCAGAATTTGTAAAAAATAAAAATCAGAATTGTAAATAGAAATCAGAATTAATTAAATCAGAATTTGTAATTTTTAAATAAAATCAGAATTTGTAAAAAATAAAAATCAGAATTTGTAAATTGTAAAAATAAAACTCAAAATTGCTCCAAAATAAAAATAGAAGTCAGAATTGTACATATTTTGTAAAAACCAGAATTTGTAATTTCTAAATAAAAATCAGAATAATTAAATCAGAATTTGTAATTTTTAATAAAATCAGAATTTATATTTTGTAATAATTATAATCAGAATTTGTAAATTGTAAATAAAAATCAGAATTTGTTATTTGTAATTATTAAATCAGAATTTGTAATTTCTAACTAAGTCAGAAAACAGAATTTGTAGAAAGAATTGTAATTATAAAGCAAAATCAGAAATACATAAAACTACACTTAAAAAGGAATACTATACAAATCAGAATTATCAGAACATTTATGTAAAAACACACATCAGAATTCAAAAATACAAAACCAGAATTTTTAATTTAAAAATAGATATTATGTACTATTTCTGATTTTTACAAGGAAAGCTGAATAATTAAAGCCCTTATTTTTGTTTAAAAATAAATTTAAAAATTTTAAATATACGTCAGAATTATTCTTATATTTTTTTCACTAATATTTTTAAATGCCAAAACTTTTATGTAAAAAACATTTTTCCTTTCTGTTTTCATTTTAAGATGAATCACTCATTTAGAAAAAAAATTTTTTTTATTTTTTTATTTATTTTTTTCTGGCAACATTTTCTAGGAGAGGAAAGGAGAAATTATTTTAAATACCAAAAAAAGGAAATTTTCTTTTTATTTTATATATTTTTTTAAAACGAAAAAAAATAAATTAAAGTATCTAGAGAAGAATCAAAAAGTATCAAACCAAAAAAATTTTTTCCTTCAAAAATTATTTATTTTCAAGAAAACGTCCAGCTTCTCCCAATTTACCGACCAAATAACACTAAAAAAATTTAATTTTAAAAATTGAAAAAAAATTTTTGTTAAATTTACATTTGCGCATGTACAAAAGAAGAAGCGGCAATCTTTATCCTCTACATGTTTATCACTCATTTGTCGAACACCGTGAACATCGCAGAAAATACAGACACCTCTATCTGAAAAATAAAAATTTACTTATTTTTTATTAAAGAAAAATTTTTTAAAATTCAGAAAAAATTTTTTAAGGCAAAAAAAAAATTTTCAAAAATTTTTTAAAAAATTTTTAAAACCCAAAAAATCCAAAAATTTCAAAAACCCCCAAAAATTTCCTTTAATTTCCAGAAAAAATTTTCTCTTTAATTTTTTCAAAAAAAAATAATATACCATTATAAATAATCTTTCGTTTATCAGTTGCGCAAATAAATTTATCCAAATTTAATACAGTAACGTTATGTTCCGCAGCTACATCCGCAAGTCGTTCAATCTGATATTTTTAACAATTTTTTGTTTAAAAAATATTTTAAAAATTTACATCAAAAAAGTTGATGCCTCTTGGAACTTTGACTGGAGGATTAATTTCTGAAAAATTTTAAATTAGAAAAAATAAAAAATTAATTTTCAAGCAGTAGGATTCGAACCATGCCCCTATTTAAGTGTAAAACCCAACACTATCCAACTACACCAAAAAAGTCAAATTTGATACGAAATTTGAGCAAGGAAATCCATTTCGAAAACATTTTATCTTAGAAATAAAAATTTTTTTCAAGTAGTAGGGTCCCCAAATATTTTACTTCAAATCCCATCCCCAACAAACTAAAACCAAAACCCCAGCCCACTATACCAAAACCCCATACACTCCACCCCGTTCAACTACACCCAAAAAAAAGACAAATTTGATGTGGAGTTTGAGCGAGGGAATCGATTTCGTATACATTTATTTTTAAAAATAAAAAAATTTTTACAAGTAATAGGGTTCGAACCCTCCACCTAATTTACTTCAAATCCCATCCTCAACCAACTACACCAAAACTACACACAAACTAATGTACCCTATAAACCCTCCCCTCCAAACTACACAAAAAAAATTCAAAAAAATTAACCTTCATCGCCCCGGATTCGATTGTTAAGTTGTTCTCTCTTCCTTTTAATCCGCTCCAATTTTGAAACTTTAAAAAATAAAAAAATTTTTAATTAAAAATAATTTAAATTTATACTCAATTCCTCAGCCTTAACATTCATCTGGATTCGATTTTCGTTCCTAGTAGCCAAAGACTCTTCAGAAGTTTTCTTTTTAGGTTCAAAGGGTTTGATCCTGTCATCGGAGTTATTCATAATGCTCTACAAAGAAAAAATTTTTTAAAGGAGATTTTTTTGTTTTTGCGGACAATTTTTTGTGGATTTTTTTTCTTGATTTTCCAGTTAATTTTTTTAATTATGGGGTGATTATCGTTTAAATAAGGATTTTAAATAATTTTGATGAAATTAGAAAAAATTTATTTGCTTATTGGGTTCTTTCAAGTTTTTGCGGACGATATTTGCGGATTTTTTTTTCTTGATTTTCCAATTATTTTTTTTCTTAATTTGGGGGTGATTATTGTTTAAATAAGGATTTTAAATAATTTTGATGAAATCAAAATTATTTAATTGCTTATTGGCTTATTTTTAGTTTTTGCGGACGATTTTTGCGGATTTTTGCCTTTAGCCTTGCATTAAAATTTTTAATTGGGATTTCTTAAAAATAACTTTAAAAATGTAAATGGAAGTCTAAAAATAAAATTCTCGTTGTTTCCCAATAAATAATTTAGAAAAAATAAAGCAAATAAAGTTTCGAGAGAAAAGAAGCGCTTATGTATATTTAAAAAGAAGAGGGGAAAAGTACAAGAAATGTTACAAAAAAAGCAAAAAAAAAATGATTGAAAAAATTGATATAGCAAAAGTCGATATTCTTCCCATTTTAAATATAGAAATTAAATAGAGAAAAGTGTCCCCATTTTTGAAAATAACAAAAATAGCCTAAAATCGACACGTTATAAGACTGACAAGGCGCGTCTCCTAATTTTATTCCGTGATCCATATAAAAAACCCATTTTCAAATTAAAAATTTTTTGTAAAGACTTTCGTCGTTATTAAAGACTTACAAGAAAACATTTTGAACTGTAGCCAAAAATTTCGCATTCTTTGCACTATCGTGTAGAGCATAATAGTAAAAAAATGAGGAAGACTCGACCACTCCAAAATTCGAAAACTTTGAACTACTATAACTTCTCGAATTGGGGGTCAGGGACAAAAAAGCCAAAAATTAACAATAGGTTATTGACCCTGCTCTACACGGCAGTGCAAAAAAAATGAAATTTTTGGTCAAAAAATGGTTTCTTGTTAATCTATATCCTAAAGGTCCAAGTTTTCAAAAAAGTTAATTGCCTGCGAAAAATCCACGAAAACACATAGAATAGGTCAACAATTTCCTTAATCATAAAAATTAAAAAAAACCTTTCTAATCTCCATTCGCTTCTCCAATTCCATAGCATTCGTCCTCATCTTCCATTTAAGCTCAGCTCCTTTAAAAAAATTTTTAACTTAAATTATTTAAAAAAACAAACTAAGAGGTCGAACTAACTGTAACGAGTCCGTCACAATAATTGGCTGACTTCCCTTCTCGACAGTTTCAGCAGTTTTAGAAGAACTTGCGGCAGAAGAGGTAGAAGTGAAATTAACTGAGGAATACGCCTTTTTGGGTGCAGGCATGCTTCTATCTCGTTCTCTTGATAAGCGTGGATCGACCGGTGGAATCTTTAAAAAATGTTAAAATATTTTTGGAGTTATTTTGGTAAGGAAAATGAGTCGGCCTGAGTTTATGTAGCTAGAACCCTGACACGGCCATCCTGGTCTTATTTTTAATAGGAATACAAGCCAAGGGGGACACGACCAAGTAGGCGCGCGGCCAGGTAGGCGCAAAGCCATAACTACTTGGAAAATTTTTAGAGCTTAATAATTTTGGTATCAATCTCTTTAGCTCGATGAGAGGAATCGTTTAATACTAAATTTTGAAAGATTTGGAAATTTTGAAGCAGATTATGGCTTTGCGCCTACTTGGGCTGTACCCAAGCCAAGGATCTAGTTCAGTCGGCGCCCTTAAAAATAAGCCCAGGCCTAAACTTAAAATACTTATGGTTGAAAATAGCCCAGACACAGTCATTTTGCGTTTATTGTTAGTCATAACAGACTTTCATGAAAAAAGCTTAGAAGGATGTGAATCTACTCGGAAGATTCAAAACTAAATCACTCAAGAAAGTATGGAGTAACAGGAAAAATGAACTCAATCCATAAAAGTTCCGAAAAAGATCCGAAAAATCCCCCAAGCTCTTTACCCTTCCCTTACTCTAATTGAAAGTCAAAGCTCAAAAACAAAATAAAAATTAAATTTAAAACTTACAATTCGCTTCTTAGTCTTAACAGACTTTTTAGAAAGACTTTTGGACGGTTGGCTCTTCGGCAATTCAGACGTCTCCCTCTCAGAAACTTCTTGAGACTCCTTCGTTTCTTCTCGATTATCTTCCCTTTCTTCAGGCACTAATTCACTCCATCTAGTTTTAACCTCCTCAGGAACCTTGTCTTCCTTGATTGGAAAGTTGTCTTTAAAAAAAGTTGACGTTTGGTACCATTGGCCACCCTAAAATAAAATTTTTTTTTGATTCAAAGTAGAATATTAGAGATCGGTCTGGATCTGGATCCAGTCTGGATTTTTCCTGGATCCAGAGTCCATATCCAAGCATTTTTTGAGCGTCCTGGATCTTTGCTGGATCCAGATCCAAAATCCAGATCCAGGATTTATGAAAATACCGATCTCTATAGGGTAGCACCACGACGATCCTTCGGGGTCGGTTATGTCAGAGAACGTGTTTGGGGAGACACTCGGGATTCTAGTTCGGGCTGACCTTTGTTTAGGGTCAAGTCACTGGACGTGGTGCTACCCTATGGCACCATTGATCTCCCTAAAAGAAATTTTTTGATTCAAAGTAAAGTAGCATCACGATTCCTCGGAGTCAGTATTGTTGGGAAACAAGGGTTGGGGAGACACTCGGGATTCACGTTCAGGCTGAATTTTGCTTCAGGCTCGGGTCGGAGGACGGGGTGCTACCCTAATTAAAAGTTTAACTAACCTCTTTATAATATTCAAAGCCATTGTGTTCGACAGTTGTACGATTCTCAGTCATTTTTATTGTATACTTCAGAATAATTTGATTAGACCTTTAAATTAAAAAATAAACAGAAAGGATCTGATTAATCCAATTTTTTACTTAAAATCCGCAAAAAAAAATAAACAAGAAAAAAATAGCATAGAAAACAGAGAGACGGTTAGAGAGCGAGAGAAAAACAAAAAATATCCGTGCGACAAAATGGTACAAGACAAAATGCCACGCGATAATAGGTTAGCATACGTTAAGTCCATTTACATAAAGTTTAGTATAAAAGTTGAAATAAAACGTTAGTCCGTGTGTTATTGTAAGTTTGTTCGGGTATTATTCTGACTTCAGTTAGCCTTCGTTTATTAATATTTTTTGTTCGAAATTTTCAGGAAAAAATGAGCCAGAATCGTAAAGTTATTGAATACGAGGGAGTTAAATATTGTAAAGAGGTTAATTTAATTTTCTTTACTTCAAAAAATTTTTTTTTCATTTTAGGAAGGTCTTTGGTATCAAATGCTGCAAATTAGAGAAGACAAATTGCCTGATGCTATTAAAACTGAAAGACAATTAAAATTTAATTTGTTGCCGGAAATTCAATTGGATGTATTCAAATGTCTTGATTTCGCTCAATTATTGTCTGTCCAGCAAACAAATGTTTATTTCAAAAATTTTATTTATGAACATGGAAAGGTGTTGGCTATGAAGAAATTCTACAAGCTTGAAATTGTTGGTTTTTATTAATTTTAAAATGAGGGAAAGATGAAGGCTTGACACAGGGCATACATTAATCCTGGGATCTTCTGTCAGCCATTGCTAAGAGACTTCTCTTACCATTACTCTACTAACTAAGCTACCGGAAAAGATTTTTTAGGAATAGCTTTTACCTTCTCTTCTAATGGATTTTAGATCCCCAACTACTACTCTCTTTAAATCCTAACCAGCTGGATCTCCCTTCATCTTTACACTACTACGAATTAATTTTTTCAGCTGCCAATCAGTGAGAGAACCATATATAGATTTCTAGAGCATAAGCCGCAGCCTAAACTTTATGACTTTGATTTGGGAGACTATAGATTTACTAGTAACTTTGGAATGTGTGAACAGAAATATAAATTCTTTAAACCAGAGCCTCGACTCTATGAATTTGAATTGGGTGAAGAACTGGAAAAGAAGGTTTTTTAGTAATTAACTTTATTTGAAATAAGCTCAAATTTTAGTGGAAAGATGGAATAAAAAACTCAATTCCAATGTTTTTAACAATGGGTGGCGGTACAAACATTAAAACTGCTGTTTGTGAATTTGACCATGAGGGCAAATTGGAAAAAGGTTTGACTTAAAATATGTGCAATTTGTTTTGTCTGCCGAATTGGCTGTTTTATGGATTTTAAGTTGAAATTAAATAGTGGGTTTATCTTGGGTGCATTTTTAAAAAATCACTCATTTTTAAGAATTTTCTATTTTTTGTTCAAGTGATAAAATCTGACTAAATAGGGGATCTAAAAAATTATTTTGTAATTTAAAAAAAAATTTATTTTTAGATTTATACTATATGCAATTGTCAAAATATCCAAAAAATTTAGAAGAAATGAAAATTGCTCGTTATTTCTTCCAATTACTTTTTAACTGTTCTTTCGACAATTTTCGAATTCATCAGGCAATAATTAACCCGCAAATGATTGAATTATTGTTTGTTAATGAAATTGCAAGAAATGTGCCTTTACAAATTCATTCTCAAGAAACGTGGTTACTTCTTTACGATGACCATCTTTTAAACTTTCTTGCAAACCATTTGGTTACTAATCATTTTTACGTTGAGTTTGATGACCGTTTCGATGAAGAGGAAAATGTGGATATTTTATTTAAAATTTTGGCTATTGGAGGAATCAAATCTTCTAGAATTACTTTTTTGCACCTTAGCTCGAAGCTTTACAATTGTATTATTGAGGTAAACTAGTTTTGTTCATAATTTAGGGATAAAACACTTTTTGACTTGATTTTGAATCATTTTTCGAATCTTTTGTTAGATTTGCATAATTTTGTCATTCGAAGAAAAGTTAATCAAAAAACCTCCCAACCACCAAAATTTGGTTAACGAGATCAATGACGTTTTTAGAATTCTTGAGAAAAAAATCTGGAGAAATTTCATTAAAAAATTAGAATTTTTAGAATATAGCAGCATCACAAGACATTTTTAAAATGCCGAACGAAATTGGATTTAATGGTATATGGGGACCTTTAATTTCGAGTGAAAGAGCAACAAATGTTGAAGTGACTACTGTTGAAGACGAACTTAAATGTACAAAATTTCAACTTGTCAATAAATACAATCCAAAAATGGTGTTTTCTGTGTCTATTGAAGAGTGCTATACTGATATACATGTGGCAGGTCAAGAAAATAAGGAGATAGGAGTTATAGCTGAAATTAAAAAAATTGAGTGATTTATATATGTTTATATGCGTATAGGTATGTGTTTGGATTATTAATTAGAGTTGTGTTGGCGACTTGTTTTATTAACCGATTCCCTCTTGGTTTTCAGTTGATTCAGATTTTGAGAATTTTTTTTCGATTTTGGCTTTTAGTTTAAATAGCAGGTATTTTTAGAGATCGGCACAGGACAGGATCCCGCACAGGATTTTTCAGGATCCTGTCCGAAATCCTGCCTTTTTTTCAGTTTTCAGGATTATCAGGATTCCAGGATTTTCAGGATTAATTTTGCAGGATCCTGTCCTGTTCGAAATTTTTAAACCCAATTCTGATACAGGATCCGTCCTGTTAATTTTCACTGTTCAGGATTTTATTTTTGTCTTCCTAGCCTTCCAAAATCTTCAAAATTTTCCAAATCTTCATTTCCTAATCTTCAAATCCAAAAAGTCCCCATTACTTGGTACTCCACTTACACAACTTGAAATACCAAACTTTTGACCTAACAACGGGGGATGTTGACTCATTTGTCAGTGATGGGGGAAGTTGTTCCAACAGTGGGGATGACGTCCAATACGGAAACAACATTTTTCAGCGAAGATTTAATTGTGACATATTAGCCAAAAATTTTAATTTTCAGCGCCGCAGGCATAAATTTTGAGAAATTTTGAGATTTTTTGAAAATCCCGAAATCCTGGACAGGATCCTGGAAAAAAATGATAGGATTGGCAGGATTTTCAGGATTAATCCTGCAGGATCCTGTCCTGTTCGAAAATTTAAAACCTAATCCTGTTACAGGATCCTGGAAATGCGATTTTACCGATCTCTAGGTATTTTTAATTTTGCGGAAATTTTTATTGAAAAACCCCCATTCTGTTCAACATTTTTGAGCTTTAAAACCGATCGACAACAACAACTATATATTTTGCGGTAGGGGACCATTGTGTACCGGCCGGTTGTGTACCTGGCCATATTTTGGGCCATAACTTTTTTGATTCTTAATTGATTTAAATGATTAATATATCAATCGAAAGCCCTGGATGTGAGGATTATTTTCGCCAACAGAACTGATTTGATCAGATCACGCTACAAAAAGTTACAGACAGATAAAGATCAAAATCACGATTGCTCGCATTTATCTGGCTGTAACTTTTTGTAGCATGATCTGATCAAATCAGTTCTGTTGGCGAAAATAATCCTCACATCCAGGGCTTTCGATTGATATATTAATCATTTAAATCAATTAAGAATCAAAAAAGTTATGGCCCAAAATATGGCTAGGGGGTTTCGTTTCGTTTAACTCTCCTTTATTCTCTTATGCGAGTTAATGAGGCGGTGCTTTTATCTTCTCTTCTAAGAAGATTAAATTTACTCCTTGCCAGCTTGATCTTTTTTCCTTACACTATTTTTAATTATTATTTTTTTAGCTACCAATCAGTGATAGCACTATAAATAGATATCAAGAGCATAAGCCGGTGCCTAAGCTTTATGACTTTGAATTGGAAGAACACAGATTTTGTGACTTTGGAATGTGTGAACAAAAATATAAATTCTTTAAACCGGAGCCTCGACTCTATGAATTTGAATTGAGTGAAGAACTGGAAAAGAAGGTTTTTTGAAATTTTTGTTTTTATTTTTTAAATCAAATTTTTTAGTGGAAATATGGAATAAAAAACTCAATTCCAATGTTTTTAACGAGTCTTACTCCATACGTAAACACCAACATTGTTGTTTGTGAATTGGAACAAAATGACAAATTGGAGAAAGGTTTGACTTTAAGTTAAATTTTTTTGGGTAATTGGAAATTTTTTGGTTCCCGTTTATAAAAATTGAACATGGATGTTCAAAAATAAACTTTTAGGTTAGCCGAAAGGTAATTCTTCATTCTTTTCCTTGTACTCAAACGCGCTCAAAAATTTAAGTTTGACTGGATAAGTGATTTTATATGGGACCTGATATCGTTTCGTAAGAGGCGGACTCTAGCTAATGTTTGTCAAACCCTCAAACCTCAACAAAGAATTTTTCTTAAAATTATTTTTAGGCTTATACTATTTTCAATTATCAAAATATCCAAAAAATATCGAGGAAATGAAAATTGCTCGTTATTTCTTTCAATTGCTGTTTAACTGTTCTTTCACCTTTTTTGATATTCATCTGGCAATAATTAATCCACAAATGCTTGAATTATTGTTTGTTGATGAAATTGCAAGAAATGTGCTTTTACAAATACATACACAAGAAACTGATTTGATGTTTTACGATGATCATCCTTTAAATATTGTTCGGAATCATTTGGTAGCTAATGAATTTAATATTGAATTTGGTAAACGTTTTGATTTCGATGTGGAAAAGAAGGCGGACGTTGTATTAGAAATTTTGGCAAATGGTGGCGATAAATTTTCTAATATTTATCTTGAGTATCTTCACTCTAAACTTTACAATTTAATTATTGAGGTTTGTAAAACTTATTATAGAGCTAAATTGGGTATAATTTTAACTTGGATAAGGTACATGTTGATTTGGCGGTACGACAATTGAGGATACGCACTTGAGGATATGACAAATGAGGATAAAAATGAAAAATAAAAAAGACTTGAAATATCCATAAAACTCGGAAGACCCCCACTTGGAAGACCAATAATGAAGAATTCTTCTCTTTCCAGCGCCGCAGGCGAACATTTTTGAATTTCAAAAGGTCAAGGATTACCGTTTTTTATTATTATTTTAATCCTCAATTGTCGTCCTCATTTTTCATATCCTCAAGTGCGTATCCTCAATTGTCGCAACACCGTTGATTTCGGTCTTAGGATCTAACTATACTTTCTGGCTAAACTATAAAGTCTAGAAAATTTTCTGGACCTTTTTTTAGATTTGTTAATTCATGTCATGCAATTTGAGCTTAATAGAAGCAAATTTAGTTAATGGAGACCAGATCTGTAATTCGGAAAAATCCCCTTTCCTTCTCCCCCACCTCTGTCCCCAACCTCTGTCCTTCTCCCCCACCTCTGTATAGTAAGGTTGGCGGATAGTTGGAAATCTTCGGATATCCGGATCCGGTATCCGATCCGAAATTTTCGGATATCCGGATCCGGATCCGGTATCCGAACCGAAAATTTCGGATATCCGGATCCGGAACCGATATCCGAACCGAAAATTTCGGATATCCGGATCCGGAACCGAAATTTTTATTTTAAAAATTTTCGCCTGCGGCGCTGAAGAGTTGAGTCTTATGGAAAATATAAAGGGATTTGGAGCAATTATGATTGGATTTGGGGATTAACAGTGTTATCGAGAGAATTTATGCTTAACAGAGTTATCTAGGTGTAATAAATGTGTAGAAAATTTTGTAGTTTATCTGATGATTTGTGAGAATTTAGTGGATTTGGGGGAAGTAGTAGATACATTGGCTATTTCCATATTTTTGAATTTGGTAAATTGATATCTGGGATCGTGGGATTAAGAGAATAATGAGAGATTTAGAGGTAAATCCTCCGTTATCATACAAACCCCTTTTCTTCAGTTTTAAGCGCCGCAGGCAAAAATTTTGAAACTTGGAGGTCCTTAAGTCAGATTTCTTCCACTGACAGCGCCGCAGGCGAAAATTTTGGTAATTTTGGAAGGCCGTAGGCCAAAAAAATTCACTTTTTAGCGCCGAAGGCGAAAATTTTTTATAATATTGGGAGCAAATTAAGCAAAATTTCTTCCATTTTCAGCGCCGCAGGCGAAAATTTTGGGAATTTTGGAAAATTAGACTATTAGATGTTCCTTTTCCAGCGCCGCAGGCGAAAATTTTGTGAATTTTGGAAGTCTGGGCTACCAGATTTGTTCATTTTTCAGCGCCGCAGGCGAAAATTTTGAGAAATTTGGAAGGCCACTGGGCAAGATTTCTTCCTTTTTTCCTAATTCTAGGATCCGAACCGAAATTTTCGGATATCCGGATCCGGATCCGATATCCGAACCGAAAATTTCGGATATCCGGATCCGGATCCGATATCCGAACCGAAAATTTCGGATATCCGGATCCGGATCCGGTATCCGAACCGAAAATTTCCGGATATCCGGCCTTTTTTGGATCCGGATATCCGGATCCGCCAACCTTACTGTATAGGCCTCTAAAATTATTTTAAAAATTTTATTTGTGAAAAAATTATAATTTTATTTGTTTTTAGCATATAGTAGCATCACAAGATATTACTAAAATGGTGAAGAAAATTCATTTTGAGGGTATGTATGGACCTCTTATTTCAAGTGAGAATGCAATAAATCTTAAAATTGAGGTTATAGACAATATTAAAATTACAAAATTTCAACTTGTCAATAAATACAATTCAAAAATTGTGTTTTTTGTATCTGTTAAACAATTCAATAAAATTCATGCGCCAGGTCAGGAAAATTGTGAGACGGGAGTTGATGCTAAAATAAGGAGAATTAAGTGATTTATTTAAATTTATTTAAATAGTTTAGGTATGTAAAATTTATTAGAGTTGTGTTGGCGACTTGTTTTATTAACCGATTTCTTTTCTGTTTTTGGTTTTTTAGATTTTGAAAACCCTTAGTTTTTGAATTTTAGTTTTAAATATTTGATTTTTTTTTGGGAAAATTTTTTTACGGAAAAAGCATCCTCTTTAACATATTTTTAGCTTCGTAACTCACAAAAAAACACTTAATTTTTGGCAAAAAATATCAGAAAAAAATTTTTTTGGTCTAAAATCAGTCGACAACAACTATATATTTATTTTGTGTGTTTAATTTAATTTATTTTTGTTTGTTGCGTTTATTTTATTTTGAAGAAATTGGAGCTTTAATTTGACTTTTTTTGTGTGATAAAAATATTTTTTAAATTTTTTTTTGTTTCTCTTTCAAAAATTTGTTTAAATTATTTTTTAAATATTTTTAAAAATTGCTTTGTTAATTTTTTAAATTTATTTTTAATAATTCAATTTTTCAATCAGGCTATTTTTCTTTTGTTTCACAAAAATGAGCGAGGATCGAAAAATTATTGAGCACGACGGACTTAAATATTATAAACAGGTTAATTAACTTTATGTTTTAATTATAAAATTAATTTGGTCCTCTTGTATTTGCGTAAATGTCCGCAAATATTAGTTGACAGCTTTTTGCCTTGTCTTTCTCCTTTCATAACAAAAGGTAGAAAAAGGGAAAGCAACCAAACATTAATAGTTGTCCGACAAATAATTTACTTAGGTCCCAGTTGCGGAATCTTGGGCTTACGACATAGACTGTCCATTTGATACAATTAAGTCTGACCATTCTGTGGATGTTAAGGTTAAATGGAAAGTATACGGACTTGGAGTAGGAAATAAATACTCTTATGTACACTTTAGATTAAGGCTTTTGCACTACATCAATTTATAATTGAAGTGTCTCAAATATATTTTTAAACGATTTTTGGGATTCTGGCAGACAAATATTTCATTTTTTTAACTAATTCCAAGTAGTTCAGAATAATTGTAGTGCAAAAAGTGGACAGGCGGGGAGTCAACTCTTAACATTTACCTAAAAAAATTCACAAAATTTTCTTAATTTTCGCTTGCGGCGCAGATAAAGTTGGAAAAGGCAAAAAGTTGCGGACTAACACTTTTGCAGACATGTGGGCAGATAATAAGGAATACCATTAATTTTTTAGGAAGGTCAATGGTATCAAATATCTCCAATCGATGAAGACAAGGTGCCTGTTGATATTAAAATTAAAAAGCGTATGAAGCTGAATCTGTTGCCTGAAATTCAATTGGATGTATTTAAATGTTTGTCTTTCACTCAATTATTGGTTGTCCAGCAAGCTAGTGTTTATTTTAAAAATTTTATTAGTGAAAATGAAAAAGTTTTGGCTATGAAGAAATTTTGTAGACTTGAAATTGTAAGTTATATTTATAAAAACAGTCTAATCAAGGTTCTGACCTAACCAGCGCTGGGTCCTGAGGGATTTTCTGACTCCGTGTTTTAAATTCCGAGTTTTTTTTCGCAGTTTCTTGACTAGTTCCTGACCGAATTAATCCCGATTATAAATTGAGCAGTCGGTAACAGTTAAGTTTGTGTTTCCCCTTTTTTTCTTATGGCTGTTGGTGTAGAGTTAAAAGTAAAAGTTCGGGGTGTGACATATGTCATTCGATTTGTTTCGACGAGCTGAGTCGAACGGTACCACTCTCAATTTCAGAAAATGATTCTGGACCGTTATAGGTCCCGAAATATTGAAAACCCATAGGGGGAAGTAAGGTCGATTTTGGTATAATATAACTCGGTCCAGAATCATTTCCTGAAATTGAGAGCGGTAACGATGACTTAGCTCGTCGAAACGAATCGAATGACATGTCACTTCCTAAACTTTTATCTAGGTACAACACTACAGCCGAAAGAGAAAAAGAGGAAACACAAACTTAACTATTTATTACCGAACAGTAAAATCTAAAATCCATTTCCGTAAAATAATTTTCCCACTTGCTCTAGTAATTATTTTTTAGAATCTTGTCAATGATGAAACTATAAGTTGCTATAAAAAGTGTAAGCAGGATCCTAATCTTTATGACTTCAAATTGGAAGAACATAGACCTTGTGACTCTGGAATGTGTGAAAAAACGTTTAAATTCTTTAAATTAAAACCTCAACTTTATGAGTTTGAATTGAGTAAACGGCTTGAAATAAAGGTTTTTATATTATTAACTTTTTTTGAAATAGTAACTATTTTTTAGTGGAAGTCTGCAATAGAAGAACCAATTCCTATGTTTCTAACAAGTGACAATGAATTAATACGTGTCGATGAAGACGCAAACACTGTTGATTGTAAATTGGAACGAAATTACAAACAAGAAAAAGGTTCGACTTACAATGGTAAGGTTTGACTTACCCAAAGTCATTTTGCAAAACGGATCACTTTACATTATTAAGACGAGGGTGCTCTATTGAATGATATCAAAAATATATCAAATTCGCACTCATAGTGAACGATAGATCCTTGTTAAATGTTTTATATTAAGTATTCTTTGCTAAACCATCGGGTTTTCTGAATTGTAGTTGATTTTGGCTTTAATTTTCTGTTTTAGGTTCAAATAGAATTTCAAGGTTACCCAAAATAAAATTTTCACCCGGGTTTTTTTCTATGAATTTTTGGTTACACAATATACGTCCAATCAGCTATTATGCGTCCAACCAACTTTTATACGCCCAATGAAAGTTTATACGTCCAATAAAAAGTTTATGCGTCCAATGAAATTTATGCGTCCAAACGCATTTTTACCCATAGGAAACTATTTTAGTACCTGCGGCTACATTATTTGCTATAATTGGGAGAAGAGTCTAATGTAAGCTGTTCTATCAGCAACATGGAAGAAACGGACTTTATTAGTTCCTTGCTCGACCATGCCAAACATGCAGTCGTAATGCCGCATTAACTTCCCTCTATTATACTTAGCGTGAAACAATTTTGACTCATCAACTTCTACCACGCGACCTAGCATTGTGTTAACTTGAACTCTTGTTGCCCATCCCTGACAGAGGTCTCGAAGAAACTTATAATACTCTTCGACAGTATTAGGAGATATTATGTTAGTATTATGTTAGTTTAATTATTGGGTGGGTAGACCAGTAATAAGCGGCACACATTAAATTCGTTTCCTAAATTATTTTTAAATGAATCTCTGTTAGCCTTTGAGCAAGCTCTTGAGCAAGAATTTATTTCTTACTGAACGTATAAAATTTGGACGTAAGAAAGTTGATTGGACTTATAATAGTTAAAGAGCCGAATTTTTTCTAGGAATTTTTATTTTTAGAATTATACTACTTTCAATTGTCAAAGTTTCCAAAAAATGTCGAGGAAATGAAAATTGCTCGTTATTTCTTTCAATTGTTATTTAATTGCACTTTTGACTATTTTGTAGTTTGTAATGTTATAATTAATCCGCAAATGATTGATTTATTATTTGATAATGATATTACAACAAATAAACATTTACAAATTCATTCAAAAGATACTCAAATATTATCTTGCGATGAACATTATTTAACCTTTGCTTGGAATCATTTGGTTTCTAATGAATTACTCGTTGAGATATATGAAACTTTCGAAGAAGAAAATTTGGACATTTTATTTAAAATTTTGGCAAATGGAGGAAATAAATTTTCTTATATTATTTATCAATTTTCAAATTCTAAACTTTACAATTTTATTATAGAGGTTGGTACACTTTTTATTATCAAATTGTTGATAGGTATTAGTTAGTATAAAAGCTGTTACGACCCGAGGTGTGTCCGAGGTTTAACTAATGTCGACGAGCTTAATGATAACAGTTTATCCGGTGTAGAAATAAACAATGAAGGCGAAGGGAATGGGACAGCTGAAGGAGATCAGTGACTAACCCCGTTAGTATGATCCAACTATACTAAACTCTTTAAGGGCTGTAGCCCAATACACAACAAAAGCTTTCATATTATTCAGTCGTGTTTTAGTCTTATTCCACTGTTATTTTATTACTATTCTATTCTTTTTCCAACGTATTGTCCAACGTATAGAAGTCTCGTACATAACAAGTGCAACCTAGACCTGAAACATGTCGATTATGGGCCCAAACTTGATTTTTAGTCTGTCTTTATAAAAAATTTTGGCTCAAAATGGTCAATTTATTTTATTCAGACCGTTAGCCCCGCCAAAAAATTGGTAAACAAGGCTTTGGGAAATTTTACAATTCTTTAAGAATTTTAGATTTAATTTATTTGATTTTAGCATATAGAAACATCACAAGATATTTCTAAAATGGTGAAAAAAATTGAATTTTGGCGTATGCATGGATCTCTAATTTCAAGTGAAAGGGCAAAGAATGTTGAAATCAAGGAGGAAGAAGAGGGTAAAAAAGAAACAAAATTTCAACTTGTCAATAAACATAATCCAAAAATTGAGTTTTCTGTTTTAATTAAAGAAGGAAGAACTTTTAATTTGACATATTCAGAAGATTATGATACTTTGGTGCCAGCAGTTGATGCTGTAATTGAGAGAATTAATTGATTTAAATTTATGTGTGTGTGGTTTAATTTATTTTCTTTCAATTTTTTTTCAATTTTTGATTTTTTGATAAACATACTTAATTTTAAATATATTTTTTTCTTTCTCAATTTTTTTAATTCGTTTAATTTCGAAAATATTTTTTATTTATTTTAATTAAATTTATAGGTCTTAATCAATTTAAAGCATCTAATAAAAATGAGAGATGATCAAAAAATTATTGAACACGAAGGAGTAAAATACTATAAAGATGTTAATCAGCAAATGTCAGCAGTTGACGCTGTAAATATGAGAAAAAGAGGGCGGAATTTGTAATTTGACAATTTTTGAAGATTATACCGCCAGTAGTTGATGCGGTAATTAAATGAATGACTAACCACACTTTACTGATCTTTTTTAGATTTGTGTAATTTTATGTCGTTCGCTCATTTTGTTGGCCCAAACAATTCGCTTAATTCGTTTCGCGCAATTTAAATGATTTTTATGTTGGACGCTCATTGATCGCTCAATGAAGATACTAAATGGAAACATTTATATTGTAAGATCTTTTCATTTTTATTAAAAAAAAGTTTTAATTTTACTTTTTTATGAACATTTTTTTAATTGATAATATTTTCTATTAAATTTAAAGATCTGATCAACTTATAGCAATTAGTAGTTAAAAATGCGTGAGGATCGAAAAATTATCGAACAAAATGGGGTTAAATATTGTAAAGAGGTTAATTAACAGCTTAATGTTTCAGTAAAAAATTTAATTTTTTAGGGAGGCCAGTGGTATCAAATGTTTCCAATTAAAGAAGACAAGGTGTTTGGAACTAAAAAGCCTACAAAAATTAATCTTTTGCCGGAAATTCAATTGGATATATTTAAATGCCTTGATTTTACTCAATTATTGGTTGTCCAGCAAGCAAATATTTATTTCAAAAATTTTATTTATGAACATAGAAAAGTGTTGGCAATGAAGGAATTTGGTGACCTTGAAATGGTAATTTGTTTATGACTTTAATTCATGGCGTTAGACAAGAAACCCCCCATATTGGGTTTTTTTTGTAATCTGCCGAATTATTTTCGTATTGGGGTTGTAATTTCGAAATCATTTACTAACATGGTGATGTCTTAGGAAATAGAGGGGCATTGAGAGGTTGTCTGACCATTCTGAATTGATTGAAAGGAGGGGGATTAAATTTGGAATTACTAGTAATTCTAATAATTTTTTTTCAGTTTCCTATCACCGAGGAAGATATAAATGGATATAAACAGTATGGGCCGTATCTGAAGCTTTATGACTTTGAATTGGAACAATATAGGTTTTGTGACTTTGGAATGTGTGAACAAAAATATAAATTTTTTAAACCAGAGCCTCGACTCTATGAGTTTGAATTGGGTGAAGAACTTGAAAAGAAGGTTTTTTAGCAATTAAATTTCTATTTTTAAATGAAATTTTAGTGGAAAGATGGAATAGAAAAAAAAGTTCCGATGTTCTTAACGAGTCTTCTTACTCCAAACGTAAACACGGTTGTTTTTGAATTGGAACGAAATTACGAAACGGAAAAAGGTTTGACCTTTATTTGAGGTTTTTCAGCCTTCTTTGGAAATAAATGGGAGATCACATTGTCCCCCTAACAAGGCTGTTCAAATATAAGCTGACAGAAAGTAAAATTCCAGGTTTTCCCAGAGGGTATTTTCTCTTCAAGAAGATAGATAACACTTCGCAATCAAAATTTGGGGGTCCTCAAGAGAATGGTATCAAAAAATAGATTAAGATGTCAGACCCTTTTTTGTGAAACATTCAAACAACCAAGAATTTTTCTTAAAATTATTTTCAGCTTTATACTACTTTCAATTGTCAAAGTATCCAAAAAACATTGAGGAAATGAAAATTGCTCGTTATTTCTTTCAATTGCTGTTTAACTGTTCTTTCCATGTTTTTAAAATTCGTCATGTTATAATTAATCAACAAATGATTGAGTTATTATTTGATAATGAAATTGCAAGAAATGTGCCATTACAAATACATTCGCAAGGAACTTTTTTACATACTTACGAGCGTTTTTTTGTAGAATTTATGTGGAATCATTTGGTAACTAATCATTTTTTCATTGTATTTAACGAAACCTTTGATTTGGAACAAAATATGGACATTATATTTAAAATTTTGACGTGTGGTGGAGACAAATTCATTGAAGTTTCTTTTGAATATCTTAACTCGAATCTTTACAATATTATTATTGAGGTCTGTGCATTTTTATTAGTAAGGTAAACTAGGTCGAGATATAGAGCCTGAACAAAATAAAGTGACCATTATGAGCCCAATGATCTTATTGAAAATAAACTGCCAGGAATCTACATAAGATTTTTGTTTTTCTAAGTGATCTCAATCGTATGACACCAAAATTAGTCAACAGTAGACATTAATAAAATTCTTGAAAAAAAAAGTTTAAAAAATTTCTTTTTAAGAAATTAATTTTATTTTAGCATATAGAAACATCACAAAACATTTCTACAATGGTGAACGGGATTAAATTTAATAAAATGTATGGACCTCTAAATTCAAGTAAAAGAGCACAAAATGTTGAAGTCAAGGTTGGATGCGATATGGAATTTACAAGATTTAAACTCTTCAATAAACACAATCCAAAAATAGTGTTTTCTATAGGTATTATTGATGGCTATTATGATGAGGAGGATGATGATTATGTGTCACCAGATTTTGGAGATTCCTCGCCGAAAATTGTTGTCATTGATAAGGATTGTCATAGATTTATGGAGCTGGTTCCATGAACTTAAATTTATGAACTTTCAGAAATTTAGAGGGATAGGGAAAGGAACGGTCCCTAGACCCAGTGGGCGTAGGTCCCGAATATGAAAAAAATGTTTTGGAACCATACCCAAACTTTGTAACATCAAGAAAAATCCAATTTTTTGTTGGGACGCATAAAAGTTCATTGGACGCATGAACTAGACCAGCGCCAAATTAATTCATATATGTTTATATTTGGGATAGGCTAGGTTATCCGTAATCCAGTTTTTCTTTTTTGGTCCGAAACACAAATTTTTACTCAACACAGCCTATCCCCTTATATCTAGTTTGTGTAATTTATTTTTTTTGCATTTATTAAAAATTTGAGATTTATTTTGACATTTTTGAAAAATTTTCTTTTAAATTTTATCTTGTTTTTTAATCGTTTAGTAACGACAATACTTTTTTTTCATTAAATTTTTAAATATTTTATAATTTTTTGAGAAAAAATATGAGCGAGGATCGAAAAATTATTGAATACGAGGGACTTAAATATTACAAAGAGGTTAATTTAATATTTAAGTTTTAAAATTAATTTTTTAGAAAGGCAAATGGTATCAACTGTACATGTATCCAGTTGAAGCAAACAAGGTGCCTGATGCTATTAAAACTCAAAAGCATAGCAAATTTAATCTTTTACCTGAAATTCAATTGGATATATTTAAATGTTTGTCTTTCACTCAATTATTGGTTGTTCAACAAACAAATGTTTATTTCAAAAATTTCATTTATGAACATGCAAAGGTTTTGGCAATGAAGAAATTCGACAAGCTGGAAATTGTAAATCGTTTATAAATTTATTTTAAAATAAAGAAATAAGAGTTTGGACTGGGTGGGCATAGATCCTGAGGCCTGCAAGTTTTTGTTAGAGGGTTTCGTTCACTACTTCTCTATTAACTGAGTTACTGCTTTTTCTTTTAAGGATCATGTCACTGATGAAATTATAAATCGGTATAGAAGGTGTAAGCCGGGGCATGAACTTTATGACTTTAAATTGGATGAGCATGGGCCTTGTGGCTTTGGATTGTATGAACAGAAGCATAAATTCTTTAAACCGGAGCCTCGATTCTATAATTTTGAATTGAGTGAACATCTTGAAAAGAAGGTATTTAACTAATTATCTTTTTTTAAATAGTCCATTTTTTAGTGGAAGAGTGCAATAGAAAAATCAATTCCTATGTTTTTAACAATTTCTTACAGAGACACAAATGCTGTTGTTTGTGAATTGGAACGAAATTACAAAGGGCAAAAAGGTTTGACTTTGATTTTATATTAAGGGACACGCCCAACTGGGCACGCGGCCATAATGGCGCAAAACCATAACTTGCTGAAAATTTTCTGGTCCTTAACAATTTTGGTACCAATCTCTTTAGATCGATGAGAGGAATCGTTTAATACTAAATTTGGGAAGCTTCGGAAATTTTAAAGCAGGTTAAAGCTTTGCGCCATTATGGCAGCGCGCCTACTTGGGCTGCAGTGATGTCAAAGTTCCAAAATTTCTCCGGAACTAGTTCCAGTTCCAGAACTAGGTTTTTAATTTTTGTAGTTCCAGTTCCGGAACCAGGTTTTTAATTTTCGTAGTTCCAGTTCCAGTTCCGGAACTCCATTTTTGAAATTCCTTAGTTCCAGTTCTGGAACTAGTTCCAAGCTAGTTCTAGTTCCAAATTTTTAAATTTTTTTTTGAATATGAAAATATGGCTGTAGTATACAGGGTGGCAAGAAAGTAACTGCAAAAAGTTAAAAAAAAGTAACCTGATATACAACTTACAACTCTTGAGCCTTGATATCACTCTTTATCTTTTTCAAATCCCTCCTTATCCACCCAAATCTCTGTTCCCTCTTATTATCCTCCTTATCCATGATGTGGACCATGCAGTCTGGAAAGATACCGAGATTAGGAAATATGTAAAAAGATAATGCTACCGTGGGATTACGTAGGATTTGGAGGTATCTCTCAAAATCTTTAGATCTCCCCATAATTATTCCATTTTCAGCGACGCAGGCAAAAATTTGAAGAATTTTTGAAGACCAGAAGCCAAATTTCTTCAATTTTCTGCGCCGCAGACAAAAATTTTGAAAATTTCGGAAGGCCAAGAAGCCAGAAGTCTTCCATTTTCAGCGCCGCAGGCGAAAAATTTGTGAATTTGCGAAGACCAAGCCACCAGATTTCTTCTTTTTTTGGCGCCGGAGGCGAAAATTTGAAGAATTTTTGAAGTCCAAGTCACCAGAGTTCTTCCTTTTTTAGCGCCGCTGGCGAAAATTTTGAGAATTTTGGAAGGCCAATTCACCAGATTTCTTCCTTTTTTAGCGCCGCAGGCGAAAATTTTGAGAATTTTTGAGCTCAAGCGGCCAGATTTCTTCCATACTCAGCGCGTTGCAGGTAATTTTCGAGGAAATTTTGCCAAAAATATACCCCCAAGAACTAGTTCCAGAACTAGTTCCAAAGCTAGTTCCAGACATTTACTAGTTCCGTAGTTCCAGTTCCAAACTAGTTCCAGATAATCGTTAGTTCCGTAGTTCTAGTTCCGGAACTGGAACTAGAACTAATTAGTTCCGGAACTGGAACTGGAACTTTGACATCACTGTTGGGCTGTACCCCTTATATTCTTTGCCAAACTATCAGTTTCCGTTCTAGGTTATAGTTAACTTTGACTTTACTTTTATGTTTTCGGTTCAAATATAATTTCAGTTTGCCAAAAATTGAATTTTCACTCGGAGTTTTTTTCTAAGAATTTTTATTTAAATTAAAAATATTTTTTTTTCAAGAAATTTTTATTTAGAGTTATACACCTTTCAATTGTCAAGGTTTGCAAAAAATATTGAGGAAATGAAAATTGCTCGTCATTTATTCCAATTGTTTTTTAACTGTTATTTCGACTTTTTTGAAATTCGTTTAGTTATAATTAATCCAAAAATGGTTGAATTATTGTTTGATGACGTTAAAGTGCCTTTACGAATTCATTCTCAAAGTGTCAAACTATTTCTTCACGAGGAACACTATTTAAATTTTGCTTGGAATCATTTGGTTACTAATCGATTTTGCATTGATGTTGATGATCGTTTCAAGGAAAAAAATTTGGACATTTTATTCAAAATTTTGACAGAGGGAGCGAATAAATTTCCTGCTATTACTTATCAACATCTTAACTCAAAACTTTACAATCTAATTATAAAGGTTTGTACGTTAATAAAATTGTAAGGGTTCAAAAGGGTCACTATATCCCGTTCAGTACCCTAGAGTTAAACTACTCTAACCGAAGATTTTCTTAAGATTTGTGCCATTCAAAATAGCTCAATTAAGTCAAAGTTAATGGAAACCTGTTCCTGTAACCAGGAAAAATCGGTACTTTATGTATATGTCACCCCCCTATTTTGAGTCACAAAATTCTCTGAGACTCAAAATAGGGGGGGTGTGACATATCCATAAAGTACTGAAAAATCCCATTATGCGGGCCTGTCGGAAGCTGTGACTAAATTTTTGAAAAAAATCTGGAAAAATTAAATTTAAAAAATTAATTTTAGCATATAGAAACTTCACAAGATGTTGCTAAAATGGTGAACGAAATTGAATTTGATACTATGTATGGACCTCTAATTTCAAGTGAAAGTGCAAAAAATATTGAAATCAAGGAGAAAGAGAAGGGTAAAAAAGAAACAAAATTTCAACTTGTCAATAAACACAATCCAAAAATTGAGTTTTCTATATGCATTAAAGAAGGCGAAAATATTAATTTGGGAGGTTTTGGAACACCTTTTAATATAGTTCCAGCAGTTGTTGCTTTAATTAAGAGAATTGATTGATATAAATTTATATTTATAGATTAGGGGGTACAGCCCAAGTAGTCGCGCGGCCAAGTAGGCGCAAAGCTATAACTTACTTCAAAATTTCCAAATCTTTCAAAATTTAATATTAAATGATTCCTCTCATCGAGCTAAAGAGAATGGTACCAAAATTATCAAGGTCCAGAAATTTTCAAGGTAGCTATGGCTTTGCGCCCACCTGGCCGCGCGCCTACTTGGGCGTGTCCCAGATTCGGGCTGCACACAATTGCGGATTTTAAAATTAAAATTGCGGACTGCTGCTGTGGAAAATATTTTTTCAATTGCGTGTACCCCTGATATGGATATGAAGTTTAATTTATTTATATTAAAATTTTGAGCTTTAAAATTTGGCATTTTTTTGATAAACATTTTCCTTTTGAATTTTTTTCTTTGCTTTTTTCATTCGTTTGATTTCGGCAATATTTATTTTTTTAATTAAATTTTAAAGGTTTTTTATTAATTTTTGCAGAAAAAAATGAGCGAGGATCGAAAAATTATTGAATACGAGGGTGTTAAATATTATAAAGAGGTTAATTTAATAATTAATTTTAAAAATAAATTTTTAAGGAAGGTCAATGGTTTCAACTGCAAATGTATCCAGTTGGGGAAGACAAGGTGCCTGATGCTTTTAAAATTAAATCAAAATTTGACCTTCCACCTGAAATTCAATTGGATGTATTTAAATGCCTTGATTTTACTCAATTATTGGATGTTCAACAAACAAATGTTTATTTCAAAAATTTTGTGAATGAACATGGAAAAGTGTTGGCGAGGAAGGAATTTGACAAACTTGAAATTGTAATTTGGTTTTGTTTTTATAAATTTGAATAATTAGTAGGACCCGGCAACTGATTTATTTTTACGAAACCCAAATTTTGGCTCTTCGAAATTCCCATATTCCGAACATGATTAGTCCCGAAAATAGTACTAAATCCGGTACTAAATCCGGTTCCGAAAATGTCACGGTACTTTTCGGTTCTGCCACACCCCTCCCATATATTCGCAGGTTATATTTTATTTTTTTCCTTCAGATGTAAATTTCTTCTTTATTCAATTCACTCAATTTTCCCTGTGGCATGTTCAATGAGAGACATTAATAAGGGAAAGATTAGTTTTTACTCAGTTTTCACTTCAATCATTTTCATCTAGAAAGGAGGAAGTCTGACCATTTTGTACGTATGAAGGAAATATCCTGCGAATATATGGGAGGGGTGTGGCAGAACCGAAAAGTACCAATGTCACTACTAATAATTAGGGATAGGCGTGGAATTAGGGTTAGGCGTCTATTTGAACCCATTTTAGCCTTTTTTGCAGTTTTTTGGGTACCCATTTTTAAGTTTTCACAACCTAGAAATTCGATCCCTCCTAATAATTATCTTTTTCAGTTCTCTATCGATGACCCAAATATAGATGAGCGTAAAACGCGTGTTCCGCAGACTAAACTTTATGACTTCAAATTGGATGAGCACAAGCGTGATTTTGGATTTTGTGATCAAAATGAGCTAAACTTATTTAAAATTGGCCGAGAATTTTATAATTTTGAATTGACTGGAGAACTTGAAAAAAAGGTTTTTTTAATTTCGATTTTTGTGGAAACTTTAAAGAAAATTTTTTTAGTGGAAACGTGGAATAGAAGAATCGATTCCCATGTTTTTACAAACTGTTGGTAAAGGAAACTTTGAAGTCGCTGTTTTTCAATTGGAACAAAATTTTTATTCGGAAAGAGGTTTTTGACTTGATATTTGAGGGGTATATTTGAGGGGTAAGGGTTATAATGGAGAACTTTTTTGTAAACTAAAATTTGGAAATTTTTGGGTTTTTTTTCTAGATTTTTTCCCCTTTTCAAATCACCAAAAAGGGGCATGGATTTTCAAAAAAGGGGTCAAAAATGAGGCGAAATCGATCAAAAAAGCGGAAAATGCCCCTAAAAAGAGACCAATAGTTCACCGAGCAATTATGATTTATTTCCTCATTATGTCCGCAAATAAAAAATACCGCAAAATATCCCACAAGTATCGTTTTTCTGACGAATTAGCTGTTTCCTGGTTTCTAAGTTACAGTTAAATGATGGGTTTATCTTGGATGGATTTTTAAAAAATTTTTTTTCAGAATTATACTACTTTCAATTGTCAAAATATCCAAAAAATATCGAGGAAATGAAAATTGCTCGTTATTTTTTCCAACTACTATTTAACTGTTCTTTCCATTTATTTATAATTCATATAGTTGTAATTAACCCAAAAATGATTGAATTGTTATTTGATGATGACATCAAAGTTCCTCTACAAATTCATTCACAAAAAACTTATTTATATCTTAACGAGCTAAATTCTTTAAATTTTGTTTGGAATCATTTGGTTACTGATCATCTTCTTGTTGATATTTGTTCTGTAGTTTTTGACATGGAAAATTATGTGGGCATTTTATTCAAAATTTTGGCTTATGGAGGAAACAAATTTTCTAGTATTACACTTGAAGTTCTTGACTCAAAACTTTACAATTTTATTATAGAGGTTTTTATGATTATTTTTTTATATGGGAGACTAGGGATGGGACTTTAAGATTGCTCACCAAAATTTTTTAGCCTATTTTTAATAAAGTTGTTAGGGTTCAAAATGGTCAGTTTAGGGACAAGTCAGACTTTCCGGATCTTTTTTATGGCATTCGTGGTTAGCTTAATCGAATGACATTAAAATTGGTAACAGAAAGACTGGCATTAGCTAGGGTGGGTTCGGTAAGATTGTTCTATTTTTAGAGCTCAAAATGGTCAGTTTATTTTGTTCAGTACCTTAGGGCTAAACCACACCCTCCTTATCTTTATATCTCTATAATATGTGTTGTTCGAATGGAAATTGATTGAATGACAAAAAACCTTAATTAATTTTAATTTTATTTAGCATATAGAAACAGCTTTAGACATAACAAAAATTGTAAAAAGAATTAAATTTGTCGCAATGTATGGACCTCTACTTTTAAGTAAAATAGCAAAAAATTTACAAGTCACAGTTAAAGGCAATGTTCAATATACAAAATTTCAACTTTTCAATATCTACAATCCAAAAATTGAGTTTTCTGTATACATTAAAGAAGGCTATGGTTTTGTTTATGTGCCGCCAGGTTCTGAAAATAAGTTGCCAGCATTTAGAGTTTTAATTGAGAAAATTGAATGATAAATTTATTTTTAGTATAGGTTTATGTGTGGGAGAGAGAGATGGGCCGGGGTTTTTTCTCTATTACCTGAAATATCCATCCGAAGAAAATTTTTTGAAAACCCTAATTTGAGACCCGACATTTTCTAATGAATTTTGGTTTTCCATTGGATATCAGTTTTTGGCTAAATGAAATTTTTTTAACTGATCAAGACCTGACCAGAGGTGGGTCGGAATTCCATCTTCCGATTTCCGACGTTTTTTCCTTCCGACTTCCAAAAATAATTTTGATTTCCGAGTTCCGACTTTTGAGCCAGTTCCGATTTCCGGTTCTTCCGATTTCCGACACTTTTGACTGTTCCGACCCACCTCTGGACCTGACCCTACTTTATTTTTTTCTCTCAGCCAGGCCCATCTCTTGTATCTAGTTTAGGTAGTTTAATTAATTTTTTTTGTTGTATTGCTGTTTATTTAAAGAAAATTATAGAGCTTTAATTTTGAACCTTATTTTTTGTGATAAATTTTTTTTTTATTTTTTTCTCTTTATTCGAAAAATTGTTATAAAATTTTTTCTAATATTTTAAATCTATCGAATTTTCAAAAAAAATTTTTTTGATTAATTTTTAATTTTTTTTTAATTTTAGATAACAGCTGGCTTTTTCCTTGCTGTTCTTTTTTTTAAGAATTTATGATCCATTTATATTTAATCAATAAATTCTTTTCTTCTTCTTTTTTTTAATTGCCAAGTAAAAAGAAACGGAAATTTTTATTTGATTTTGCTTTCAATGACGGCTTTAATCGTGCACCCAGAAGATCGCTTGTCGGGATTGTCGTGTTCAAGTTTTTTTTTTAAATTTTTGTGTGGGAGAAGGCAGGCAGTGTTTTTTCGGTTCTACAAGTCGAAGAGGTTCCACTGATTGTATTCCTGACGGTTCCAAATAGGTGTGGGGAAAGAGGTTTCCGAAATTTAGAAAGGGGCAGCTATTTTTGTCAGGTTTATTATATTTGATTCTAATGACTTGTGGATTCTTTTATTAATTTTTTTGTAATTTTTTGTCAAATTTATCCGTTTTTTAAGCTAAATTTTTAGCAAGCTTAAGTTTTTTTGTGGTGGTTTCATGGTTGACGGAATTAAGAAAACACTACGGGGCTTCATAAAGGGGAGGGATTATTTAATTCCGTTATCTACAGTGGACCATCAAAAAAAATTATTTTTTGTAATTCTTAGAGACAGTAATTGAGAATTCCCCGTTTGTTGGTTGGAACCGAGAAAATCACTGCATTATTCTCCCTCTAAATAGCAAAAATAAAATTTCGATTTTTCCCCTGACTCTAATGTCCTGTGGATTCTAAAAATTTTTTCTTGTTTTTTAATTTTTTCAGCTTTTCTTTTTTAACCCTAAATAATTTTTAATTTTATTTTTTAGATAATAAATTCTCTTTATTTTAATAAATCTGTTAATTACTAGCAGCACATTTAAATTTATTTGTTAAAATGAGTTCCTATTCTTCACGTAGACGTGCTCCTGCTAGCTCACATATGGAAGAAAGTGTATTGGATAGAATAAATAGAGAGGTTTTTTCAACTTTATTTTTTATTTAATTTTGAAAATGGGGTTTGAATTAACCAAAAGATTTGTTTTTTACAACAATGGGAAGAGGTTAAATAAAGTTTGTTTGTGCTTTATTTTTAAGGATAAATATTGGGGGGTACTTATGAAGATGGAGGTGCCCTTTCTGCGGACTTTTTTTGCGGACTTTTCTTCCTTTCTTTTTAAATGTTTTGTTGTTTTGCTTTCAGCAAGTTTTGCTAGTAGCAATTAACTATCAAAGGATTATTTTGTATGCCATTTGAAAAATATGTGTTCACAATTAATTTAAACGTTATAGACGCTAAAAATGTTACAATCAATAAAAAATTTTACTTTAACTAAATTACATGATTAAATTAAATTGCCCGAAACTGAATTTCAACAATGGCTTACTGATCTCGGAATGCTTCATAGAATGAGAACTTGTGATTTTGGAACAGAAATTCGGGTAATTTCAATCCTTGTCCCACCCCCCCTCATTATTTTTTATTACCTATGATTGTACAAAATGGTCAGATTTCCTTCTTTCCTCTGTTTGAGCTCGGCATATTCAAACAAGAGACATATGTAGTTGATAAAGAAAAGATTAAAATTAATTGAGTTGTTCAATATTGAGTACGATTTATTTTTTCAGTTGTTCAATATTTTTAAATATAAGAATGTAAATTTTATCACAGAAATTCATAATGTTATACACCAAATCAATTTTATTTAATTCTTTTTTTTGTTTAAATTGTTTTCGAAGGCAAAAAATAAGTGTATGACTATGAAATTAATCTTCTCTTCACCAATGTCTCTTGTTTGAATATGCCACAGGGCAAATAGAGGAAGGAAAGGAAGCAGAAAATCTGACCTTTATGTACAAACTTAGGTAAGAAAAATAATAGGGGAGGGCCTTTGACAGTTAGTTGCTACAAGTAAAATATGTAAAGGAAAGGAAGAAAAGTCCGCAAAAAAAGTCCGCAGAAAGGGCACCTCCATCTTCATAAGTACCTATTGGGGTATGTGGATTAGAGATCGGTATTTTCAAAAATCCAGGATCTGGATTTAGTTTAGTAACCTGGACAGGATTCTTGATCTGGTTCCAAGGAAAATCTATATCCGGAAAAAATCCAGAACGACCAAAAAATGCCTGGATCTGGACTCTGGATCCAGGAAAAATTCAGACTGGATCCAGACCAATCTCTATTGTGGGTGTTTTCTAGGGTGATTATAGTTAAGTTTGGATTTTGTTTTTTGACTAAAATAGCTTTTTTTATATTTATATTAATGTAAGGAGGTTGGGCTTTGTCTAAAAAAATAGGATTTGACTCTAAAACGGAGGTTCAGGGTCAAATCCTATCCAATCTTTTACTATTTATGGGTTTGGCCGCTTTATTCTAGTCAAAATGAGCTGTCATTTTCGATAATTAAATTAGTAATAGGAACAGTCGGGTTTGTGGGATCCGTCTCACTTTCAGATTTTTTTCTAAAAATATTTTTCATAAGAAACACCGCAATGAGGTTAATCCTATTTTTCTTAAACCTTCAAAATTTTTTTATTTCTTTTAATTTTAAAGGCAGAAGAACTCCTTTCAAAAAAGCGTCAAGCTAGAGATGAAGCAAGGCAAGTCAGGATAGATTGTCTTGAAAAATCAATTAAAGCTAATGACCAAAAGGATTATCATTTGATTGATAATGGAAATGTAAGGGAATTTTTTTTTTAATTTTTTTGAAAATTTTTCAGGACAAAGTCAGCGAATTGGAAAAGAAATTTCAACGGGCAATGTTATTATATTCCCAATTGGATAATGAAAAGTCTTCTCTTTTGTATGAAATTGATTTAATGAAGAATGAAATGGAAGAGAAGGATCAGATTTTGTATCAGGTTTTTTCGGAAAATTTTTTTCAAGCATAATTTTAATTTAGTTAGGATCGGCAGGGTACAACCATACAATCCTTTTATTAGCTATAATCCTTTTAGTTAAACTCTAGTCTCATTTTTGGGCTTGGAAAATAATTTAAGAAAGAAATCCACAATTTGGTTATTTTAGAAATCGAAATTAAAAAAAAAAGACGGGCTAACAAGGGAACATTTCGAACTGTGAGTAAAAATTTTTTGATAAAAATTATGCTATCGTGTAGATGGGGGTCAGGGCCAAAAAAGTCGGCCACTACAATAGGTTTTCGACTATGCTCTACACGATGGTATAATTTTGATTAGATTAAATTGGATCTTCTATATTTATATAAGTCTAAAAACCCAGGTCAGTAATATTTGGTGATTGGATATCGCTGTCTATGGTAATAGTGTCGTTTCCCAGCCCCCTTTTTTTCCTCCCAATTTTCTACCCTATGTTTGTACGGAATGGTCAAATTTTCCCCTTTCTTTCATCAAATTTGCCTTTCCATATTTTGCCTAAAAACAATCAAAAAAGATTAATTTTTTATTTTTGGTTGTACACCGCCAACACATTTTTGGTTGTACATCAGGGCTGTGCGTCATGGCGTTTGGCGTTTTGCGTTTTGGCGTTAATTTTGGCCGATTTTTGGCGTTTTGCGTTTGGCGTGTTTTTAAAATTTAAAAAATTGGCGTTTGGCGCGCCACGCAAAAATTTTGGCGCACAGCCCTGTTGTACACCGCCAACATCCATATCTTTCGTCTTTCTTAACACTTATTGTTGTTCGACCCCCACATTTGTAGCAAGTTCTCTTTCCATGAAGAAGTCCAAGCTTCTCAAGCCATGCATCGAAATCATTATCACTAAACGTAATTTTTCATATAAATCAATAGGTTTGAAATTCTTTAGTTCTTCCATTTTTATTAATTGGGAAAATGATTCTTCTCATTACTCTAATACTTATTTAAATATCACAAATTAATCTTTTTGATTGTTTTTAGGCAAAATATGGAAAGGCAAATTTGATGAAAGAAAGGGGAAAATTTGACCATTCCGTACAAACATAAGGTAGAAAATTGGGAGGAAAAAAAGGGGGCTGGGAAACGACACTATTACCCTGTCTATTCCTATATTCGTGTTCTCAATAACTCAGTTCAGGAAAAAATTCCAAAAATTGCTTGGGCTTTGGTTGCCACAGAAGCTTATAATTTGTCAATTAATTAGCCCTCAGTTAACTCGATTTTTTTAGTCAAATACCCATAGCCTTAAAAAATAATTTTAAACAAATTTTACAATTTAATATTTAAGGTACAAAGAGAAAATCGTGAAATGGGCGAAGAATTGAAGCTTTTAAAGGTTTTAATTATTTTTTAAAAATATTTGCTTAACAAATTTTTTCTAGAAAACTGTAGAAGGCTTACATCTTCAACAGCAGCAATTAAGAAATGAAATTCTTCAAAGGGATAAACTTATACATGTTTGTTGTTTTTTTTTTGGGGGGGGGGGTATTTGTAGAGGGATTTTTTTAGTTGGGGAGGTCCTTCTGAATGTTCACGATGACTGTTAATTTTCCAAACATAACCCAGATCGACTCTAAGGCCTAGACCAAAAAACGATCCCAAGAAGGGTCTTGATACTTAAGACCAAGAAGCTTTAGTTTCTCTACTAGGCCGTTTAACTAGAAAATTTAAAAATTGTTCAGAAGCCGCTTACTTATCTAAGTGTGGTATCCGTTTTCAAAAAAAGTTTCAGATAGGATGCGGATATCCTTGACTTTCAAAGGATCTACAATTTACAATTTTTCAGGAAAATGGCTTTCTTGTTGCCAATCAAGATCCAAATGATGACCTTTTGCCGCCTATACAACATACTAGAGCTGGTTCAGAAAATGGGACTGATTCTATTAAAACGTGAAACTTTTTAACAAACAATTTTTTAACTAAAAATTAAAAAATTTTGTCCGCAAAAAAATTTGCGGACAATCCGCAAAAAAAGTTTTGCGGAAATCCGCAATATTTTTGCGGACAGTCCGCAAAAAATTTTAAATTTTCTTTTTTTCAGCAAATTTGACCCTCTACTAATTTCTTATGTGACATTAGCTGCTGTTGAAAAAGCTCTTCCCGGTACTTCTGCTGTCGACCAAAAAATTCAAAGGATTGTTGAATCGGTTATTTTGAAAATTTATTTTTTAAAATTATTTTTTAGAACCGCAAACTTCGTCAACAAATAGACGATGCAGAAAAGGCTCTTTATAATCGTCGGCAACGACCTAGGGAAGACTATAATTCAACTGGGTCCAATAGCAGTAGTGACGACAGTTTGCATAGTTTGTATTTTTTGCGTATTTATTTTTTGTCCGCAAAAAATTTTGCGGATTGTCCGCAAAAATTTTTTTTATTTTTAAATTTTTTTGAATTTAAAAATAAATTTATTTTTTTAATTTTCAGAAGACGCATTAAAGCAAGTCGCGGAATTGAAGCTTAAATTGCAAGAAATGGAAAGGGAGAAAACCGCTTTAGATGGAGCTTTTGGACGATCCGAAACCCAACTGAAGAGGTTTAAGACTATCGCGGAACAATCAGAAAAGGAGTCGGAAGAATTGCAAAAACAGAATAGACAACTTAAAAAAGAGGTTTTTTATATTTTAAATTTGCGGACAATCCGCAAAAACTTGCGGATTGTCCGCAAAAATTTTTTTTGAAATTTTTATTTTCTAAGCTTCGCGACAAGGAACAATTACTTGAAGAAAGTAAAGAAACTAACAACCATTTGCAATCCAGACTTGAAAAAATGCGTAATACAAGAAGGCCAATATAAATGAAGATTATACTCCCCCACACACAAGTTTAATTTTTCTTTTAGTTTGTTTTTTAAAATTTCTTTTTTTTTTGTGACTCAAGTTTAGTGGAAAATTTATTATTTTTTTGCGTCTCTCATTTAATAAAGACCCCAGAAAAAATTTGAAATTTTTGTTTTTTCCCTTCCGTTTTTTCGTTTTGTTGTATTTTCAAGTGTGGCCTTTTAATATAAATTTAATATTAAAAAATAAAAATTTATTTTTATTTTAATATTGAAAATAATTATTTAAATATCTTTAAAAATTTTTTTTTAATTAAGAATATTTTTTAAAATTAATTGCCACGTCATACAGCCGAACCTAAAGAAACTGAGGGTTGAAAAAAATCGATTCTTATAACGAGGTTTATTTTATATAAATTGATAGAGAAGGGATTGCTTAGATATAGTTCCCTGCGGTGTGCGGGGATATCGACAATATATACTATCCAGTACCCAGTGTCCGTAGGTCCCGAAATCAGTAGGGTAACTGCTCGTACATTGAAATATCCCGATATGTTCGTCCTGATATGTCCGCGTGCTGTTACCTTCATATGGATAGGTATTCCCTGATCCCTACTTTTTTCTACTCGATTCAAAGAGAATTTCGAAAACCGATTCAAAACTAGACCCAACAGAAATTTTTTTCTCATCAGCCCGGCTCATCCTTTGTGGTCAGTTGAATTTATAAAACCTAATTTTAATATTTTTTGGGTAATGAGGTTCGGCTGAAAAATTATTAAATTTGCAAACAGTTATTTTCAGGTGCTAAATAATAAAAAAATTATTTTTGAAACGTCTTATCTAATAAAAAATGCCTTCTTTAAACGAAAATAATTCTAATAACAATACTCGCCTTGATTTGTTGTTAAATGCTCGATTGGATGAAAATGAGGTTTTTTTTGAATTTTTTAAAATTAATTTTAATTAATTTTTTAAAGAGTTTTATGGAGGCTTTTAATTATTTGAACGAAAATTTGAATGTTGGAAGTGCTAATGTAACAGAACAGGCGCTGAGAATGGCTGTAGAAGATAGAGAACTTGCATTGAATCAACAATATTTGGAACAATTTGAAAATGTTGGTTTGGAAAATTTTTTTTAATATTTTAAGTTTTATTATATTGTAAGAGGAGATATCCAGGTGGGGGTTATTTTAAACTCCGAGACTCTTTTGAAAAATGACTTGTTAGATCAGTAATCTGGTTTTAACTCAATCGGTAGAGGACAATGGACCGAGTTAATGTCACGAGTTACCCGACCTGAGGAAAACTTTGAAACCCCAAAATAAGGACTTTTTTCTCAGACCGTACATCCATGCTTTATACAAAATACTACCCAAAAGACAAAAGTTGATACTCACCCGAACCCAATGCGTAGAATTTTCCAAGGCCCGAGCTTTTTTCCCTTTTGACTCGAAACCCAGCTTTTTTTCAGCCTTAAGAAACTTTTCTAAACCAGACTTTTTTTTCTGAACTTTTCTCCCTTCCAAAAACCGCAAAATAGATACTCACATTTCGGGGGTTGGGGTCAGACATGCACGAAACGTTTCGTTTCGTTTCGTTGTTTCGTTAGTTTCGTTATGTTTTTTCCTGTTTCGTCTCGTTTCGTGACGAAACACTTTTTAGTTTGTTTCGTTTCGTTTTGTTAACGAAACACCTCTGTTTCGTTAGCGAAACATTATCCATTTTTTAGACCAAAATATTACCCAAAAACTGAAAAATTTTCCCCTTTTGTGATCAAAATTCAAAAAATTTTTGCCTGCGGCGCTGAAATCTGGATTTTAAGCGCCTACGACGCATAATTTACTATATTTTTTTAAATTTCTCGTTTGATTTTGTTTTTTAATATGCAAAGCTCAAATTCTATGCTACATTAGGCATATAGAATCGATCTTCCTCTTAATGCCAATCTGGCCAGACGAGTCTTTTAGGGCCAAATATCTTAGGCCCGACTCGATCTTTTGGTCCGAGTCGGTCCATTTTGGCAACCCTAATCATGAACGTTGTTATCAACAAAAAAATCTGAGTTGAGAAATAACATTGGATTTGGCGGGAGCAATGGTGGTATAGGGGGGACTTTTTTTGTAGCCTGGGACCACAATTTAAGGTCCCACTAAGCTATTAGATCAATTATAGGCCATAACTGGCTTATTAACGTGTCTAAAATCGAATAATTAATAAAATAAAACCGTTTTTATTAAATTTTTTGAAAATTAAAATGTTTCGTTTTGTTTCGTTTCGTTTCGCTAAATTTTTACTGTTTCGTCTCGTTTCGTTAACGAAACGATTTTTAAAAAATTTTGTTTCGTTTCGTTTCGTCTGAAAAAATTTTGGAGTTTCGTGCATGTCTGGTTGGGGTCCCTTGTTAGATCATAGAAGTGTAAAATTGGGAGTAGATAACTAAAATATGAGGGTTTTTCCTAATTTTTCGAGTCTAAAAAACAACACAACTCAAACAACAATTTATTTACACACATCAAAAATACAATTAAATACAACAATTCAAATACAATACAAACAACAAGAAATATACAATACATACAATGAGAGAACAATATATGGTGACACAAATTTATCACAACTATATCTCCTCTCTCGGGTTATTATTCTGTTCCGGCGGAATCCACCCATCATCAACCTCCTCCTCCTCCACAGACTTTGGAACCTCAACGCCGCCAGCAGCGCCTCTACTCTCTTCCATTCTCTCCCTCTCCTCAATTGTCGGCCGCTCCTCGACTGAAGACATCTCCACTGCAGTCTTCATTTCGCTTTCCTTTCTCTGAAAAATGGAAAAATATAAGCATGGTACGAAAGAATGTTTGTTAAACTCACATTCCTTTTCCATGCAGAAAATGTCCCGATGGCCTTTTCGCCTTTGGTCTTCTCCTCAGCCTTGTACAGCGCAAGCAGACGTTCTTCTTCTGCACGTTCGGCGTCCTGCTTCCCTCCCTTTTTCTCATCCTTTCCTGCCTTATCCTTCATCCGGAGCCAGACCAAAACTGAGATGATGATCCCGACAAGGAGGCCAGCAGCAAAAGCAATGCCAATTGCAATGTAGAGACCTCCGCCACACTCCTGTTCCGGGCGCTTTGTCGTTGTTCGAGATGTCGTTCGGATGGAAGTGAAGCTGTCGACGGTCGCAGGCAAAGTTGTCGATGAAGAACCAGAGGGAGCTGTTGTCGTTTCAGGCGGCTCTGATGTTCCCGTTGATGGAGCTTCTGTGGTAGTCGAAGTAGTCGGTGGCGTTGTTGTTGAAGAGCTGACAAGGAGTAGCTTGTAGTCGTTTACATCCTTGGAAAAACGAATTTATTAGAAAGGTTTTACAAAATGTACAAAAACTCACAAATTGAACGAAGAGTTCACAATCCGGTCCGTTTGGATGTACTGAGCGCTGACCACCAACGTTAAAAGTTGCGTTCTGTCGAAGCAGGCTGAAGACAAGCAGTCGTTTGCCCTTGAACTCTCCATCATTCGTGATCTCCCATGTTTCGGGTTTTACGGTCTGTTTGTTTTTTGGAACGCAAGCAGCCTTTTCGTTGTTGAATGACTCTGGCCTCGAGAAGTGCATCGTGAACGTGCTCGAAGAATTTATTGTCAGATTGAAGGTCGTGGAAGCTCCGGCCTGCTTCAAGCTTTGCTCCGCTATTTCCCCAACTGAAAAATATTTAGGAATTATATTAAAAATTGGACAAAATCCTCACCCGGATGTGTAAAAGCAAAGTATTTCCCTTGCTCTTTAGACCTGCTCCACGAAACTTCAAGGAATGTCCACTTCATGCAAATTCCCGTTGAACACATATCTTTATCACTGCAATTTGTGCCAGAGTACGGGCCCTTGTCGTTGAGATGTTCGATGATCGTGTTGTCAACGCTGTAGACGAAAGGCAGGCTAAATTTTGGGAAAAACTTAGATCAGTTAAAGGTTAAAATCAGTATAGTTAAAAATAACTTGACAGGCGTAAAAAACTTACATGTTGTTATAGCTTTCAACGAAATTGGCATTTTCAGCAAGGCATTTGGTGAGATCTGCACCTCTCGGATGCCGCACTCCGGTCGTGAACTTGATCGAGTTGTCGTTCGCTGCGTTCTCGCTGAGCAGGTCCACAGTGCATCCTTTGCTGCCATAGTTGTACCGAAGCTCGCTGAAATAAAATTAAAAAATGAGTTACGGTAGCTTCAAAAAGGGTTTAAAAATCCTCACATGTAGCCGTCTTTGATTGAAACATCGCAAGCGTCCGGATACAGCTCCTTGAATTTACAACTAGCAAGGTCGAAGTCCAACTTGTCGGAAGTTATGGTGTTGGCGGTGAGCGTCACTTGGTTGTTTCCATCCTTTGTGTGCTTGCCGAATCCGACTTCTTCGCTGTTGACCTGTCCGGGAACTGCAAGTGCGGCGATGGTGAGCAGCAGCAGCAGCTTGGTCCAGGGTCCGGTGTCGAGCTCCAATGGAAGAAGGCAGAGCATGAAGAGTTGTTTGTGTAGACGATGTGGATGTTTGAAGGGTTGTGATGATTGTTTTGTAGAGGTGTTGGGAAACAAAAGAATGTTGAGGAGCTTTTATAGGAATTCTCAAGAGGGATGTTTGAAATTGTCAGCAAAGATACGTAGAGGGGATATAAAAGCAGTTTTAGTGAACTATTCAATATCTTCTTCCATTACCCCTCATCACGTCAGTCATCGACAGGACTAAACTACATGACGTCTCCATCACACGATTGCTGCCGCCTGAATCAACGACTGCAAACGACAGCAGGGGAACTGGCAAGTGTCAAGAAGGTGTTGCGTCAACGATTCGATAAGACAACGAACCGGAACGATGTGCCAGTTCAGCCTGTGCAGAAGTGGAAGCAGAACAGCTTAGCTTTTTTTCAGAGGAGGGAGGGTTCATATTTCAAATACAGTGTGTTAAGAAATTATAACCCCCCTTGAATTTTTTGAGTTTTTTACCTTCCCGATGTCGGATTGTTCTGAAATTTCTGTAGTAGTGTAGTAATGTATATTAAATAATATTTACAAAATATCTTTAAAAATTTCTGATCTCAGACTTTTTTTGGACGTTTTTTTCAAAAAATCAGTGTTAATAAATTATAACCCCCCTTTAAAAAAATTTTTTTAACGCATGGAATATCTCTACAAAAATTTTTCTGAACATATCTACCAATATAGATAAGAAATACAAAAGAAATGAAGTTCCTATGTATTCCCATCATTGAGATCTCGAAATCCGAAAATCAACGGAAAATCGGGGTAGACGTCTTTAAAAAATATTTTCGACACCTTACAGGTGAAATAAAAATTTTATTTTAGGCTTATCTGAAAGCCCTTTAAATTTGCTACAAGATAGCATTAATTTTATTTTCAGAAAAAAATTCGCTTATAAGAAACTATGAGTTTAAATAATAGGTTAAATTTCCATCAATTTTTGGGGGCGTTTGAGTGATTTCTATGACTTGAAAATTTATCACTTTGTCTCTCTACGGTGAATTTTTTCTATATAATGAGATAAAAACTATCTTGTAGCAAATTTAAAGGGCTTTAAGATAAGCCTAAAATAAAATTTTTATTTCACCTGTAAGGTGTCGAAAATATTTTTTAAAGACGTCTACCCCGATTTTCCGTTGATTTTCGGATTTCGAGATCTCAATGATGGGAATACATAGGAACTTCATTTCTTTTGTATTTCTTATCTATATTGGTAGATATGTTCAGAAAAATTTTTGTAGAGATATTCCATGCGTTAAAAAAATTTTTTTAAAGGGGGGTTATAATTTATTAACACTGATTTTTTGAAAAAAACGTCCAAAAAAAGTCTGAGATCAGAAATTTTTAAAGATATTTTGTAAATATTATTTAATATACATTACTACACTACTACAGAAATTTCAGAACAATCCGACATCGGGAAGGTAAGAAACTCAAAAAATTCAAGGGGGGTTATAATTTATTAACACACTGTATGTACCTCCATTGAACCTTTATGAGTCCTATGAAGCTTTAAAGTATAATGAAAACATGTGTTCAAACAAAAGTGTTGGAATGTGTCCAAAAACGTGTCCAAACAAAAGTCCAAGGAAACTACGGGTTTAATCGAGTTCACGTCCACAGCGGTCGTGTGTCATGTACTCAATCTTTGCCGTAGAAATCCATTACACATCAGTACCCACTTAATTTAGGCCGAGCCTTTGCTTCCACAAAAATTTTAAAAAATCCCCTTTTTTCTAGATAAACTCCCAAATTCAATCTTTTGTCGGTAAAATACGTAACATGAACACTATATGTCACGAAATGACAAATCGAATACAAATGAATAAAGAAAAGACTCAAGAATTGTTGAAAAAGACGGCAATTTTACAAAATGAAAAGTTTGGATTTGAAAAAAAAATTTTTTTAATTTAATTTTTTAAATTAGAAAAGAACTTGTAATGAAACAAACATATTTATCTGATTTTTTTGCAAAATATTTGTTGACAGAGGAGGAAGAGAAAGCTTTAAGTTTGGATGGAAAAAATGGTTAGAAATATTTTAAATTTAATTAAGGGAGAGAATTTGAGGCTTTATTGTTAGTTTTCCCATTGTGAGTAGGTTGGTGTAGTGGGTTAGAATTAAATTTTTGAACGAAGGTTTGAATTCTTTTGGGGGAAAATTGGTTTATTTTACTTGTTATTCACTTTAATTAATTTAGGGTAAATTTTTTTAACTTTAAGAGAGACATGAAAAAATTTAAATTTAATTAAGGGAGACTTTAGGCTTTAATTTACCCACTGTGGGTAGGTTGGTGTAGCGGGTTAAAATTAGGTTTTTGAATGAAGGTTCGAGTCCTTCTTGTGGAAAATCGTTTTATTATGCTTTTTATTCACTTTAGTTAATTTATGACGAATTTTTAACTTTTACGAGACATGGAAAAATTTTTACTCTATAAATTTTTTCAAAAGATTTTCCTTGGTGTAATGCGTTAGAAGCTGTGGTTTGGGGGAAAAATCATTTTATTTTACTTTATATTTACTCTAATTAATTTTTATTAGTTTTTTTTAATTTTAAGAGACTACTTACAAGGGGACACCGCGAACTATCACCAAAAATTTTCTTATCAAACACACCATTGTGTAGAGCGTGGTCGAAAACGTATTGTGGTGCCCGGCTTTTCTTGCCCTGCCCCCCAGTTTTAAAAAGTTATAGGGCTTCAAAGTTTGATAGTTCGCGGTGTCCCCTTGTTAGAGAGAATTTTTTTTTAATTTTCAAAAATTTTCTTGGTCTCAAAAATTTCTAAAATTTCAAGAAAATTATCAATTAATCCAAAAATTAATTATTTTTAAGGTATCAACGATTCATTTTTCAAAGCTTTCAATCATTTAATCGAAGTAAATTCTAATGTTACCGAACGTATAGCTATTGAACCAGAGAATTTTGCATTAACTGAGATTTCTCAACTACTTTCTGATAAATTAGAGGCATCATATAATACATTATATTTATCAATTCAAAGTTTGTTGAAAATTTTTTTTAATTTATTTTTTAAGTGGATAACTGAAGTTTCCGGAAACTTAAGTTTTAAAATTATTTTAAGTTTTTTTTTGGAAAACTTAAATTTTTTTGTGTTGAGTTTTTATTTTTCTTTTTTGAATTCCGGAAACTTAGTGTTAGATTTTTGGGTTGATTTATTTATTTATTATTTTCCGGAAACTTAAGTTTTCAAGTTTAGTGTTTATAAATTTTCTTTTCCGGAAACTCAAGTGTTTATATATTTTTTCAAGTCCCGGAAACTTAAGTTTTACAATTTATTTGTTATTAATATTTTTCAAGATTTAAGTAGCTTTTTAGGTTTTCTGGAAAATTTAAAAAAAAATAATTTTTCCCCCTTTCCTTTTTTTAGATGAATGTAGGCTTTTAAATGTTGAATTTCTCGACTTGAAGCCAATATTAATTCAATCATTTGAACATATCCAAACAAAACCCGAATTATTTTTAAAAGCTTTGGAAGATTACAGTTATGCTAGAAAAAGTTTTTTGGTTCGAGCTTTTATTGAAATTTTGACTAAAGGGAATAAATCTGGAACAAGTCAAAAACCGATTGAACAACTTTCGACTGATCCGATAAGGTTTTTTTAAATATTTTTATTTTTTTAATTAAATTTTTGTTTATAAATTCCCCCCAAATTAATTTAAAAAAAATACTTTTTTGTTGTCCTTTATGAAAATTAATTTTGAAAAATATTTTTAAGTCGTCTCCTTGCCTCTGAAAAAAATTTTTGAAAAAAAATTTTTTTCTCCTTGGGCCTTAATTATTTTTAAAATTAATTTTTTCATCATTCATTTGTTTAAGTTAATGTCAAAAAAAATTTTCATGTGGTCCAGAATAATTTTTAAAAAAATTTCTGTCATTAACCCTATCTTTAAATAATTGTCTAAAATTTTTTTATCATTGTCTATGTGCCCAAAAAAATTAAAAAAATTTTTTTTAAATTTAGATATGTTAATGAAATGTTTTCTTGGATCCAATCTTCAATTTTAAATGAAAAAGAAATATTAGGAAATTTACTTAGAGGATGTCATAAAATGGCTGAAACAATTACTGAACAAACTCTGAGTGTTTTGTCTTCAATTTCTGAGGCATTTTGTCAACCTTTAAGGGTTTATTTTAATTTTTAATAATTAATTGAAGAATTTTAAAGCTTCGTGTTGAACAATGTATTACAAGAGAAGGGAATTGTATTGTGCTATATAGACTGTCCAATTTGTTGTTATATTTTGTGGATACTTTTAGGTATGTTGTCAAGGTTATTTTTTATTTATTTTTTTAATTAATTGGGGGTTTCCGGAAACTTAAGTTTTTGAGTGTAGAGTTATTTATTATTTTTTTCCGGAAACCTGTTTTTATTAAATATTCGTGGGTACTTTTCTGTTTTGCCACACCCCACCCATATATTCGCAGGATACATTTTCTATTTTTCCTTAATTCGTACAGAAAGGTCAGTTTTCTTTCTTCCTCAATTTCACTCAATTTTCCCTCTGGCATGTTCAATGAGAGACACCAACAAAGAAAAGATTAATTTTTCTTTCCGATGTCATCAAAATTGAAATCAACATTTGTGAAAATCGAGTGAACACGAAAGATTGAGTCCACAGGGAAAATTGAGTGGAATTGAGGAAGAAAAAAACTGACCTTTCTGTACGAATTAAGGAAAAATAGAAAATGTATCCTGCGAATATATGGGTGGGGTGTGGCAAAACAGAAAAGTACCTATTCGTGTTTTCCGAAAACTTAAGTTTACTCTAAAGTTGATTATTAATTTATCGTTGTTACTGGGTAGCGTGGTGTAGTGGGTAGTGTGTTTGGTCTTTGTGTGGGTTTTGTAGAGTTATTTATTATTCTTTTCCGGAAACGTTTTATTAAATACTCAAGTTTTCCGGAAACTTAAGTGTGACACTTTTAAGTATATTCTTAAGGTAATGATTAATTCTTTTGTTTGGTGGTTAGAGTGGTGTAGTCGGTAGTGTGTTTGGTTTTGGGTTGTGGGTTTGAATCTTTTTGGGTGTAACCTAGTTTATCTTGCTTTCTATCATCTCTATTGATTTTTTTAAAACTTTTTACCATTAAAAAAAATTTTTTTATGAATTTTTTATCCTTAATTTATCACTTAAATCTTGAGTTTAATTTTTTAGTGAACTACTTCCATCAAATTCCCATTTATTAATGTGTTGTCGTGATTTACATGAATTATGTTCCAATATGTTTTTTAGTTCGGTTAGTTCAGCTACTCAACGAATTTTAGCTAATGTATGGGGGTTTTTTTATTTTTCATATAAAAAAATTTTTTTAAGGCTCGAGTTCCCGATTATGATTTATTGCCAGTTAATTCTGTTAATCAAACACTCCTTTTATTGCGTGATATTTTAGAATCGCCAAATTATGGGACTTTGTCTGTTAATACTGATAAACGAGAAATTTATAATAAGGTTTATTTCGTTTTTTATTAGGTAATTGGGGTTTCCGCAAAATTTTAGGTATTAATTGTAGATTAACGGAACAATTCAGTTGAGTCCCTTGCCTATAACACATGAGGGGGTGGATCATTTTTAGCGTTCTTGGTACCATTGGATAGGGAATTAACCCCTCTAAAAGATACCTTAAAATTCAAAATTATCGACTATTTTATAAAAAAGTTATCGTCTAAAAACTAAAATTTTTTAAAAATGTGTTTTTTCGGCACGTCATCGATTATAAATTTTTTTATCGAGCAGTCGAAAATTTTGATTTTTTGTATCGAGTAGTTTATTTAATTCTCTATCCAACGGGGTCATGCCCTTATTATCCGCATCTTTTTAAGTTGTAGGTTCGAGACTTAACTGAAATATGCAATAAATATTACTAGCTTTCCGGGAAATTAAGTTTAGTGTTTATTTATTAAATAAACTTAGGTGTGCTTTCCTAAATTTTATTTATTAAATTAAAAAAATTTTTTTAACTAATTTCTATTTTTAAAATTAATTTAAAGATATTTCAACACATTTTGGATCCATTAATTCAATCAATTCAACTAGTTTGCAGTAATTTGGATGATTTTTTGGATGTTTCAGTTTATATGTTAAATTGTTTAAATTCAATTCGTTCAATTTTAATTTTATATCAATATACTGACAAAAAATTAGAAATGATTAAAGCACAAATTGAGGCTAATGAAGATGTGCTAGTTAGTGAACAAGCATCTCAAGTACTTGATAAAACTGATATGTTGGATTTGTATACTAAAGCTATGGCACATGAAATTAATCAAGTAAATTTAAATAATTTCTTCTCTTTATGGTTTAATACTTGTGTGTTCTAATGACGGGGGATGTTGTTCCATAAACGGAGGAAGTTGTCATTGAAACAATTTTCCCCCATTCACGGAACAACATCCCATGCCAAAATAATAATTTTTACGGCGGTAGAGTGGCTTGCTCCCTTAATAATTATTGGGTTGATAAGTTTTTAATTCTTTTCCGGTAAACTTAAGTTTATTAAATCCTTTCCGGAAACTTAAGTTTGTTAATTTTATCCAGTAAACTTAAGCTTTCCGGAAAAGAATTAAAAACTAAAGAATTAAACTCAAGTATTATTAAGCCATAAAGAGAGTATAGAGTTTCCGTAGGGTTTCCGAAAAAAAAAATAAACAAATTTAAGTCTTCTGTATAAGAATTAACAAACTTAAGTTTCCGGAAAAGAATATACAAATGCAAGTTTATTAAATTTTTTCCGGAAACTCTACTAGTTTGTTAATTCTTCCCTTTAAACCTAAGTTTTTTTCCTTCCCGTAGACTTAAGTTTGTGAACAAATTATTCCCCATCATACTTATTTTTAAATTAATTTTTTTGAAAAAATTTTATAAATTAAAGGGCCAACTTTCAAAAATTGTTGGAATGGAACCCGGAAGAGTTAAAGACTCTATAACTCAATTTAATCAATTTTTATTAAATACGGACAGTTATAATTGTAATCAATTAGCTAAAATATCTTCTACAAGGTATTTAAAAATTATTAAAAAAAATTATTTTTAAAAATGTTTTCTTGAAAAGAATTTTAAATTCAATTCAAAAACGAACAAATGAACATATTTTGGCTGCATATAAAATTATTTATTCAAAAATTAGTGACCCTTCTAATGGTTATCCAGTTATTGAACAAATAAAAACTATTGAAGAGGTGAGGGAAATTAATGAAAAAAAATTTTTTTTTTTAATTTTTGTTTTGTAGGTTGAATCGATTTTGTGTAAAAATGAAGGTTCTAAAGCGTGAAAAATATTTATTTATGATTCTGGATTTATTTTTGTAGGTTAAGTGATATATTAAATATTTTTGAAAGGTTCACTTTTATTATTTAAATATTGTGACTTATTTTTCCGGACGTTTAAATTTTATTTATTTAAAAAATTGCTTCTGGAAAAACTTAAGTTTACAAAAATCGTTTCCGAAAACTTGAGTTTATTAATTTCCGGAAGAACTTAAATTTTACAAAGCTTATTTTATGAACTTAAGTTTACAAATTGAAGAACTTAAGTCTATGAAGTGTAAGGAAATAATAAATATTATTTCCTTCCGGAAACTCAAGTTTACAAAACGTAAGTCTATGAGCTAAGGGTGAGAAATTAATGAATTTATTGTTTCCGGAAACTTAAATTTATTTAGTTTCCGGAAAAACTTAAGTCTATGAATTGTAAGGGAAAAATAAGTACTCTTTACTTCCTGAAACTTAAGTCTGTGAACTTAACCTACTGATTAATTTAAATAATATTAAGTTTCCGGAAACTTAAGTTTATGAACTTAAGTTTATTATTAATATATTAAGTTGTCTAATATTATTATTCTATATTTATTCAGAACTTAATAAATAAATGGTACATGTTCTACTGATTAATTTAAATATTTTTAAAAATTCCATTAAAAAACAAACAAATTAATCAAAATTCTAATAATAAACTTCCTTCCCATCATTCTTTACTTTACTCAAATTTGTAATAAATTCTTCATGTTCCTGTACCAATTTTCCAACAATTTTTTCTTCAATTTCCTCAACACCTTTTTCTAAATCTTTTTGTTCTATATTTATTGTTTCTGTTGGTTTATTGTTTGGGTATACAAAAACGACTGATTTCTTTCTTGTTTGGAGCAAGTTCCCGATAACTGCATTGTGCCCATACTTTTCTATTGCATCTTTGGCTTTTTTGAGTAAAATGGATTCGTCGGTTTCGAGCTGGAAAATTAATGATTAGTCGACAAAATGCCAAAGGCACTATAATGGACAAAATGCCTAAATTACAATAAACGACAAAATGCCATCGACCAAAAATTGACAAAATGCCTAAGACCTAAAAATTCGACAAAATGTCTAAGCCACTATGAGCGACAAAATGCCACAGGCATAATAAGCGACAAAACGCCTTAGACAATAAAAAGTTGCCTCAGACACAGTTTACCTCTTACCTTAAATGAGACAATATAAGCACTAGGCACAATCTTCTCCACAAGCCTTTCCAACAATTTGGGTACCAAACTTAATGTTAATTGTAATTCGCCATCTCTAGATTGGATTTTATGAGTTGGCTGAAAATAAAAATTTTCTTGGTGATCTTTTGGGAGCTCCCAACTCACCAATCTCTCTTCTAGAACATAAAAATCAGAAACTGCCGCAGCCAAGTAAATCAACACTTTAGGCCCACATTTATGCAGACATGTACAAATAACTTCCAAATCATGTAAATACTGGTCTAATTCAACAAAGGGAATGAACAGAAGACGAGAAGCATTTCTTTTGTAAGTGGAGACATCTCTTGATAGATTCGGGAAGTTTACAACTGAAAGAATAAGGGGAAAGATAGATTTTAATATTCTAAACAAAATGCCTACAAATACAAAAATGACAAAATGCCTACAAGTATAAAAGTAGACAAAATGCCTACAGGTATGACAATGGACAAAATGCCTACAGGTATAAAAATGGACAAAATGCCTACAGGGGGAATAATGGACAAAATGCCTACAAGCAAAAAATAACAAATTGCCTACAGTTATAAAAATAGACAAAATGCCTACAATTACAAAAATGGACAAAATGCCCACAAGTACAAAAAACAAAATAACTCACTTTCAACTTTCCCTTCGTCTGTCACATCCAAATGATCAAAAAAGTGAAGATATCTACGAGAATAAGGCTTTAAGGATTCTTCTCTGTGGAAACTAAAAAAAGGAATTCCAATAATTTTTAAAACTTTAATTTCTCACAAAATAACAGCATATCCTTTCGCCAAAAAATACTCAGTACTCGCCGCGCCTCTCGTGCCCATTGAAAAATTCTCAATTGAACGGACAGCATTTACTTCCAATTTCACTCTTGTTCCCCCACTCTAATGAAAAATAAATTTATTAGTTCTTGACATAATCCGTCTGTCCGTCTCTTGATTTAATACACTCTCTTCAGGATATTTATAGGGTTGATCTTGAGCGTGTTGGTCTTTAGGGAAGAGGGTAAGGTGACCTTTAGGAAAAGGTGATCTTCTGGGTGACAGTATGGCGCTATAACGAGTTGATCTTTTGGATTGTCTGAAAGGTGATCTTTAGGAATGGGTGAGGTGTTTGGGAAGGAGAGTCGACTTTCAAGTGATCTTTTGGCCCTACCGTGTGCATAGGACTAAAACGTGAACAGATGGATTTTTTTCCTTATACATATTTTTGATATTTTTTCTCTACTTAACTGTTACTAAAACAATCTTTCGTCCTTCATGTGCTGAAATAAATTTATTAATTAATATTTGTAATGAAGAAGAATCTTTTCTGTTCGTTTCCATTTTAAAGATGGAAATTTCTAAAAATTTTTAAATTAGTTGAGACTCTAAAATGCTAATTGAGTCTTAGACAGACTCTAAGGGTATTAATTAGATACTGTGGACAAAATGGTACATTGGACAAAAAGGAACTGAGACAAAATGGTACTTTTACAAAATGGTACCTGGGACAAAACGGTACGTTGGACAAAACGGAACAGGGACAAAATGGTTATAAGGCGGTAAGCGATAAATTTGTACACCGATAAGTGGAAAAAATAGAACAAAATTTCTTAACGTCTAAAATCGTAATGAATAATATAAAAAATAAATAATCAATTTTATTTCAAATTAAAGAAAAATTTTTGGCTTTTAATTTAAAAACAAAAAAAGTCAATAAAATTTAAAACAAAAGGCAAAATTAAAAAAAAATTTTTTTAAAATAATTTTAAGACGTGAAAAAATTAATTTGGTAAACTGGGATTTTAATTTTTTAATTTTCGGACAATCCGCAAAAAAAATTCAAGGTTAAAATAAAATAGGGACCTGAGCGGGTTCGAACCTCCGACCCCCTTAAAAGACAATTTTCCCTTTTCCTTCTCTTTAAAATAAATTTTAAAAAATTCAAGGAGAGAGGGAAAAATGTATGGGGAGATACATAAAAGAAAAAATTTTTTTCTTTTTTAAAAAAGGGCCTCTCAACTGATTTTATTTTATTTCTAAATTGTGTAAGGGAACAAAAAATAAATAAAATTGATATATAGTCTTTTTCTGCTGTGCTTTGAAGTAAAAAATGAAAGAGAGAGGAAGGAATAAAAATCAAAAATCAATTCATTATTTATTAATTTTTTTCTAATTGGCGGACAGGTGAATTTCCCAAAGAAAAGAAAAGGAAAATTTTTGCAGATTGTCCGCATATTTTTTTGCGGACTGTTCGCAAAAATATTCTTTCTGAATGCTCTTTTTTTATTTTCTAATTACTAAAGGAGAGAATTCTTCAAAAAATGCAACCCCAAAAAAGGAATATTTGCGGATAGTCCGCAAAAGAAGGGAAAAAATTTTTTGCGGACGAAAAAAATTTTTTGCGGACAATCCGCAAAAAAATACTTTTCTTAGAAAACCTTAAATTTTAAAAATAAATTTTTTTCCAATTAAAAAAAATTTTTTTGAGCTCTCAATTAAATTATTTTCTAATTTATATATAGTCAAAGAAAAAAAACAAAATTTTGTTTTATATTAAAAAGAATACTATTTTAATATTTTAAAATGGCCTTTTAGTATTGCGCATTTTGTCAAGTCTAGATTGCAAATGGTTGATGGTTTCCCTGCTTTCTTCAAGTAATTGTTCTTTGTCACGAAGCTGAAGAAAAAATTTTTTTAAAGAAAATATAAAAAAATTTAGCGGACAAAAGAAAATTTTTTGCGGACATCCGCAAAAATATTTTGCGGATGTCCGCAAAAATTTTGCGGACAATCCGCAAAAAACCTTTTTTTCACGTCAAAAAATATTTTTTAAGAAAGGCAAACCTCTTTCTTCAGTTGTCTGTTCTGCTTTTCTAATTCTTCCGATTCTCTTTCTGATTGTTCCGCAATAGTTTTAAACCTCTTTAATTGGGTTTCAGACCGTCCAAAAGCTCCATCCAAAGCGGTTTTTTCTCTTTCCATCTCTTGTAATTTAAGTTTCATTTCTGCAAGTTGTTTAGAAGCATCTCCTTTTAAATTAGAAAAATTATTTTGAAATCAACAAAATTTGCGGATTGTCCGCAAATTTTTTGCGGACAAAAATTTTCGTCCGCAAATTTTTTGCGGACTGTCCGCAAAACTAAAAACAAACTGTGTAGGCTATCATCACTACTGCTATTTGACGACCCATTAGAGTTCAAAATTTCCTGAGATTGTAACCGATAGTTATACAAAGTCTTTTCAGCATCGTCTATTTGTTGACGAAGTTTTCGGTTCTAAAAAATAATTTTAAAAAATAAATTTTTAAAAATAAACCGATTCAACAATTCTTTGAATTTTTTGGTCAACAGCAGAGGTGCCAGGATATGCTTTTTCAACAGCAGCTAATGTTACATAAGAAAGAAGTAGAGGGTCGAATTGCCTGAGGCAAAAAAATATTTTAATTTTTTTGCGGATGTCCGCAACTTTTTTGCGGATGTCCGCAAATTTTTTGCGGACAAAAAAAATTTTTTTTAATTTTAAAAAATTTTTAAAAATTGTTTTCAGACCTTATAATAAAATATGAAAATTATATACATTTTAGTAGGGTCAATTCCATTGTCAGTAAAGTCTCTAGAATATTGTAGAGGTTGAATAAAGACATCATTAGGGTCCTGTTTAGCAACAAGAAAGCCGTTTTCCTTAAATTTAAAAAATATAGATTAAGAAAATTGAGTAAATTTTTTTCCAAAATTGTGAAAAAATAAAGTTAAAAATTTTTGCGGATTGTCCGCTAAAAATTTTTGCGGACAAAAAAAATTAAAAAAAACAAACATGAATTAATTTGTCTCTCCAAAGAATTTCATTCTTTAAATGTTGTTGTTGTAATTGAAGGTCTTGAACAGTCTTCTATAAATTTTTTTATTTAAATAAAAATGAAAAATAAATATAAACCTTTAAAAATTTCAATTCATCGTTGACATCACGATTTTCTTTAGTTACCTAAAATATAATTTTTTAAATTTTTTTAATTAAATAAATCAAAAAACTTCCCAAAAAAATTGAAATAATTTTTTAGAAATTTTTTGAAATTAAAAAATAAAATTTAGAACATTAAATTTGCCCCAAAAACAAAGTTAGAAATCATTTCCTAACCAAAAGGATTCGAACCCCAACAATTTCGCAATACAAAATCAAAATTTAACCCACTACACCAATCACAAACATAGAATAATTTTTAAACAAACCTCCATAAAGCAATTAAATTTCTCATTAGCTTGTTGAATTCGATCACCAGAATTTTGTTGTTGATGATAATGATAATTTCCATTATTATTACTTTTATGATGTCCAGCAGCTTCTCCTAATTGTTCTAAAGTAACACCCTTAAATAAAATTTTTTTTAATTTTAAAAATAAATAAAAAAAAATATACTTGTGTAGAACGTCTAGTAGAACGCTTTAATTTAGATTTTGCTTTGCGCTCCGATTCACTTTCCTTTTGAGAAGTTGGTTGGGTAGGTGGTGTTGTTTGTTGTAATGATCTTTTAAAATTTTTTTAATTAATAAAAAAAATTTTTTTTAATTAGGAAAGTAAAAAAAAATTTTTGCGGACAATTTTTATATTTGCGGACAAACTACAAATTCCCTATTAGATGCTAGAAAAAAATATAAAATTGGCAAAAACGCCAAAAAGAGTCGACATAATTTACTTAAAACTTATAGGAATACATAAGAAATACATACCTTTTACCACTTAACCAAAAATCCGCAATTTGCGGATTTTGTCCGCAAAAATGTTTTTTCATTAAAATTAAAAAATAAACAAAATTCGCATGAAAAAATGTAAAAAAAAGCGATAACAATCAAAATGATTCGAACCCCCAACTTATTGTTTGGCAATCACAAGCATTACCCACTTAACCAAAATCCTAAAATTTGCGGACAAAATCCGCAAAAATGTTTTTTCATTAAAAATTGAAAAAAATTCAAAAAAAAAATTAAAATATAAAACTAAACTGTTTCCTCACAGTAACAAACGGGAAATTGTTGTTGCTGTTAATCATTGAAGAAGATGACAAAGCTGAAGGACTAGCAGCTATAGAAGATGAACAACTTTCTGATGGGGGTGTTCTTCCTTCCCCTCCTCCTTCTTCAGCATTTGATATTGTTGTTGTAAAAGCAGCAGTTAAAGGTAGCAAAGGTTTTTTATTATTAGCAGCAGAAAATTTTGTTGTTGTTGTTTCTCCCACAAAAATATTTTTTAATGAAGAAGGTTGGGGGCCAGGCAAAACAATTTTTGTTGTCTTAACAGAATTTTTTCTGTCCTTTATTGGGTCTTTTGGATCCTTTAACAAATCTTTTGATGATGAAACTGTTTGTTGTCTCCATAACATAAATTGTTGGGGAGGTTGTTGTTGAACTGCTTGATGTTGTTGGTGTTGAACTGCTGGGTGACCTGCTTGGTGTTGATGAACTGCTTGATGTTGTTGAACTGCTTGGTTTTGATGTTGTGGATTATTTGGTGGAATGAATATGTTGTTATTATTAAATGAGGATCCAACAACTTTTAAACTTTCTGCTCTTTTAAATATATGTGAAGGTTTTTTGGTTGGAAATTGTTGTTGGTATTGTTGTTTTTGCTGTTCGCCTTTAAATTAAAAATTTAAAAAAATTATTTTGGGCTCTGATCTAGTTTATGAGTCCAATAAAGCTTTATAACCCCTTAAAGTTCACAAAAATACCCCTAAAGGATCACAAACCTTCTCTTAATCCCAACATCCCAAAATGTCCGCAAAAATAATTTGAATCCGCAAAAATAATCCGCAAAAATTTTGCGGACTCAAAAACAATAAACAATATGTCAAATAAAGCCTTACAACCCCCTAAAACTCACAAAAATACCCCTAAAGATCACAATACTTCTCTTAATCCCAACATCCCAAAATGTCCGCAAAAATAATTTTTGTCCGCAAAAATAATCCGCAAAAATTTTGCGGACACAAAAACAATAAACAATATGTCAAATAAAGCCTTACAACCCCCTAAAACTCACAAAAATACCCCTAAAGATCACAATACTTCTTTTAATCCCAACAATCCCAAAATGTCCGCAAAAATAATTTTTGTCCGCAAAAATAATCCGCAAAAATTTTGCGGACTTAAAAACAGAAAACAAAATTTTGAATCCTTTTCCAGCCCCAAAGGAAAAAAAATTTTGACTAAAAAATTTCCAAAAATTCTAATAAAAAATATAAACCTGCAACAAAAGCAAAAGGAGATTGAGTCGTTCCATTATTACTACTCAACGAATTTCCTCCACCACTCCCACCACTAGAATCATTTACAGCAAATTTTTGTCTAGATTTTAAAAATTGTTGTTGATGTAATTGTGTACTTGTAATTGGATGATTTTGAAGATTTTGTTGCTGATTTTGTGTTGAATGTTGAACAGAAACGAGACAATTATTATTTTCTATAGAATTCCAAAAAAGCCGAGCAGATTGAACTAAGGGAGCAGAAGATGGAGGCGATTTTAGAGGAGATGATTTTTGGGAAGAAGAGGATTCCACATTTAATAGTCCTCCTGAAGGTTTCCCACAATCAACAGAAGAAGATTTTGCTCTTTCATTAGGTAAGGGAGTTAAGGGAATTCGTGTAACTGTTGACTGAACGACTGGTAGTTGACGACGGAGACGCTGTAAAAAAAATTTTTTTTTTAATTTTGTAATAAAAAAATTTTTTGGGAAGAAAATGATAGAAGATTGAAAAATGAAATAAAAAAAATAAAAAAAGAAAATCAAAAATATTTGGGACAGTCACCCCACCACTAAAGTAAAAAAAAATTCGAGTAGCCTCTCCTCCTGGTCATTCGAAATCAAAAAAATGTTTTTGGAACAACCCAAAATTTTGGGAAGAAACATTAGATTTAGGACTCTCATTAACTAGGGGAGGTCAGGGGAAAAATTCAGTAAACCCAAAGCAAAAAAGGAAGATTATGAAAATGAGTGACATTTCATCCCATCCCAAAAATTTTTTTGATGGAGAAACGGCTAGGGTATTGAGTTAGAGATGATTTATAACCGAGCTTGAACAACTAGAAAAAAGTCCAGGAGGTACAGAGTTAAAAAAGAAAAATTATTTAAAATGGGTGACATTTGATCCCATCAAAAAAAATTTTTTTCCGAAGGAAGGCAAAAAAAAACAAACCTTAACAGTTTCTTCAGCAGCTCTTAATACAGCAGACTTTTGATGTGTCTGTTGTTGAGTTGATTTTGCAATTGAATTACTATTTAAACTTGTTGAAGTAGATGTTGAAATACTTGGAGAAGAGGAAGTTGAACGATCTTCTAAATTCATTGATTTATTTGTTGTTGGAACTCCTGCTCTAATAGTGCATTGAACACTTTGATCGCTGCTGTACAAACTTGAGGAACGCTGGAAAAATAAAAAAAGGTTAAAAAAGGAAAAATTATTTTAATGAGTGACATTTGATCCCAAATTATATTTTGATAAACCTAAAAGAATTGTGGGTTTGTGGAGTCTAAAATAGTCTATGAACAACTAGGAAGTCTAGGAAAAACTCCAAAAATGTACAAAAAAATGCGTAAACTAAAAGACGATTCACAATAATCTCCTTGAACCCTGACGGTGTCTGAAAGACCATTTAAGGGCATAGCCTAGAGAATAAAAAGAGGAAAATAATTTTAGTCAAAAGAAATATAAAAACGATCAGAATCGTTAAATAATAAATTAAAAAGAAAAAAAGAATAATTAAACGAATTTTTTTTCAATTAAAAAAAAAAGAAATATAATAAATAATCAAAAAAAAAACAAAAAATTATAGGAAGAAAAATAAATTAAGAATCAAAATAAGGAGGGAGAGATCCACAAAAAACACATAATTAAGAAATCTCCTATTTACTTGCTCAAAAAAATTTTTTTTAATTAAAAAAAACCGAAAGGTGACATTTCATCCCAAAAAATTAAAAATTTTATTTTAATTCCTCACATCTTTAGGAGTAACAGATCTACTTGTTGTTTGGATTGAACTAATTCCAGAACCAGTATTTGATGAAGAATTTTCTTCTACACTTGGAGAAGTTGAATGACTATTACTTGGAACTTGACTGCTTGAAGTTGCTGAGGTTGCCTGAACTTCTTCATCAACTTGAACTTGTTCAACTTCTTCTGCCGTCGCTTCGTCTTCTTCTTCATTATTATTACTTCCATTACTATTTCCGCTCTCCACTGAACCTTCTTTAACTTGATTAATACTAGTCTTCTCATTCTCGTCTTCTTCATTAATGTCTTCATTTATTGCGGACATCTTTGCTGCTTCATCCAAACGAGCTTTTTCTTGTTCCTTTTTTAATAGAGAAATTTTTTTATTTAAAATAGTGGCAAGATTTGAGGATTTTTTTTGACTAAAACTAAGGGATTGGGAGCAATCTGGACATCAAATCTAATTTTCAAAAAGTTTCCTGTCCGCAAGTTTAAGTTGCGGACGTCCGCAATTTTTATTTTTTGAAGAAAATATAGTTCGTCCTTTAAAAAAGGCTCCATTTCCTATTTAGTTAAAGATTATATAGTAGTTCAGAAATAACCTGTCGTCAAAAATAAAGAGGGAAAAAACCAAGGAAAAGCCGCCCGACTATTTTCGACCCAAAACCCAACAACAGGCCCGTAGCCAGAGGGGAGGGGTAGGGGAGGTTCTATTCATCTTTGAAAATTAAATTAAAAAAAACCTCTTTTAAATTGTACAAATATTCTTCAATCGATTTATCAGCTACAGACAAAACAGAATGTCCAAAATAAGTCAAAGTATCAAAATTCGCCCCATTTTCTACAAGTATACGGCAAGCTTCACGTTCTCCCCAATGAGCAGCTGCATGTAAAGGCGTCCAACCTTCAAAATCAGGAGCGTTAATATCCGCGCCCGCATTGATTAACTTCTCTAAAAAAATTTTGAAAAAATTTGAAAAACGTTCAAAAAATGAAAAAAATAGACCAATAAGTTGAACATATCCTTTAGAAGCAGCCACGTGTAAAGCAGTCGCTCCAGTCTTTGGATGAGGTGTGTCAAGACATTTACCAGATTGAATCCATCTAAAATATAAAAGGGGTTTTAAAGAAAAATATGGGTAAAGCTAAAAATCCAAATCTAGTACAGTCGGCCCCACTATAAAATAGACTCAATGTCAATAAAAGATAAGCTTCAATTTGGGGCTAGATCTGATGCCTGACCACCCTCGACAAGTTTTCTGTTAATATCGTGAACCAACATTTACCATCCAAATTTTTAGAACTCGAAGGGTTGAGGTTCAACCCAACTTCATTTAAAATAGTTTTAAAATAGTCGTTTAATTTGACTGGAAAAAATGGGGTAGAGGAGCCTAACAATAAGAGATGCAATAAACCGAGGTAGACGGAACAAGTAAGTTGTCACAAAAAAGCAAATTTTGTGAAATGCGGAAACAATAGACATCCCATCCCTAATGTGAAACTTATAATGAGGTTCGATTCAGAGGTGGGTCGGAACAGTCAGAGGTGTCGGAAATCGGAAGAGCCGGAAATCGGAACTGGCTCAAAAATCAAAACTCGGAAATCAAAAATTTTTTTTTGGAAATTGGAAGGAAAAAACGTGGGAATTCGGAATTCCGACCCACCTCTGGTTCGATTATAATAACCTCAAAAATTTAGAAAAAACACAAAAACCTGTCACAATCTTCAAGCATTGCATTAAATTCACTTTCCCTGGCCTTCCTTTCATCAACTTCTTTTAACCGCATAACCTCCTCCAAAAAATTTCTCATTTCATCATTTTCTGCCAAATCTACAGGTAATTCTCTGTCACTATTTACACAAGCCAAATCTGCATTCTTAAAAAGAAAATTTTTAAAAAATAAATTTGCGGACATTTTTTGCGGACAAAAAAATTTTTTGCGGACATTTCGTCCAAAATAAATTTTTTTCTAAAATTTCTTACGTTTTCATACAAATATTTTGCAATATTCAAATTTCCACAACAAACAGCAGTATGTAAAGGTGTCCACCCTTCATTATCTTGAGCATTAATATCCGCATTGTGTTGGACTAGAAAGCGAACAATGTCCATATTTCCGTCAATAACAGCCTTTAAAAAAATTTTTAAGGTAATAAAAAATTTTGCGGACATATTTTTAATAAGTGGAGGCATTTAGAAAGTGGGATCAAATTCAGATTTTAGGTTCTATCAGAAAACTAAAAAATAATCAAGCGAAAAAAAGACTTGTCCGCAAAAATTTGCGGACAAATTCTTTATCAGTTAAATATGAATATCCAGTCAGTTTGATAATATTGCGGTACTTGTGAGTTATCTTATACCAGTTCTTGCGGACATGTTTATGCGGATTCATTCATATGAACAGAAGAATGGTCAGACCTCCTTCCTCATTCTCAACTAATTTCCCTGTGGCATGACCCAAGGAAGAAATGAGGAAGTCTGGCTATTCTTCTGTTCATATGAATGAGTCCGCATAAACATGTCCGCAAGAACTGGTATAAGATAACTCACAACTACCGACATATCGCTTATATGCCCAAAAAAGTATTTGGAAAAATACAGAATAAACACAAATTTCTATTTTTAGATTCCGAGGGCCAAAATCCAAAAAGAACCCAAAACTGAAACAAGAGAACCCTCAAAAAATAAAACAAACGTCAATAGAATTAAAAATTCCAAACCTGATGAAGAGCAGTCACTCCATCAATATTCGAAGAATTAATATCAGACCCTTTTTTCAAAAGTTCTTCAACTTCGTCTTCATCCCCGCTTTGACAGGCACTCAAAAAGATGTCACTGTTTTGGAATTTAACTTTGGAGAGTTGATAATGGTTGCGTTTTGGACAAATTTGGTTCATTTCAGAATTTTCCCAGTGCTCCAATTGTTGCTTAAAAAAATTAGATTAAAAAATATAAAAAGAAATGTAGAGAAAAGTAAGGCACCATAAAGGGGAAAAACTCAAAATCTGTTAGAGAACTTCAAGCTTCTCATTGCTTTCTTTAGTCAACCACGTTAGCAAAAAAGTGTTCTGTTTGAGGACAAAAAGAGAAATTTGCCGAGAAGGATTTTGGCAGAATGGACAGAACCCAAAAATCGATTTCGACAGGACAAAAACAAAAAGAAAATTCGAAGAGAAAAGTTTCTGCCAAAATTGGATTGCCCCAAAAGACGATGATAAGGTGTTTGTAGAATATTAAAAGTTACTTTAGGGCGATACTCTTAATTTTAAAGGATTCATTTAAATTTAATAAAGCCCTTAAAAATTGTAAAAAAAACCTTTCGTTTAGCCAAAACATTATTTTGAATCATTGCTTTATTTTGAAGCATAGCAGCATGTTCTACCAAGTCAAGTTGTAATTCCTTATCTAGCACCATCAAAAATAATGTAAAAATCTCTAAAAAATTTTTTATTTAAACAAAGACTAAAAATTAAAATTAAACGGCAACTAAAAATGAGGGGGAAATATTGTGATAATTAATTAAATCAACTAAACAAATCAATTGGCTAAATAACTAGGAAAAACTAAAAACTAAAAAAAACAAAAGACATTTGTCAAAAAAGAAAAAAAATAAGCAAAAAAAATTGGAAAAATCCTCGAAAAAAAGAGAAAATGACATTTTATCCCATTTAAATAAACAAAACGCCAAAAATGCAAAAAACGCCAAAAGAGCGATTTTGCTAATATTTAAAAAATATGGAAATATGGAAGAAAACGGAAGGGTTAACGACCGGCGCGAGACGAGATCCCGCGCGGGATTTTGCAGGATCCCGTCCCGCAATCCCGCACTTTTTTCGATTTGCGGGATTTTGCGGGATTATTCTCACGGGATCCCGTCCCGCAAAGATTAAAAAAAATTTTTTTCCGCGGGATCCCGCAAACGCGATTTTGCCGACCTCTAGAAGAAAAACGGAAGGGCTAATTAATTTTTTTGTTAGTTTTGGTTTTACTGAAAGTAAAATGAATATAGTCTTATGTACCCCAATATATCACTTACTTTATATTTAGCGCTAAGCTTTTTGTCCTTTTTTGCGCGATATAAAGTTGAGGTTAAGGTATCACGACTTTTGCGCCGAGAACATTTGCGCCGCGACTTTTGCGCCGCGACTTATGCGCCGGGCGACTTTTGCGCCGCGACTTATGCGCCGCGACTTTTGCGCCGGGCGACTTGTGCGCCGCGACTTTTGCGCCGGGCGACTTAAGCGCCGCGACATTTGCGCCGCAATAATTATAAAAAATAATATCTACAGTCGAACATAATTATAGTGTAAGTCTTAAAAAATGGCGTCTAGGAACTGAAGGAATTTCAGGAAGTACAATATCTCAGGAAGTACAATAGCCCCTTCTAATAAACAGACCCCCTAGAGGTGTCATCTTCAAAGAACTTGACTTTTTCGGATCAGGATATTTGGTCTGCTACCCCTATTCAAGCATGATTTTCTGCCAGAAGAGAGTGCACTATAGTTAAGGTTGTCGGGTCCAGATATCCGGATCTGAAAAAGGCCGGATAGCCGAATTCGGCCTTATATAGTGAGGCCCGCTGTAGTTTTTTATAATTAGTAATAATAGTGGCGGCGCAAAAGTCGTCCGGCGCAAAAGTCGCGGCGCAAAAGTCGCCCGGCGCATAAGTCGCGGCGCAAAAGACCCCCGGCGCAAAAGTCGCTCGGCGCAAAAGTCGCGGCGCAAAATTCGCGGCGCAAAAGTCGCGGCGCAAATGTTCACGGCGCAAAAGTCACGGAACCGAGGTTAAGAGGGAAAGTAAAAAAATAAATAAGTAAATTTATAAGATTCAAAAAAAAACAAAAATAAATACAGCCGGACCTTATGGGGCTGGAAAAAGCGTGTATTACATATATTGAGTTATCTTAATTAGCGGGTACCGCTTAGCCCCATCCAATGGCCAGCAGATTTTAAAACGTAGCTTAAATCGGGATGTATTTTATAATCAGTGTCGACTGGGTGTGTATCATGGGTGTGCCGAAAGTGATTTTAAAAAACGAAACATGAAAAGCGAAACACTAAAAAATGCCAAAAATTTGGCGAAAGGCGAAAGAAGAAAGTCGGAACTGGCACACCCCAGTTGTGTATCTATGGGGGGGGGGGGAGCTTCCGGCCTACGGAACTTCCGGCGAAACACTAGTATCCACCTAAATCGAGGTGTATTCATTATGTTATTTTATAGTTAGTTTCAACTCTTTTCCCCCACAATCGCTGCCAAAAGTGTCATAAGGGTCAAAAAGTCTGAATAGGCTAAGCGTAAAAATAGGAGATCAACAGGGATGTTGATTGATTTCTAATGAAAGATTCAACTAAAAGTAGTGATAAATATAAAAATAAAAATAGAGGGAGAATGTGCGCTAATAATAAATGTGGATGATGAGGGGGGGGGGGGTTATTTATTCAATGCGCGAACAAAACAAAAACGTTTTTAGGGTTTATTAGTATATTTATTTTCTTTTATGTGGATAAATGAAGAGAAAAACGGAAGAGAGAACGGATCAATGAATATGTGGGGGGAAGGGACAATGGACTGGAGAGAAGATCACAAATTTATAATTTTAGTTAGTTCAAGTGTGCGCCAAAAACGCAAAAATATGTACTAGGAAATCCTAGGGGAGCCCATAACCTAGGGGATTTTCAGTGGGGGTTTAGGATACCATTGTGGGGGTTTCGAAAAAAGTTCAAAAATTTATGGGAATCTTACGTGTGTGCCAAAAAACGCCAAAAATACAAGATGACCTGTGGATAGTCCATACGCTTGTGGGAATTTCTTAAGGGGTTCCAAAGGGAATAGCAACGGGCAATACTCGTGTGGGTTTTCTTATAAAATATTTAAAAATTTTGGAAATTTTTAAGTATACGCCGAAAACGCCAGAAATACAAAAAGACCCTAGGGGTAATCGATAATAGTAAATTTACCCTGAGGGGATTTTCTAGAGGGAAATAACAAGGGAAATAACAGCAAGGGGTTCTCGTAGAGTTCTCATGAAGTTTTTAAAGAACTCAACTATGGATTTCCATGACGTTTTCATATAATTTGCGCACACCCTCAATATGTCCATTGTTTGAATGGGCGAGATTTACGCGCTTTTTACAATGGAAAAAGTGAAAGAGAATTGTTCAAGCACTAGTATATATTTTCTAAATTTACGCCAAAAAATATAAAAAGCGGAAAATCACAAATTGGGTCGTGTAGCTTTAACTAATCGGTGGTGGGTGGCTTTGCGCGTGTGGGGGGAAGGCTGCTTGATTGAGTTGTTGAAGCGCAAAGGAAATTGATCCCGAAAATTTATTGAAGAGAAAAAAGAGAAATTTATTTAAGAATAGAAAAATTATTATAAATCTTGAGGATCGATGAAATTCTTGAAAAGGAAGTACTCAAAAAAGGACAGACTCCCCATAAGTGTTCCTTCCAGTCGGATTTCATATAGGGTAAAAATCCAATACTAGATATACTTCAATTTAAGAGAACTTTTTAAATTTTGATTGGCTACTTGTGGGAGAGCTAGTTGAGAATCCTCCTTATCTAGGCAAGGTACCTCATTGTAGGTCACCTCCTATATAAGGTACCTCCATTATAAGGTAATTTTCCCCCATAAGGGTGTATCTAAAAATGTGACCAACTTCATTCTGTATAAGCTAGATATCTGTAGGATGTCTTTCGCAGGTCCCTACGACCCCACGAAGGTAGACACTATATTAAAAATCGTTAGGAGGAATCTCTTCGGTAGCAGAGGTAGCTCTATTATTTTTAATGAAAAACATTTTTAATTGTTTTGTGGGCAATTGAGAATGCTAATCTCTCAAAATTGGAAGAAAAAAAATAAAAAAAGGACAGAATAAAAGTGGTTGTTGTACAATTTGAAAGAGATTCCCCCCTCAATTCTAAAGCGGCTTTTCAATGCTTGGTCGCCTTTCCTTTTATAGCGCTTTATTATTTGCATAAAAATAATATTTATATCTATTTTTAAAGAGAAAATATGTGTGGAAAAATAACAAAAAATGGGAGAATAGATGAAAAGAAAATTTTAAATTTGTTAAAATAAAATTAAAAACAATATTAAAAAGTAATACGAGTAAATACAAGCAAAATAAAATGAGTGGGCGACAGGCGGGTTCGAACCCTAGACCTTTAGGTTTACAAAACCAGGCGCTTACCGACTAGACCAAAACTGAGTTATTCGAGTCTTCCGTTTTTAATTAAATAAACCCCTAATTTTTAATTCTTTTCAAGCTTAGCCAGCGTCTTAAAACACGAGGTGAGGCTCTTGTTTTGGCTATAACTTTTTTCAGTTTGAACAAAAATTTATAATTCTTTTTTTCCTGGATTCCCAACACTTTAGAGAATTTTTTGATACCAAATAATAATTTTAAAAAATATTGAGAAGGATTTAATATTTTAAAATAAAGCGTTCAACATTGAATAAAAAACAGACTAAAACACACCCAACTATAATAAAGTACAATTTTTAAAAGCACACAGATTTCCGGTATCCACAAAAATCTGGTCTTATTTTAGCAAACATATTATTTTTTTATCTTTTCAAAAGGATATCTATATACATATGTTTGTGTTTATGCTCATGCTAATAATACAGAGAGAGAATGTTTGTTTGCTTGAAAAGTGCTCTAGTGCGAAGAAAAGTGAAATAAAAAAATCGGATCTTTTTTTCTGCTTTTATATACTCTCATACGCTTAAAAAATAAACGCGCGATCGTCTCACATCTGTGCTTAAATACTAAAAAATAGGCAGAAAAACAAGCTAATTTTTTAGAGGTTCTTCTATTGTGTAATAGAAAATAAAAGTTAAATAGTATGACGTTGGAAATATTAGCCCTAATTTTTTGAAGCTACCTT